CAAACACTTATTCAACAGTCACGAAACAATACAAAATTTGCGAAACGTTCGCGATTCATGAAACGACGGTGCTCATATACGGTGTAGCTGCAGGTGCAGCCTCGTGATGTCAGCATCCATTGTTCAGCGACATTTGACGGTGGTAGAAACGCACGACCCGTGGATCTTATATATGTAGTGCAATGACTGTACGCCACTTTTACAGAGTATTTGTTCGAGCTGGAGTTGGTAATATATTCTTTTTCGGTCAACTCTCACCTCTCGTTGTCGAAATAGCACAACGTGTGTATGCAACGGTAGTTCAAACGAATTCATAGATGAATGCATATATGAATGTTAATATGAACTCTCTTAATTTCCTTAGGAAACGCACAAAATGACAAAAGATTTGGAATTTATTTTAATGAATTTATTTTGTGCAAGAAAGAGAAAGAAAGCTCTATATGGAATTCGTTCTTGCCCTTGAATGTTTATCGCGGTATCCAACGCTGGATCTCTTTTCTGACCTATATTTTTGAATGTTTTATAAAATTCGATATGGTAATCGAAATACAAATATTTTATGTCTGCATTATACAGAAATATCAACCATTTTTTAGACATATTTTTCATTATCATGTACGAGTAGTATTTTTTACGAGAAAAAACATTCAAAAATATAATGTTTATATGGAAAGTCGCATATTCATATGATTTATTTTAATATTGTAGACTAATTTATCTTTGCTGGTTTTTATTGATTTTTAAATATGGTCAGATATATTAATTGAGCGTTTAATATATCGAATTATATTTCATTTATATGAGAAAAATAGAAAATTGACAAATACATTAATATTTCTCTTAATCTAATTGTAAGATCTACATCTAACTAAATTCTTCCTGTCGCGATCTTATCAAGAAATTTAATTACGTCGTTTCCTAGAGAGTCAAACGTCAAATATAATTGAGTATTAATACGCCAAGCCGTATTGAATAAGAAAAAAAAAAAAAAAAAAAAACATTCGCTGCTTTCGACTTTCGACCGTAACCACGAGGCATAAAACTTTTACCGCGACATACGTTTTACAACCATAACGCGAACGCGATTCGGGAGGAAGAAATTCGTCAGGGTCCATCGGGAGTTTCGAGGCACCGGACGCATCGTTTGCAGCCGGTTCGACTACATTTCGTGACGACGCACATTCTCTCTCTTTCTCTCACATATGCATACACGCAATACCTACATATATAAGTCGCAAGTTTGTACACCCAGGTCCTGCACAAATACAAAGAGACTCCTTCGAGAGGGGTTCCGAATCTCTCCTCGTGCTTGTAAACGGATCCGATGAGGTCCGCTGGTAACCAGACAGAGACCACATGCAAAATACATGTGGAAAGCGATCGAGAACTTGTGGTTCACTTTACCAAGCCGCGGCTCGTTCGAATCTCTCGAGAACCTCGAATTCCACTTGCGTCGCGCGCTATTATCCAATGATTAATTCCGTCTTCTCGCTCACTTTGCATTTTGATACTCCGGAGGAATAATGGGCCACGATATAAGAAATTGCGCGAAATGGAGATTAATCGCGAACCCGCAGTTCGCACGATCCGTTCAGCATGACGCGTTTATTTTCTGCGTCCTGTTTACTGTAGATTGTAGAAGAGAGAGAGAGGAAGAAAAGGAAAGATGAGTAAGATTACTCGCGAATTCTTCGCATCGCATTAGATTATCTTTCGATGACATCATATTGCGACGAAGATATAAGTATAGTTGCGAATACATTTCCAATTTTAATTATTATTATATTTTAACGACAGATTTTTCAATCAATTGTAGATCAATTTTTCAGGAAAGAAAACTTATTTCAGATAATTAATTTTCGTGTTGACAAATAAATTAATGATTTTATTCCTTAAAGATAAATATAAGAACGAATAAAAATTTCATAAAAATCTATGTTCAAAGATATAAACTTTTCTCTACAATTATTATTTTAGCTCATAACACACATTTAAATGAATTATACTAATATAAGTAATTAATTCTTTTTTAAAATTAATTTGTCTTTTTCTCTTGTTCGTGAGACGTTAAATTCCTGCGGGAATCCTATCATGGTGCTTCAGAGTCACGATATGCTGAAGCGCGGTTGAGATTCCAGCATGGATATAACTACCCATGTATAAGCACATATTCGTTCCCAACATTAGACTAACATGATTTGATCTCCGACGAGGTACACGTTCGTCCGTTCATTCATTCGTCTGCTTGCCCTAATCTTCCCTTCTCGGTCATGTGTGTGTGCTTGGAATAACAAATTCAAATAACTTCACCACTATCTGTCACTTATAATTCACCCGTCAAATAACTAAATGATTCCATTCGATTAATATTAAAGATGCTTTATTAAATATCGTGTAAACGATATATGATATATATCGAGATAAACGATTAATTGAAGTTTAAATTATGTATATTTTATTCGTTTCTTTAAACGGATATTTAATCAAAGAAAGTTATTGAAAGATGTTTATTAATATTTAATCGTTGGATATAATTTTGATGTAAAATATTAAAAAATAGAGAAATTCTTCTAAAGCTCGTAAATAACAAACGACAAATTAACAAAATGACAAATCACTTACCTCATAGTTATTCTGTCATCGTTAATCAACGTTTTCCAAGTTTCCTCTTTACTTGTTTGTTCTTTGCTACTTCCTCATCTCCTAACATTCACACGATACTCACTTACGAAAATATGGATAATTACCATTGTACTAATTACCGGAATACGCGTGGCACTTTACTTAGCACTTCCGACGTTGATCGACAGCGACAAACACTATTTTATATCGCGACGCGCAAATCACGATTACATGAAGCTACGATTCGCTTGATATTGAAAAATCTCGCGGCCGAATTCACACAATGTTATTTTCATAATGAATAGTATACATATACACACACACATTTTAATTGATTCATTCGATCATTTTAGATTTGACAATTTTATTATCTCTCATTATATAACAAACGAATAGGTATGCACGTTAAAATTAGAAATAGATATATGCAGAATGCAAGAATTTATTGCTTTAAGATTGACGTTGAGTGGATGAATCATATGAAATATACACGTTTCAATGAATCAGTGGCACTACTATGCGAGTTAAGATAAAAGTTCAATAATCGTGAAAATTAATTAATCACGCGGATTGATAATCGTTACTTGTAATCATTGCAAAGGTTAATTGTGATGGATGTGTGATTTTGAGAAATATAATACAACACATATATTACTGTCACACTCGAGTCTCGTCGCGCGAATGACAACAAAACTTGAAGGATGATGTATATAAACAATAGCTTTCGCTATTGTGCGCGACCGTTTTGTCAAAATAAAATTCAGATATGTGTAGTATTAAATCTCTCCAAACGCAATTATTCTTTACGATTGTTACAAATAGCGATTATCAAGCCGCGTAACTAATTAATTTTCGCGATTAACGCGCCTCTAGTTTTAGCTCGCGTAGCATCGTCCTTGATCTTTAATTTTAACTTGTACATTTTATTCATGTTATAATGGAAGATAATAAAATTATTGAATGACTCAAATAAAATGTTTACATATATTATTCATTTGTGACAATAGTAAATTGCAGAAACTCGGCTACGCTTTTTTAATAAGAACGAATCATAACTTTATGTAACGATGATTTTTTTCGACGCAATGAAATAAAAATTACGTCGTGTGCGATTAACGTCAGAAGTGCCATGCGTATTCGGATAAATAATTAATGCCCATGCAATATTCATCGATCGTTTTTTTTTTTAATGAATATCGTGAAGAAGCAACAAAGAACAAACAAGGAAGAAGAAAGAAGAAGAAACCCAGAGAAGCGTCAGATAATAGAAACTTCGAGATGAGGTAAACGATTAATTATAATAAATTATAATTTTGTTAATTTATTATTTTCTTATCCGTGAAATTGATAAGAATTTAATTTCTGCCTTTTATGTTTTTTAATATGTAAAAACATATTTAAAATAAAATTTAGAGAAAAGAGAATATATAGAAAAATGATGGCAGAGATGATTATTGTCTGTAAATACGGCGTGTGTATATATAAATATCGTCAAGTCAGGTGAACATCTCTAAGAATTGTGACGATATTTATGATCGTACGTACATATCGTATTGCTGCTACTGAGTATCAGATAAAGGGCGCGTAGGAATTGTAAGCTCTCGCATTGCTCTGCGCATTCAAATCACCGGTCAGTGCTCCGCTTGGCTATCTACCTCTGCTGCAAGCCGGGAATCGCACTGCTGCGCTTTCGTGCCGTGGAAATATTAACGCAAATTAAATGTTGTTTCGCAATTTTATGCACAGGATATGGCAATATTACGCTGAAATTATTATGCGATTAATTTGAGACGATAATTGCGCAGATAAGCGTAATATTGTCCTCAAAATCTTCCGGAGAATTTCTTATTTTATATGGATAGGTTTCATAAAAATATTATAGAGATTCTATAAATTATTACATAAATCAATAGCCAACATTTTAGCATACTCGTCTTTCGACATCCTATTTCGTCACCCTACTCTCCATAAAAAGTGAATGGCATCGACAGACGTGTGTCAATAAAAATGCCATGGCTAGCCAATTTGCAAGTTTATAATTATTTAAATGGATTTGTTATGTAATTCAAATTTATTCTACTTAGTCTGCATTTTTTAAATGGAGTGTAAATTCTTGGAACCTCGTAGTGTATGAAAATTCTTGAGAGTCAAATCAAATATTTTTAACATTTTTCTTTCGGAGTAATTTAACATATTAAGAGAAAAACAGTTTATTTAAAGTTCATACATTTCTTCTTTTCTATCCCTTTTATCTAAATATCAAAATATAATGCAACAAAAGATATTCTTTTTGAAAGAAATGAATTTCTTACAACGTACAGAGTAGCATTTATACTCCTTAATGTCGAGAAACAAAATTTGTTTGGGCAACTTACCCTGACCGTCCTTAAATCCTCATGGCACAGGCACACCGGTAAATACGGAGCAACCCCTCTTGTCACTGATAGTTTATGCGATGTCTGTCAGAATTCCCAAATTTTCGCACGTTTCACTCGCGATCGAATTGTGATGAAAAGGGGGAAAAAAATGCAAAATCAGAACGAAAATTCACGAGAATGGCGTACAACAGAAATGAGAAAAATCATGTATAGCTCGGAGACGCCGACGAGACCAGCACGTTCTTCCCTTACGATAGAAACAGACTTTGGGTCTCCGTAGTCCGGCCCCGACCGTTCGCTCTCGGTGCAAAGGACCCATGGGTCTTTGCGCCTGCGCATCGGGGCCCCTCTACCGGTTGACAAGAGGGAAAGGTGGGAGGAACGACCGACAACCCTCTTTCCAGGGACTTGCTTCTTTTCGCGGGTTGTCTGCTGTGTGCGTATGTTGTGTGCGTGTGTGTATAATACCTTTATACCTGCGGGTGTACCTGTTCAGGTGGCAGCACCTCGATAGGTGCACCTGATGGAATGAGGGAAGTCTGGAGTCTGGAGCAAGGTGTATCGCTACCTGCTTATCTGCCAGCACGAGAGCCGATATTGACATTTATTACAATTAGCTTCATTCTTTCGCCAGGCCAGGTCTAGAGGAATAATATGTATCCCTACAAGACATTTTTCCTCAAATTATTCCAAGATACATTGAACAAATATTCGACTAGACACCCACTATTGTAATTTTTTAGAAAAATGCACACGTTAGTAAATGAAAAAGTCGTAATATTCTTGTCAAGTTTAAATTAAATTTAGTTGCAGTCATAGTGCAATTAACAATTTAGAAATAAGAGATCGGTCGAGAGGTTCTTACATCATTCTAACACAATAAGATGAATGATCAAATACGAGAAAAATGAGTGCGTGAGTGAGGTTTTTAAATTTTTAGCCGCATGGCACGTTAAATTTTAATATTAAGCAATGTTACTTTGTTATAAAATTCCCAGTCCTATCTTGTGCATATAACTTTTGCAACCATAATGAAGAAATAAAAAATGAATGATAAATGAAACGGATAACTTTGGAACATGGTTCTTGTTCGATTACGTTAAATAGGAGCACTTATTACATAAATGTATTAATTGTTGCCCTCGTGTTGTTCCTTCCGGCAATGAGTTCTTGCATTCAACCGGTCAGGACAACAAGATCCACAGGAATTCGCGACGTAACGCCTTATGTCTCGTCGTTGAAGGAATCGTCGAAGAAAGGGAGATGAGAGGGAGGTCGGAAGGGGAAGAGTAGCTAATGCTTTGGCGGACACTTCGATGCACACCGGTGAACAACGCCGTATGCGTTAATAATTCCCTCGTCTTCCTTTCGTTCTTCCACTTCGCTTTCGTGCCTGGCTATGTTTGAAGAAGGAAAGACGAAGACTCTCTTCCACTGCTTCCTTCCGCTCGTACTTAACAAAGCGTCGTATCTTGACTTGGTTCTCTGCAGGAAAAAACATGACGTTTGTTTTTCAAAACAAATTACATGTACTTAAAATTTGATGCATAATTGTGATGAGTTGATTTTTTCAAATTTTAAAAATCGCTTGATTTTACGTGCCAATTTAGCAATATTTAGTATATAAATGTAATAATTTTCATTGAAATAACGAAATTCAATATTTCTGCCAATTATTAATTTTATGTATTGCAACAATCAGATAACAGGAAGAGCAGCTGTTTGCAGGGTGAGAAATACCAAATAGACTTTTGTTAGCATTGTAGAAATAGCACAGTCATTTACTGACAGCTCAATGCACACGAGTGAACAAGACGATCTGAGGAATATGAAATAGTTACGGAAATAGTAGCACATAATGTGTTGCACGTTCTCGTGTAGATGCAACACAAAATTAGTTAGAGAGATATTTGAGTTCTTGTAATAAACTTTGTGATAGTTTTATTAATTATACAGGTAAAAAGAATTTAAAAAAGTACTTTTCGTTTGTTTTATATTTGTTATATTCATTGAATATTGATAGTTTTCTACAATAAAAAGGATTGTTTTATATAAAAAAATTAATATTAATATAATCGCTTAATATGCTAATATTTTTTTAAATCGATATTAAATAGGTAGTAAAAATATACATTTTGTCTTGACAATTATAATTTGGTATAAAAATAGATATTTTTATATTATTTTTCTAAATATAAGAGCTTTATCGATAAATACGATTTTTCTCGTTAGAAGAAGAGAGAGCAAAAGAGAGTATGTTTCATTTGGTACTTTATCACTGTAAAATTGATCAAAATCGAACATGAGAAATTTTTTGCTACATCTATTATAACATTTTATAAACATTTTTGAACATATTTTATCTGCGAAGAGAATATATAAATAAAGCTTGTATAGACTATAAAACCATTTATGATCTCCGAGATGAAATGATAATATCTTAAAATTAAAATGGTGATTAAATACATCAGCAACATGTTCTTTCTCTGTCTCACGGAGAGATTATCTGCCTTTAATATTTGAAATATGAATCACCCCGCATTTACAAAGCGAGCCTTTTTCGCATTGTTATACATACATTGAGAGAATCGAAGGAAGGAGACAGTCGCACATATATTGTTAAAGAATTCGTGCACGTGCGTGGGCGTGTCATGTATGCATGAACAGCTTGGAATTCAAATTGAACGCAAGAAGAAACGTTTGGAAACTTGACGTGGTCGTTAAAGGCAACGAGAGTCGCATGAAAGTGAATGTCACGAAAGAAAGAGAAAGAGAAAATATGCATTAGTTGATAATGCAAATAGAGACGTGAACAAAATTTTATTATTCCATTAAACAATTATAATATTGTTATATTAAAATATTTGAAAATTAGTTTATTATTTTTAGCCATACGATAAAAAAAGCAGTGATATGTACATAATTTATAAAATTTCAGAGATGTTAATGTGCATTTTTAGTGTTTAATTTATCTATACGATATTCATGTGTACAATACATTTTTTTTAAATTTCTTCCTTTGTTAAGCAATTGCGAAAATCATTAACAATAATCAGCAAGCTTGTGACAAATTTACACGCTATAATATCGCTTAATGACATATCATTAACACCCACAACGTCCGTTACTTTTCCCGTTGGAACTCGAATCTAGAATTATGCGATTGTGCCGTTGCAAATACAGGTTTTGCAACAGCATAATCGCATAATTTCAAGATCCGAGTTCCGTCAATTAAATATCGACTAATCATGTTTTCCGACTTTCTCGAGATGCTTTCTACCTGCAAAATACAACAATGTATTCGATATCGATGCTATTTTTCATCAAAATAATTAACTTTACGAGCGAATTAATTGCGCCAATTTTTCTCTACACTGTCAATAAACAGTTTTCATTAATTACATATTATATAGATTGTTTATGTACGATACGAAGTGAACTATTTGACAATTATCAGATGTATCAACAAATGTATAAGTTATGAATGAAGTATGTCGCCGTTAAACTCGATAGTGTATTATAGTCGCTATCTACAAGCTTCGTGATTATAAGTCGACTTCCTCTAAATTTAACGCTATTATCGCAGTAGCAATATAGTTTCGCAGTCTCAACACAAAAAGGAAATGCAGCCTAACATGAACTCGTTGAAATAAATCGCGGTAAAGATGAGATTTTTGATAATGCACTCTGAATAAATACTGCTTTGAAGCATTTTATGCAACAGCGTGTATCTCTCACTTGCTCCTCTTCTATCGAGAATAACTATTTTTTTTTTAAATCCTTAAACGAGTAATTATTCACATATCGCAATCTTATCAAATTCTTAAATACACCGACTAAGTAAGTGTATCGAGAAATTACGCGTCTCGCGTATATCAATCTAAAATTATCTCTCGAGAGCACGTACATTTATTTATTTATTTAATTACTATTAATAGATAATATTTTTGTAATTTTTTTGTATTTTAAAACTTATTTTAAAATTAAAAATTTAAGATAGCGTAGATAACAATAAAAAGAAACTCGCATACTTAAAAGTTAACGGATTAAAAAGCATTGCAAAGCGACTCCCAAGTAAACGCTCCGATTGCTTTTTCGCGATCGTAATAATAATAATGATAACATACAAATTTAGCATATCTCTTTCATTGTTTCCTTATATCATTCCCTCGCGATTTTATTATAACTTAAAGTAGATCTACTATATGTATATAAAGATTGACAGTACTATTTATAGTATAGTGTTTTGTGTATATTATATATATTATATATAATATGTATATCATCACAATGGTATACTATTATATAATTTCAAATACAAATTTAATTATTAAAGTAAAGAGACTAATAAAGATTTAGGAGATATTAATCTTTGATCTATATACTTCCTAAAAAGCGAATAGTTTTTCACGTGTTCGATTGAATTATATATCACGAAATTGGATGACGGTCAAGGAGCGAATGTTGAGCGTAGAGGCAAAATTCTCCTCGTGTTCTTATTTTTTGGAACAAAGATGATCGGTCACGTAGTGAGCTCCAGATATCTCTTGTTCTCCATAGATCCATAGCTATGCGAATAACGACCGCTGTACGCCGCCCTGGACCATGCTCCAGCTCTATTCGAATAACTGTTGCACACGATCAGCGAATTCATGCCGCTGGGCCTGTCGATCGGTACACCCTGACGCCGTCCGTTCTGTTGAAGATTAACGTTGTCCGATCGGACGCTATCTATCAGAGGTGCTGTGTGATTCTCGACTGCACCGACGTTGGTGTACGGTTTGGGTGCGTGAGAGCAGCTGCTTAAGTACACTCCAGCTATCACGCTCTGAAAACATTTTCAAGTATTATATATTTCCAATTCGGGGTTTATGCAAAATTCGAATATAGTTGACGCGAAACAGATTACTTGTCAAGACTTGATTATTTCAATAACAACTCAAATGTCAATAAAAATAAAGATGCTTGTGTATCAGTTTAAATATCATTTTATAGTTTCATTTTACTCATTTATTTTCGGAATAAAAACATTAATGAAAGAGTTAATTCTGCAGTTACAATTTTCATTGCTGTTAATATGTTATAATGGATTAGGAGCAATAAATAAAAGTAAATGTAAAATTATGAAATAAATTAAATATATCTTAGATAAAAATCCTTAAGGTTCGCCAGTAATAATTAATAAAAATCTTTCCTCAATGGTAAAAGTCGACCAAACTGGCAATCATTTATTGTAGATAATTAGTTAAAATACAACGTTTTGGCTGCCATTGCAGCCCTTTTCAAGTAAATCAAAAGTAAATGCTAAATAAATTAATACAGTAAATCAAATTCACTGCATACCTCCGACAACATTTACCATTGTTTTAATGAACAATGTAAAATTGAGAGAAGTAAGCAAGAAATAAAAAGATGTTAACAGTTAGCAAGAATCTTAGTCACTATTAATTTATTTAGCATTTACTTTTGATTTACTTGAAAAGGGCTGCAATGACAGCCGAAACGTTGTATTTTAACTAATTATCTACAATAAATGATTGCCAGTTTGATCGACTTTTACCATTGAGGAAAGATTTTTATTAAATATATCTTATCTGTCATCGAATAATGAATCAAACGTACCACTAGCATGTGAAGTAAAACAATAAACATAGAAGCGTTTCTGAAACCGATGTTATCCATTAGAATTCCAGCAATGCTAGGCCCGATAAAAGCTCCAAGGGCGAAAGTACTTGTCCACAATCCACTGATGAGACCATAAGTTTCAAGACTATTTGGAAATCCGTACGATCTTGACATTGATAAGAAATATTGTTAAAGAATACCATTTTTATCTATATCTAACAGAGTATATGAAATCTTGGTCTATTGATACAATGTATAAACAGGAAGTAGTGTACAATTGATATAGAAATAATTGAAGTAATCGAGAGCTGTTCTTATGCAACTTACATAGATGTCTGCAAGGCATCCGTGAAGCTTGCAACCAGTTGAGCAGACATGCCTAAGCCGTGGATCACGAGGCCGGTGATGGGCATCCAGATTTCTATAGACCACGGAATAAACGGTGCCGGGCCAACCAAAGAGAAACCAATCATTACGAGAACACAACCGGTGATTGTTACCACCTGAAAAACATTCACGTCTTTCTAATATAATATTTCATCGATTTGATACAATATTGAAGAGCCTGGAAGCCCTTTTGAGCTTTTTTTTACATTTAACACGAGCTCTTTTTTTTATATTTATTATTTATTACCTTTGGATGACAATATTTATCGCAAAGCCAACCCCATGCTGGCGCAGTCATCGCGTATGTACCGCCATTAATGACAAACATTAATCCCAACACAACCGGACTCAAGTTAAATTGCCTCAAATGAGGTTCCAAGGTTGCTTGCAAAAATCCAATACTCATGCTTGTCGCGATTATTGACATAGAAGCGATCATCACGCCGGGAATTTTTAGGACTTTCGTCACTCCTGTAAAGCATAATAAATGATAATATATATATATAGAAAGAAAGAAAGAGAGAGATTGTTAAAATTTATAGCGATTTAAATATATTTATTCGTATAATACCTCCGCTATTGTTCTGATCTCGATCACAATCATCGTGCACGGGTAGGATAAATGCAGTGATGACAGCTGTTAGGAACAATGCTGAGCCGAGGACCACGAATGGTGTGGTATATCCACCAATCTAATATATAAATATAGATATCGCACATTAGTATTTAATATTACTAAATTAATATTGCTGAAATGTGTCATTTTGTGAATTTAGGCAAAATATTGATATGTTGAATTTGCGGAGAATATTATTCTGAGAATACATTACCTGATAAAGTGCACCTCCTACGGTGGGACCAACAATAAGACCTAAACCGAAAAAAGTTTCCAAACTGGCGAATGTCGTAGCGACATTGTCGGGAAATTCTTGAGCGATAATAGCGAAGCTAGCTGTCAGAAATGAACCATTTCCTATTGCTTCCACAATTCTGATCACAAAAGATAGTATTATGAAAGGGTAATGACCATCGACTTTGTCCAATAAGCCAAACAATATGGCGCAGGTTCCTGTAGTTAAGAGACCACCATTGAACAAAAACTTCGGACCGATTCGATTAAGCTGTGAAAAATAATAAATATGATTAACTCGTTGATTAAAAATTATTATTGCACAAACATGAATGGTAGCATAAAATCTTAACTGCTTTAATTTAAAACTCTACATGTAATAATTTATGAGCCTGACAAATGGCAACTTTCAATGTTTCGCGTTTAAACCCTGATCATTACATAGGCTTAGCTAAGATTTAAATTTTGTGTGCTTACAATGTTGAATATTGCGTACGCTTCGATAACATTATATTTTTAAACAATAAAAATATATTTTCATAATTTTTTTTATTATTTAATTATATTATTTATTATTTAATTTATTTTATAATTAATAGATATTTTCACTCATAATCAGATTGACTTCAGATTCAAAAAGACAAGATAAGTTGCTTTATGATTATATACTTACTGTGAAAATATTATCAAGAGAATCATATTTTTAAGATTACAGGACAAATTTTCTTTCGATTTCTAACGTGATTTTGAAGATAATTTTAAAATTGCATTATAAATTGTCGAATCATTATACAATGATTATATTTATACTCACGTTTTGTCCATAAATTGGGCTAACAATAAAGACTATCAGTTCAAAAATTCCAAAGACCAAGCCATATTCGGAAGGTGATGCGCCTTTCTTTTCAGCCTGCGAAAAGTAAATATTCATGCTCTAATGAACATTTACATATACATTTATATATATATATATGTACGTGTTAATTTGCTGACGAAATATTGGCAATTTGAAGACACTTGAAGCTACGCAGTAGCTCTGTTTATTATCTCTGTCGTATTGCAATTAATATTCGTCGAGATAATATCCTGATAAACTTTGTAACTTTTGCTCCGACAAGACTACAAACCGAATTATCGTACGTTTGTCTGCCAATAGATAAAAAAACGCCCTTGGACATGTATTTCATGAATATACGTAGTTACAGAAAAATTACGTGATGTATCATGTGAAATATATTTTTAGAGAAAAGTGAGAATTGATTTAGATAGATAGTAATATTTTAACACTGACTGAGAAACAAGAAAGAAGAAACTATTATCTTGCGATATACATTACGGTGATATAAGAGTAAATAGATATATATTAATTTATTCAAATATACATTTTTAAAATCAAAACTTTTTTAACTTAAATAAAAATTTCATTTTAAAGTTTAAGTTTATAAAACTTAATTTGTGGCTTTAGAATACTATAATAATTAATATAATAATAATAATTTGCAATAACATAAATTAAATTACAAAGTAATACTTTACATAGCTTAGCTAATCTTTAATTGTAATTTTATTTTTATAAATAGACCAAAGAAAATCAATTTTTGTCGTCAAATATATTAAAGTTTAGAGGAAGAGCAGCATTTCCAAAAGTTTAATCTAAATAGGTGCAAATGTACTCATAGCACGAAATATTCAATTAAATTAATTGCAATATTCTCTGATATTCTATCACAAATTATCTGAATTACATGCATATTTCTTTTTTATGTTTAATTATTGTTAGCTTACTGTTAATATCTAGCACATTATTATCAGTAATACTACATGTATAATTTGGAATATGTTTTTAAATTCTATCTCTAATTTTGTTTGATTATATAAAGAGAGACAAATTTAGAATGTACTTTATATAAATTACAGTCCATTAATCGCCGGGGATGATAAAAATTATCGATGCATTCTTATTATGCATTATTATATTTTTCATCGATTGTAGAAATTATTATTTGTTTTATTTTACAATTTCTTCTCTTTTGTTATTAATTTATTAACATGTATTAATTAGTTTAATTATTTCTTCTTTTTCTTAAGCTCGTTTCGTTATAAAAATTATATAAAATTAAATTATTAATGTTTTTATATACGGTTTATAAATATAATATGTTACCTTATTATGATACATTATCACACAAATTTTAATACAATATTCAGCTTCTTTTTTGATCTTATGATATTTTTGTTTGTTTATATATATGTAGTAATTGAAACACAAAAAATTGAAACTAAAAAAGAAAGTAATATATAATTGTAATGTAAGAAAAAATCACGAAAACTTCTGATAATATTATTCTCTAATAAAGAAACAATATGGTAGTTGCATTTATTGAAAAGTTTCATTTTTGATTCTCTGTTTAAATATTGGTAAATTTGTAAAAAGATAAATGCGCTTTTAACTATAGAATAGCAAATAGATTATGATATGCAATATAGTGCATACGTAATCTAGTAAAAGGAAGATGTTTTATGCAGAAAATATCGCGGACATGTATTTCTTTAATAATTCCATCTATTTCGATATGTCTTTTTCACCGAGCAGAGAGAAAGAAAAAAATGTCGATTTATCGAGAAGATTTCTGCAACGAATGTTAACCTTTGCGCCCTTGAAAGAACGATTCAAACTCAAATAATTAAATGTTTCTCGAGACGTTTCACTTCGACACTATGGATAATATATTATCTTAATCAAATATATTAATAGAATATATCTTATATACATATATATTTTATTATATGTAATTATTTTTTAAGAGAAATTCAATAAATTTATTTTTTAATAAATAAATCAATATATAATTTTATATTACAATAATATATCTTTTATTGCGCGTAACGTGATTTAAATACATATGAAACACATAAGAATATATAAAAAATATAATTTAACAAAGCTGAAGCGAATAATAAGAAATTGAAAATGACGATGAAAGATGAAAGTAATGTAATTGAAAAATGGCGAATGAATTAATAATCCGCAGCATTATTATTCATATGGTATAAAATGATAGAACTTATATCGCAATTCTGTTTTACTAACGCAGAGAGAATGAATAACTGATTTGATCGGAAATAATTATATTAATAACTTGGCACGCGTGAACGGCTCCGTCTACGTAGTAAACAACATTAAAACTGGCAAGAGCTAGATATAATAATCCTATCAAAATACATTGCTTTGAGTTAGAAATGTCAGTATAACAAATGTCTGCGAGACTGACAGATTAATCTCAGGCAGCGCATCAATGGCGTTTGCGAAAAGAAGCGAGTAGCACGGATAACTGTCCCTTATCGTTTTATTAAACACTGCCATCTTATTACGAGATATGAGAAGAAAAAGACTATAACATTTATTTGATTTATAGCTAATAACACATTAGAGCATTTAAAAGATAACCTTACAATTTTATAATCAATATTTTCGCGCGAATAGCAATTTATCTGATCATTTTTCTAAGTATTATAAATCTCAGCAAATATTATTGTGAGAAATTTGAAAAATTATTAATATAATATATACTATTTAAATGCAATGTTACTATTTAAATGCAATAGAGTCTTAAAAAACTGTATATATATATATATATATATATATATATATATATATTAAACTTGTAAAAATAGGCAGAAATAAAATTTTGTCTAATTTACAATGTAAGATGTAGAATTAAAAAAAAAAAAATAGAAAATATGTATATATCAGAAACTTAAATAAAAGAGATTGTGTCTTTTGATTCGAAAAAAAATACATTTAAAATAAATTATAAATAAAATAATATTATATCTTAAAGATACCTAAAAAATTGCTAAGTTTGCTGAGTTTAAAGTCATTTCAAGATTATGTTATGATGTATGTTTGAACTTGTCTTAATATCAAGTCGAATACAAAAATAAATATATTAATAAAATGTGAACAAAACTATATAGCTTTATTGTGAAAAAATATTAATAACTTTAATTACACTGAAACCATGACTTTCAGAGAAAGAAATTACGCTTATTATATTCTTATAGTCTTCTTAACTCTGACATTGTCTCTGAAACTTGATAAATTTATTTATATATTTATTTGTGGACATTCTCCTTTATTTTCATTTCCAAGGAAAATATTTAAATGTTTTATTTTTTGATAACTCATTTCATACATCAAAACAATAATAGGACAATGTTATAAATATTTTGCTTATCTATATCGATCTGAAATTGATATATGCGCGTGGATAAGAATTTAAGTCTGCTACAATATCTTTTAAGTATTTATGATAATACAAAATATGACAGAATAAAATATATGAATAAATAGATTTTTTCAATTATCAACGAATTCATATATAACATATCGATAATAAACCATAACTTGAGCATTATCATGTTATGTCTGTAGAGATGGGTAGCCCTCGCGTAAACAATACTATCGTTTGAGAAATTCCACAAAGGCACCTTGAAGATAGAAGAAATTCTTTTGGTATCGTGTTTTAGAAAAAAAAAATTCAATAGTGAGATTCTTCATCAATTTTTCATCTTTTACATTTACAAATGTAATTATTCCGGAAAATTTGTCGCGTTCTTACTCCTACGACAACCATCGTCTTACCTCTTGAGGATAGAAGGGTGCTTGTAGTGAAACGCAGACAGCATTCGCAAAATCAGCAATGCTGATGACGATTAGGATGAGCCATTGCCTCTTAGTGAATTTAGCCATTCTAACTTATATCCTCCGCACAGACGCGACACTTAATCGAATCCTCGGCGAAGAAAATCTGCGGTTTTAGGAATCGCGTATTTACGACATCGGTAACGATCGACGTGAATAATACACACTTAATTCGAATACATACACACAATGTGTCCCGTTTTGTCTCGATCGTAACGTGTGCGCGTGCTTGACCGAACGTCGCTGCCGCACTACGCTCACTTTTAAGGACTTTGAAAGAACCGAGAAGAGAGAGGGTCGGAGGTCGAATGATACGATCCTACCACGGTTCTAATTCATTATCAGCTAACGCGCTGTCATGTCTCACGCGTGTTACAGAGTGAGAGTTTACGAGCGCCCGGCAAGCCGGAGCCGATTTAACCCCGTTCGAGATACCTCATTTATCTGGATTTTTCATCATTTTCTTTCTATATGCCCTCCTTTAATGATACCTTACTTCAGAATTTTATATTTGTCCAAGATGTAACGTTCAAAACAAAAGTTTTTCAAACACGATGTATCGTATGTAATGAGTGTAATTAATTACTTGAACAAAAAAATATATATAAACTACAATTTAAATTTAAATTTAATTAAAGAAATATATAATTTTTTGAGCTGGGTTGCTTGTGATTTTAATAAGATGAAATATCTTAGCCTTCAGTAAAAATAATTTATCCATCTAAAAAACTTTTTAAAAAATCTAGGAAAAAGAGGTTTTTGAGAAATTTCTTATTATTAATTGTGTCAATTTGATCCATATTATTAGTTAAGGGTTGATTTAATGATTTAGTCTCTGATTAATTTAAAAATAATTTTCCTTTATTGAAATAAATTTTCTCTAATGGATAAAAACGCCACAAGTGTCATGATTAAGATTTTTTATTTCGAGGTAGATATATTTATTATTTATTTTATTGTGAAAAGTAATTTTAAAATGATAATTACTTTTATGAAACATGTATATCTAATATAAATCGTAATACTATAATCCACACACGACATACAAATTAAATGTTAAACAAGTATTAAATGTTTAACAAAGCTACAACAAAGTCCGTAAATTACGTATTACATATGTATCATTTATCAATTAATTCCTAATCAAACTTAATTTTAATGCCATAAAATAACATTTGAAAGTCGATCTCACTCTGTCGATTTAAATTTATTATTACTTATTTTGCAAATTCTAAATACGAAGTTTATCATAAAAATAATGATATTGTTGAATGATATAAAATAATGTGATAATTTTTGAAAAATGTTAACACTGGACATTAAAATGACAATCTAATTTGTACTTCCAACTCTTGTAAATGTAAAAAAACTAAAGTTGCGTGAATTTTTGTGTGTGAACTTAATACGCTATTGAAAATCGAATACTATTACGTATCATGCATCCAGATTTTCATGGGCAATTTGCTGAAAGCGGAATTTAAAAATTCTTTAAAATGTTTGGCAATACTAGCACTAGCCGCCGGTCTCATTTCTTCGATTATCTCTTTGGCATTCTGATTTAGAAATTGATTCATTGCCTGTCCGATCACGTTGTTGCCGTTTAGATGATCCATTATGCGAAATCTGACTCGGCCGAGGCTGAAGTCGATCAGCAATCGGGAAATTCTCATGTAACGAATGCCATCCCTTATTTCTTCGACACCCTGTATGCGACCGATTGCCTCTACATCACCTAAAATATCAAAGTAAATATTGGATTATTAAATCAAGGAGGAGAAGAAAATTGATAATACTTTATCATAGCATGACGGAGAGAAATACTCTATATATTTTAGATAAATTAGATCAGTTTTCCTGTTTTTATTGTGCTTTCACAAGAGTACTTACCAAATAAGGCCCAAAAATTTCCGTGACTTTGTATGGGAAAAAGAAGTACGTTCCCGTTGATATCGTAATTTCCATGAACTTCAATTTTAGGTAACGATATATGAAGATCGATCCTGTACGATGATATATTCACTCGTACTTTGTTGATGCTGTAGTTTCCTGGTCCTATCGCAGTGATGTTAGTAAAAAACGCTCTAATACGCACCGGTCCTTGGCCATTTTCTATCTTTAATTCGGGAATTACTAATGGTTCGATTGAAGGCAATTCTAGCTCAGGAATACCTGTTAAAGAATTGATATTAGAAACTATTTCGAAATCAAGATCAAAATTGTGTTAAAAATCCCGAAAGTATATAGATTAACTGAGACAATACAATAATGTTGGAATTTATTCTCTAATTTGCATATTTTATTATTACATTGGTTATAAAAATAATGATATTGATTTTTTTTAAGAGCTACATGTGAACGCTGAGCACATTCATATCTATATAAGAATTTATGAAAAAGATAACAATTTATTATTATTTTTTTTGGACATTTTGGTCTATAAAATTTTATATTAATTAACATATATTATTTTTATTATTTATTATTATGGTAAATACTTTTTTTCGGAAACTTAAATCTCATTTTGTTAATTATCGGTCACGATTTTATCTATTTATTAAAATAACACAGTTTTATTTTTCTATTTTATACAAAACATAAAGTGTAGAAAAAGAAAAATTTAACATAAATATAAATAATATATTTTTCGAGTAAATTATATGTATACTTATATATAAAAGTAAACTTTATTCTTTTTTTTTAAATAGACGTTCAAATTAAGAGATGTGCGATAATATCTATTTATTAAAATTAATTTAATATACAAGAGAGAAAATAGAACACAATATTCGTGTTATATATATTTTTTAATTGAATTTAATTCAATATTTTGTGACACAACAATACACACCGACACGGTGCGGCGCCAGTGTTCGGTTCAGTGATTTTGTTAACAAGATGACAGGATCGTCTTGTCATTCGCGTGACGAGGCTCGAGCGAGAAGGTAGGTACTAATACGAGACGCCCCGTGTGTCATCGTATTATTTCTTGCAAGAAATGTAATCGCGACAAATAAAAAGAAAAAATTCAGAGGTATATACGTAACGTGGTTATTCGTTACAATTATTACGATCAATGACTGTTCGTGCAATTCATTAATTGATTCCGAAATCAACATGTCAAATTGTCAATTATTTATATCATAGAATAAAGTATATTGCGCGATTTAATTATTTGAAATAGAAATTGGTGCAATAAGAGACAATAATTATAAATTGTATGCGTTTTGTTACGGACGGTATTTTTTTGCGTAATTATTTATTTAAGAAATATATAGGCGCGCGTATTGGGAGTTAAATATATTGTGCCTTGCTATAAAACTCTTTACTGATTTAAATTAATTAATTAAATCCATTTATAGATAGAGACCGCGTAACAAAATATAAGTAAAATTGAAAAATTCAAAATAACAAAAAATCTATATTTACACATATAATAGTATCATAAATAATTAGTTATTTCAACTTTTTTTTATATGTATGTATTAGTTTAAATTATTTTCAATTCTTTCTTAATGAATTACTTATTAATTATTAATTAATTGTGTAATATTTTGCGACAATGTCAAGCATGCAATGACATACTTTTCCCATTTCGCTTATTATGTAAAAACGTTATAAAAAGATCTAAATTAGTTGTACAAATTTTCGCAACATTTCGTAATATTGATCCCGATGAAAGTTTATGGTATACTCTTACAACATGAAAACACTTTACGTAACAATTGGTACTAACATTTTGCTGCCTACAAGCTTAATTGATCTACCCACTGCATTAACTGACGCGTTATATAAATTCGATAAAAAAAAAAGATTAAACATCGTTTGATCAACTGAAATAAATACATCAAATGAATAAGATTTTCATATGGGGGATATTAATTTCTCTGGGGGTATTTATTTTTTAGATCAGATTATGTGAATATTATAATATATAATAGATAAAAAATAACATATCAAAACGAACGATTATAATGACTTTAAGTAATATTAAATTTTTATTCACAATATTTATACTATTTTTCTTACATTTCTATCAGTACGTATATTGGGAAGCATTTGGCTGATTTAATGAATTACCGCGTGTCCGTGGTGTGCATATTGATTTTACTTACCTTTCACCAGGTATGGTTGAATATGGTTGAGCGTGCCAAGAAAGCACGAGTCGATCTTTGGATCTTTTCTGCTACACGGTAATATGTACTCGGCTGTAAAAAAGGAAACTTGATTGTATGCGATCAGACATTGCATAATGAATATTATGTAATTAATAACAGGCACAGTATAATAATAATAATAATAATAATAATAATATTACAATTTTTAAACAATGATCTAATCGCGAAATTTCGAAATAAGCAATGATCGTATATCTGAATAATAGTCTTTTTTAGTCTTCCTTAAGTATATTTTTTAAACATTGCGTCTAGTTTTTAGACTTATACATGGATAGTGTACAAAGATTTATTGGAATTGCTAATTCGTATATATTTTTCACACTGCGATAACGAGACTTAATATTTTAAAAAACCAAATTAGGCAGGAATTTATTGACCAACACCGGCAAAGTTTAAATTTCTTTTATTAGAAAAGAAACGACGTTTCGACCATCAATTAGGTCCTCTTCAGGCTATAAAAATTACATAATACATTTCGGTAATACAATAAAATAAAAATAATAAAAATATCAGTGAATAATCGATGTATAAAAGAAACCAAAATTATAATAAAATATACATAAATACCTATTGAATTAAAATACATATTCCAATCAACGAATGATCAGGTAACTGTCAGTTGTAATACAACAGAAATGACATTCTTAAAAGAAATTTAAACTTTGCCGGTGTTGGTCAATAAATTCCTGCCTAATTTGGTTTTTTAAAAATTTAACTGGCGATCATATCACGTTTTTCTTGTTAATATTTTAAAATATGCAATTTTATGCCTTCGTAATATCTTTTGGAAACACTATGAGGTGCTATAAAATGTTGAATAAATAAAACTAAGCAGTAAATGAAATATACTAAATAAATCAAGACTATGAAAACTTGTAAAATCGTGTAATTTATATAATAATTATTTTTTCCAACATTATACAAAATTTATTAATTATTTATATGTTATATACTGACAATATCAGTATCAAAAATTAGTAAGTTTTAAACTTTAAAGAGCTAAATTAAATACAAAATTTTTTTATTGTATATTTTTCTGTTGATTTTATCTTTTTAGAATCGAATACTATTTGAAATCTAATACTCTATTTAATGTTCTTTTCTTATTTTAATATATATTTTGTTATATTAATTTTGTTGTTCTCTTGTTATTTAATGTGCGTTTATTTGTGTGTATACATTAATATATTATAAAAAATTGTTATTAAATATTATATTATTATGGGTAAACTTCGCGATTATTAAATTAGCTTTCGAGTAATTAAATTGTTATTTCTCTTTTTTGTTTGTATTACCGGGATATCATTTAATTTGATCTAATGGAAATTATAATTAACATAGAATTATACTTGACATGGAATTATGCATACGTCCGTTTTTCAACAAATTATTCTGCAATGTTTCTTCCTACTTCCTTTCATATCTTTTATGCAATCACTCTCACTTTCAATGACCTCGCAAGGCTAACAGTCAATTGATGCTACTTTACCCGCCTCAAATTTGAAGAAACGTCAATCAGAGAAAGTAGTATTTTACTTGTATACTTCCGCGCGAGACTTTAAATGACTTAGAATAATTTGCTATTTTAAAAGAAAATTTTCTATTAAATAAATTTTAATTGCTTAATTTTTTTTACTTTTTACCGAAAAATAAAAGCTTATGACGATATCATATTTTCCATGTGTGTGATTTGATCATTTTATTAAATATTATATCTATGTGTTATAATAGTATATAATGTTTTAAATATTAGAGCAAACTCTCATATAAAATAAATTAGTAATAATTACGTGAGCATTATTGTATTCTAATATTGCATATATTTTTACTTTTTTTAAAGAATGCAGTCCAGATTAATTTTATTATAAAAAACGTAAACTTAATAATTATTTAAAAATGATGTAGTTTAAAAAAGTTATATATATATATATATATTTCTCTATTAATAATATACAAATTAATTAACTTTCATTGTCATAGATAAATATTTTATATAAGTATATTGAAATTTATGTAGGCATTTTTAAATTTATGAATTAATGAATTAATTTCCATATGTGTTTTAACAGTATTATTCGAGTTTTTCTCAAAAAAATAATAGTTAATATACTTTTTACTATATAATTAAGGACATCTATTAATTAACATTTTTAATGAGAGATATGAGCAAAAAAAAATTTGGTTGATTAAAATTTAGTTTCTAATACTATAAGTATGGCGACTCTTGACCTTTGTTGACGTAATTAAAATTTGTGTCAAACACCAGTAACAAGTTAGTAGCTTCGTATCGATATTATGTCTTGTAGTGGAATCTGGTCCACCTGACACATGTCTATTACGTCGCCACTTTCACTCTTGACACCCGCTCGGTCGACTGCACAAGAACGAATGTATACATAATGACAGACAAAGAAGTATATTAAACTTTAGTATTTACAAATATACATACAAACATTAAAAACCACATTAAAAAACCGCACTTATTTATCTCTTGAATTATTATATTTCAAAAATGCTGATCGATAATATCTTTTTTATTTTGTAATTCATATTTAATTAAAACGCACACATACTTGATTTAAATTATACATTTTAATGATATGAACGATTAAAATTTTGTTTTTATTTGTAAACGTATGCTCGCATATTTTAATTAGTTATTGTTAACTTACAAATTTTATTTAACGAGAATTTGAATAGAAAATTTTGATGAATTATTAAAAATATTTCGTAATTAATATAGAAACATTAGGTACAATTTTTTTCACATAGACTGAGTTTTGACCATAAGAAACGTTATATCCAGGAAATAAAAAAAAGGAAATGTGATTAATCTTGATGTTTAGAGCCTGATTCGTAAACCCAGCACTTATCTTTCGAAAAAAATGTCGTCGCTTAGGTAATACGTAAAGTATACGGAGTAGAGAATCGGCGGTGCTTTGCGTATATCGTTGTAATACTGGCTTAACCCGGTACTTTCTCCGGACGATTGCCGCCGATTCTCGACACCAAGAATTACGCAATCTCTGACATAACCTTCGCCACGCCGTTGAGAAACGTTACGCCATATTTCGAGACATTATATCGGTGAGGACCAATGTGCACGTCGTTTTGCGTCATGTTCATACATACGAATTTGCTAGACTGGGCTATTATTACTTTCAGGAATGTTGGATAAAAAGTGCATGGCGTGATGTGGCACGTGTAAATTTCTTCATGCAAAACAGAATGATCACATTAACAGAGGAAATATTATGGTACGATGTTATTAATTTTATTAATGACACATAATTTTGTAAATGATATCACTCAGTGTGTAACACCGTTAAAGTTATCGATTTGTGATGAAAATGCTTTAGTATCGATTAGTAATGAATTTATTTCTAATTTTAATTTTTTTTTATTTATAAACATTTTTTAATTTTATCTAAATGTTCCATTAATGATTATAAGTAAATGAGAATTATTGTTACTGTAATATATATATATATATATATATATATAATTCTCATTACATAAATTAGAGCTAATAATTAAATAGACTAATTCAATAGAATAATTTAGAACTAAATATTGATAGTATTGTCATATGCACCTTTTTAAATTGTTCATATGCAGTCGTTAATTTATAACAATATAACGATATAAACGATGACAAAGATGATTATATATATATATATATATAGCACATTATATGTGTAAAAAATTACAAAAATTTATATAACTTCTTACATAAAATTAATTTGCATAATAAATATTTGTTATGAAAGTTGTTGTTTGAATAATAATTTATTGCGTGCAAGATTTTAGACAAAATAAAGTTGAAATATTATTTCGATGTTTAAATATTATTTCTATTTTTCAAAAGTAATTTTGATTGATCTCACAATGTTTATAATAAATTTTTTAATTAGATTTATAATTTGCAAAAAGATTAAATATTCTCTTGTATGATAAAATAAAATAATATATTATTACAGAATAATACATTCTAGCACGCGAATAAAAATGAGAATAATTAAAATCAATTTGGCAAAATGAAATATAGATTTGACTATACATCTATAATCGAACTTGTCAAAATGTCGCGAAAGAGTTTAATTAGCAATCGCGATCGCGGAAAGTGTAGGTGCAATCAAGGCAACAAGTTTCCATCACGTAACCATACGCTGCATCCATTGTTTGTACTTCTTTAGACTGTAACGAAAGAGAAAGGCAGATACGCTCGAGATGTTCGGCAAAAAAACGCGAATGAAAACGCGAAGTGAGATTACACTCGCATATAATCATTTCCTATTATCTTTTGTATACGTAATCAATGCGTTTATGCGTTATTCTCAAAATGAAATAAATGTAAGAAAGAAAGATAATAACGATAAAAGGAAGAAAAGATTCCTTTCGAACTAACCATAGAAATACAGTAGTTTAATTTAAAAATAAGTGTGTCATCAAATTATTATTAGCAAAGATTATTAAACAGAATAATAACACAAACCTTTTCCGGAAGCGTATATGAAAGAATATTAGCTTTCTCGTGGTTCTTTTATCGTTAGCATCAATAACATTTATTAAATAATTACAGAAATATTAAAAAAAAAAATAAAACTATTTAAAAATGCAAATATTGAAATTAAAATTTTTTATATATATATTAATTAAGAGAACAAAACAGGCCTTAAAGAGTCGACAAATATTGGAAATGCTTGAATGTGTGTCTTAATGAAAATGTTAATAAATGAAAAAATTATTACACAGTTTAGTCATGGTTCAATGAGAAATAAAAATGATTGCGATCAGGTAACTAATGAATATTATCGCAATATCTCTGACTAATAAAATCGCATGGCGCATAGCAATCAATGTCATTTCAACGTCTCAGTTTCTAACAACTGCGTGAAGGACAAGACAGTTTAGAGATGAAAAAAATGATTTTGACACAAATCTTACGAGTGGCGAAATCCGGCTCATTGAGCACCGTAACGTTGGCTGCCGTAACGTTGACTTCCTTAACGTTGACTTCCTTAACGTTGGCTTCCTTAACGTTGGCTTCCTTAACGTTGGCTTCCTTAACGTTGACTTCCGTAACGTTCTGATCCTTGCAGGACACTAGTAAGATGCTCGAATAGAGTCCCAGAAGCAGGATGGTAGCTACCCTTGTGAAGGTCATTCTGGCTGTACTCTTCTCTCGAGAGACACGACACTCTTCACTTTCTCGTTCTGATTATGTCTGTAAAAATGCGAACACATCTTTAGCAATCATGCCGTGCGATTAATTACCCCTTACAAGGGACACTTACGACAGGGCACTCGTATTTAGGAGCGTGTACTTTAGCTCAAAGACCGGCAACTTTCTTGGCACAAAGATCGCAGAGAAAACATAATCGCGATATATGTGTATCGCGATATCGAGATAGGCTCGAGAAAAGAATCGAAGATAAAGAGTGCGAGAAAAAGGGTTCCGCCGATGACTAAACGACTATACTTTGTGATAAACTAAGGACGGGACCCCTTCATATCCTGTCTTATATGCGTGGGGATTCCCCTACTCTGAGAAAGCACCACTGCCTATCGACTTTAAGAAGTAGTCGTCGTGGCCTTTTTCCACATTTACCAGGACAACGTGCTCAACAATCTATCTTCTATGACCAATTGCACACGAAATTTGCATACGATTGCGATGATCGCGAAGAATGTGTGACGTTATTGTCGTAAAAACGCACAACGCTTCGTTTATAATTAAACAAATTCTTTGTGGGAACGGTAGGATTTTTATATCTTTGTCTTTTGTTTTTCATGCGCATAATTGCAGTTTATTATTGCAATTATATCGTTGGAGAGATTTTTCATGAATCTTATAGATTTTATACATTTTTTTAATGTATATTTTTGTGCATATTATATTTTTTTATATAATAATAATAATATATATATATATATATGTATTATTATTAGTATTATTATTAGTATTATTATTTTCCATTAAACTTTTGTTTTGCCAAAAATAAAATTCATTATATATGTATATGTATATTTGAATACTGTTATTTAAATACTATCTTTAATATCTTTCTTTGGTATAATTTGCATTATATTTATATGTAATATATCAAATGCAACGAAATAAATAGAAAAAATACGTTCCTATTTCAATATTTTATATTGATGAGCGTGTATTGCTATAAGTATATAAGTTACATTGACTTTTTCACTGACCTAAATATCATCGACAAAATCATACAAACATTTTTTTTAAATTATATGGATTGATCAAAAATGGTAAATACGTAGGTACATAGAGTATAGAAAAAAATAGATCATTAGTAGTTAATTACTTTATAAATATGTATGACTGGAAAAAAAACTGAATTAAAATAACACTTTTTTATAGTTACTACGCATGTAAGAGCTAAAAAATGTTATTACCCGTACCAATAAAAACTACAATAATAGAAAAAAATTACAGGTAACAATAATTTCTTCAATAATGTATTATTGAATAATATATTATTGAATGAATAATATATTATTGAAAAACTATTATTGTACCAGGATACTCCAAAAAAAATTTAAATAAATGATTAAAATTATTTAAAATTCTTTAATTAATTGCATGAGAGAATATAAATGATAAATATCAATCAAATAAATATAAATATTAATATATCAATCATATAAATTATTAACACACTCTCAAATAAAAGGAATATTAATTAATATTAAAAATAATTTCGAAATTGTAGAAATAAAATAGTTAATTTTTTACAATATAACCATCTCATCATAAATAACAAACATTAAGTGTGAAGCAATTGTAATACTCTTTAGAAAAGAATTGCGACAAATTACATAATTAGATGATTATGTAATTACATTGTAAGAGATGGAGTGTGTCGAAAAGGAGAAAGAGAAAAACATAGAGAAAAGGAAAGAAATAAGAGAATTGCAATGAAAAGGAGTGAAAATAAAATACGACTTATGCGTAAAATAATCTTCATACAAATACGAATTACAAAAAATGACTCGTACTTGTAAAACATATATATGTAAATGCTATTTTTCAATCAAATAAGTTATAATTATGCATCATTTAAGGAAATTCTTGAGATTTCTGATATTTCTCCTAAGGGATGATTTTCAAATATACTTGACTGTAATGATGGTTAACAGTTTAAAGGAGCAAGAAACTGTTTTATCAGAAGAAGAGAATTATAAATATAATAAATATCATCTCTAAATATTTAAATACATATTTGTTGGAAAATTATATATATGTATATAATGCAAATATTAAAATTTAATTATCGAAAAATTATACTTTTTTTCATACACAAGAGCCGATTATATTACATATAAATAAAGAATAGTAAAGTAACACATGATTTTCTAGATTAATTATTTAGACTTTAGAAAATTGAAAACAATTGATAGAATAATAAATTATCGAATAGAACAATAAAAGGTAATGGAAAGGGTAATGGTTTAGGTAATGAAAAACGAACTCTATAATATATATAAAAACTTTTTAAACTTTTTGCGAATAAGAGTAATCAACGGATTTTGGTAACTTGAGAAGAAAAGAAGGTTTAGGGAGGCATTGTCGATGGCAAAGAGAGTTTATTTAATTTATTTATTCGGACAATTTATACAAGAATTAGAGAAAAAAATTTATATATAATATTTTTAAAAAGCTTATTGTATACCTAAAAATAATAGGTTTTTATGTGTATAAATATTCCATTAAATGTCTGTTTGTACGCACTGAATGATTCGACGCGAGCAATAATAATTTTTTAAATGCATAGAATACATTATTAATTGCCTATTAATATAAAGAAATAAGTACATAATATACTAAAACGACATATTATTTTCTGTTGTTTACAAATTAGACTGAACAATTTTCAATAGTCTTTTAATATGCGCACATGCTTCACAAACATAGTTTATACATATAATACATATTATATTTTTTTGCATATCTATGTGTGATGACACAATCAAAATTTACAGAAAATTAAATCGTGATTAGAATGCACACACTTTCTCATCTCAGATGCAACTGCTAGTTTGAATTTTAGTCAATTAACATTTTTTATTGATATAAAAACTTTTAAATATAGATTATATCTATAAATATACATTAAAAATATATTTATATACATATATAAAATATTTCTACATATAAAAGTATATGTATTTAAATATATATTTTTATATGTAACTAATAAATATATAAATTATAAACATTTAGGGTGGTAACAATGTATCCATCGGAAACTTTGAGTAAATCTTATTCGAAAATGTTTTGAAAATGTCTGCAACAGTATTCTCGAGAGCTGGCTTAATTTCGGCTGCTACAATTTTCCAATTGTCATTTATAAATAGATTCATAGCTTTGGATAAAGTATCATCGCCATTGAATAAATTATCCAGATTGATATTGGCGTTCCCAACGTCAAAGTCCACGTAAAAATCGATCACACGATAATGAATCTCATCAGTTTTTCGAGATTTATAACGTTCACCTTGAACAGTGGCTATAACTTCGATATCCGTGAAATTGCCACGTGCTAATCCATTTCCGTTTATTGGCAACAGCAGAATCTTTCCGTTTATATTGTAACGCGCACTCATTTCAAGACGTGGAAGGTATAATTTCAATCTAACTCGATCATTATCTACGTCAACTCTAAAAAAGAATGCTACATCAATTCTGCGTGCAACAAAATGTATGAATAATTTCTTAATATACAATTTAATTAATATAAATAAATTTTAACCAAATTAATTTTCCATAAATAAAAAAAAATTATTTTGGTCTATCGCGGGACTTACTTGACGCTCTTTAAGAGGAAATTTGTTCCACCTCGAACTTCGATATCACTATATGTCGATCTGATGGAAATTGGGCCAACTGCTTGGCTGATTTCAATTTGTGGTACGTGAAGCGGCTCACAAGGTGGTATTTGTAATTCTGGAATGCCCGTCCTCAAGTAAGGTCTTAACAACTCCACGCTTTGTTTTACACATTCGTTTAGATTCGGATCATTGCGATGACATATCTTCAGAAACGGCGCTATAGAGAAAATCTTTTTTTCACAATTTTTCTTGCAAACTGTTGTAATTCAAATAATGTTGTAATGTCAACAATGTAATAATTAACATTTAACATGAACAGGTAACATTTTATACGAAATATACAAATTGTTAGAAAATATGTTATAGTTAACATGGCAGATTAATTATTATTTATCATAATATTTTATTAAAAATTCCGTTACGTGGAATATCAGATTTCGAAAAATTGAATTTTATAGACTTTATGGATTTAATTTTCTTATAAAATGAATATAAATTTTTACTTACGTATATTTTGAGATTTCACTGCGATGAAGCCAGTTATTATCAGCAAAAATGCGAGAATATTTGTGTGCATTGTGACTACGAAGAAGTCCAGTCATGTAATAACTCACTGGTACGCTAAAATGTACAACGAAACATATGTGAATTTGACAATCGATTATTGCAATGCGCTGATCGAGCGTTTTTTTTAATAGCCCCCCTTTCACGATGTTCTCCTTTACTTACGATTTAATGTGCTTGTTTGACATGAAATGATACGCTTGCGTTACGTTTTTGTGATGCAATATGATTTAAAATGCAATTTAATTTTTTCAGTATCTGTATGTCATTTTCCAACTTTAAAAAAAAAAAAATTGCTTAATTGGCATTTTCATTTTTATTCGTGTGATAATGATTTCCCGCTTAATGGAAGGCTGTCCCAGGACCTTGCTCTCCATTACATCATTGTGTAATAGGAGAATTTAAGGAAAAATATACTGACGTCTGACTAAGAGTCACTTAGCCAGCATCATATAAGATTGGTCCATGGCCCAGATCTTCTATGCCCTTCCACGATTGACTATAAAAACTTCCCGCGAATGCATCGTCGGCTTGCAGTCGATAGTTTTACCCTAAGTTTGCGGGTATCGTTAATACTCTTTAATTTGAAGACTCGTAGAGAATCGTTATTTTCGAGATGTTGCTTATAGAATCGTCGAGCAGCAAAAATTGATGTGACGTAACGTGTATGTATGTTGAATCGGATGCTGACGTACATAATCGTTCTATGTTTTCTATTAATATTCGTCATTATCGGTATTATCTTAGTATTGATTTATAAACCAATTTACGTTTGGAAGATTGACATATCTTATTGAAGAATCAAAAAATTCGATATTTTTATCAACGAATAAAATTTGTCAAAATTTGCAAACCATCACATTTTGAGAAATTAATAGCTGCAAAGACAAAATGCAAAGATTAGCGTCGCAGACTATCTTTCACATACTTTTAATACTCTCTACGATAACTTTGGCGAGATGCGCGTTATTAGAAATGTCCCGGATGCTCTGGAACAAGACTGTATCCGGAGGCCTAACGAAGATAGGCAAGCTGGATCCGTTGAAAGTGCCGATAATCAAAATTGATCAATCCGAGGGAGAGATTAATTACAGAGTGATCCTGAGAAACTTGGAAATCGTCGGTCTCAATGAATCGTTTCTGGAGAGTATCCACGTCGTCCGTGGCGGATTAAATTCCAACTTGAGCGAATTCGAGACCGGATACGTGAGTTACAGCAACATCAGAGATGTAGATTCTATCAAGTACAGATTCCATACCATGATGAGGGAACCTAGTGAGCCGAAAGAGAGTTTCGAAGCCGTCGTTTCGCCCGTAAATCGAGCCACAAATATCAGACCGTCTTATCAAGAAGCTCGCTTCGAAAAATCCCAACAAGATCAATACGGTTCCAGGATATTCGAACAAAGTCAGCAATATGATCGGCGAACGCCTTTCCGTCCCGATGCTACGTTCGATGGTTTTAATAGAGGCAATTTCAAAGCGCCAAACAATTTTCAGACAAATCCTGGAAATTCCCAAGATTTCAGGCGTCCTTCTTACGTCCAGCCTATTTATACGCAGAGAATGAAGGTTCAGGGATATCAGGGAGGCAGTGAAGACACAATTGATTGCGAAGATACAAAGAGCACTCAATTTAGAAGGAATCAGAAAGGCAGCCAAAAATATGGATCACGACAAGATGCTGAAAATGTTGAGGTTCACTTCATTGTTTCCCTCATAATAATAAATAGCAAAATAATTATATATTATATTGTTTATATTATATAAAAATTTTATATAAGGATCGAACATATTTTAGAATGAAGTAATATAAGTAATGGCGTGATTAATATGCAGAAACTTTCAAACTACAAAATTTACTAAAACAGGTTTCTGCATCGGAAACAGTCGAGACTAGGTTGAAAAATCAGGGTGATGCAAGACCGCCTGCGTTGTATAATAGAGAGCAGTCTCTACGATCAAACGTTACACGTGCGGGCAATGTTAAATTATCGAGAAATGGAATTAGAGAGCGAACGGGTTATATCGATATTGTTTACGCGGATGACAAAGCAAACGGAAGTATAAAACGTTTCGGTAACTTAGGTATCGATCCTGCAGAGAACCGACAAATATATGGAATCGAGGACGTCATGAAGGTATTTTTTTCATTTATTTATTTAGTTTTTTCTCTTTAAATATTTTTCAATTACGTATTATTTGTCAAATATTTTGATCCTTAAATTCACGTATGCAGGACATTCGAGAGGATACAAGATTCATTATTCACAATTTTACGGAAGGCGAAGCCTTGAGGAAAAAAAATGACATAGTTAAAGCTGCGATGGAAGCTAAAAATTTGAAGAATCTAACTAGGTATGCGAAGAGCTATCAGGAACAGCAAGGATACTTTGAAGAAGGCATGCAATTGATCTATCATTATGGAATAGACTTGAGAAATGATAGCGCTTCGCGGAATATCAAAATCAATGATACCAAGAGAACGAAACGAGCGCATCCTGAAGAAGCTGATGAAGTAAAAATCGATATTTTAATTAAATCTACACATTTCGAATTGTTGAAAAATTGTCTTTATTATTCTCTGATATATCTACGAATTAATGACAGAAAAAAATATAATTTTTCTTTCAATATCTTGTATACTGTAAATATTTCTAGGACGACGTAATTCACGTGATTTTAAGATTACGCGTGCCATTGCTTCGCGTCAAGTCTCAATACTCGCTTACAGGAAAAGTGGGAAAGGAGATGTTACATGGCAATGGCCTGTTGACCGGAAACTTTAGTAAGAAAAAACTTGCGTGCGATGTTTGGCGTGAGATTGCGAAAAATTCTGATAATTAATAAATACACTTGTATTATCTTAATAGCCGATGTAGTGGGTGATTTTACATTGGAACTGAAGAAGATCAACGACGAGCTGATGATCGTACGTGCTGCTAGAGCCAAATTGTCCGCCAAGGACAAGAAGATCAGTCTTCAGGGTATGAACGAGGCCGGACCAGTGCAAGTTATTCTCAATTATAGTAAGTATACGACGATTACGAATGATGCGCATCCGCGATTTATTGTTCTTTCGGACAGAGAAATATTAATCGAATTTAGTGCCTCTGAGCTTCAGAGAAAGAAAACAATAAATTAGCTATCTACTGTCAAAGTAAATCGACCAGCTTTAAAGCCGGTCTCGACGATTACGTGAAGTCACATTTGTGTTTGTTACGCGACTGTCACGGCTCTTCCGTAATTACTCGAATGAAAGCTGAATGAAAGAATGAAAAGTTAAATTCTTTCTTGGAAAGTAACATCGATTCGCGACTCGCTACGTGGCGCGATATCGAGTAGACATATATCGCGTCAATTATATAAACGGTGCATAAAAAAGGATAATTGTGCGGAAGATGAGTCTGCATGTAAAATGCAAAATTCTGCAATTTCGTAGATAATCTCTCCTCTTTGCTTCGTTCAAAAGAAACTCGCCGATCGGAAAAAACGTGCCGATTAAATCACGATCGTCGAATGCGAGCCGAGAATTCGCGAGAGAGTAAAAGTCCTCCTCGCTTTCTTGCGAGCGCGACCGAACGGGCATTAACTCGATTAATCTCTCATTCACGCCGATTTACTTTCCTCCGTTCAGGTTTAACCGCTGCAGAGGCAGTCGCCGCAATGCTCGCCGACGATTTTGCCACTAAGGGACTTGGCGAGAAATCGGCCGACGCGCTCATTTACAGGATGTACAACAATTCACCCGTCAATTGATCAGTCTCTACTTGCTCGATCAAGTGTGCGGGATGTTCAGGAATTTTGCGCCAATATTTATTATTTATTTTAGATCCTTATTTGTGTGCAAGAGTTGTCAAGTATTTATTTATGATTATTTTGGGATGTATTTGCTTACACATATGTTTATATACTGGTCAACGTAATGGGGTTTCAATTAGTATATATATATATATATATATATATTATTACTTAGCTATATGAGCTTTATTCTTTACTTTTAATTAAATCTATTTATTTATGTTGTATATTACACAAAGAGATATCAATTTAGAACTACTCTTTCTAAACTCTTGTGTTGAGACTTATAAATTCTTATAATTCTTAACAAAAAAAATAGAAAGAATTTCTTTAGCATTTTTTATATTGCTTACACTCACATCTATTTCCCTTTTTAGTAATTTAAATCATTTATATTATTTTAAACTCTTTTTAACTCTTTATAAGCGTTATTCCTTGTTTATTTGCATATTGATTATTATCTCATACAAATTTTGCTACAAGTATTGTTTTTGAAATTCTGCATTACATGAAAAATAATTGTGTAATCAACAATATATGTATAATTACGAGATAAAATTTATTGTTTATAATACTGGTGAGAAAATCATCATTATGAATTTTGATTGCTTATTACAAGAATAGAGAAAGAACATAAATGGTTAATGAGAAATGATTCAATGGATGATTATATGTACGGTAGTTACCAATTATATGTATATGCAAATCTTTATTTAAATGTAAAAAAAACTAATTATTGAAATTAATGCAACGAGCAAACATCGGAAGCAGATGCTTGTAAATGAAAAGAGTTCTTAACGATATCGTATGTTAAATAAAATTGAGCAACTCCTTTCTCTCTCTTTCTCTCTCCCTCTAAAGAAAAGGACGTGTTCTTAGATCGCAACCCTGGCCTATAACCTGAAAGTTCTTGTTGATTTTCAGTTTCAATCATTTTCAACGTAACTTTGCATGTTTTCTTCTTCGAACATATATTATAATTTTAACCTTACATATGTAACACTGCACATTACCACATCTTATTATGCATCTATATTACGTATTGTTACGCTTTCATGTCTAACAATCAATGGATGTGAGCGGGATTTTCCTACGTTTTGTGTGCTGTAATTTTATCCTCAATTAACTAAGATAAGATTTACATAAATTATTCAATGTTTTATTATAGGAACGATATATTTCTATCTATATTTAGATTTTAAAGCGATCCATTATAACGCTAAGATGCAGTTACTTTTTTTCAAAAGTTTAAAAAAAATTCCGATAATCATATTGTTTAATAATCATGATAACAGTGTCAGCTAACTGCGCTTTTATCAAGGAATTTTTCACTTGAAAAGGACCAAAAACAGATGGTCAAAACGTTGTGGAAATAAAATAAAAATTTTCTTGGCTAGTTTGGGTCGAATTAAATATATCGTTTATTCCTATTTTAAATACCACTAGCGACGTTTTAAGTATTCAATTTGACAATATTTTATTGTTATAAACAGAAGTGTCGATTATTTATCGAAATAGATAATAAATCTTGTACAGCTACAAGAAGATATAATCGACAAAATAGTATATTGATCCGATGATTTCACAATTATATATTGTATAAGATGATAATGACAACGTATAAAAACGTTAAAATTGTTATTCTAAATGTTAATTCTCAAAAAAAATTTGATAAATTAAACGTAGAACGGAGTTAATTTATGCGAACAAGTTCAAGTATTAAGCGTCAAATTAGCAATTTCCAAGTTAAGAAGAAAAACACATTACGTCGGCAATAAAATACTGCCGCGTGTCCAAGAGCATCGCTATTCTCGACTAACAATAAGTATAAGCGCTAATGGTTTCGTTGTTAGATCAAATTATTCTCGAAATAATGTGTCGACAAATTTCTTTCGATTAAGATCCTCAAAATCGATGTCTCAAAACGATGACAAAAGTCAACGATCTTAAAACCGCGATGCGTAATCAACCGCATCTCGTCCTCATCCTTGGACGTCGCAGAAAAAAACCATCATTTATGAAGATGATACGTGATTGTAATAGTCCGAGGTACTTTATAGTTTCCCGTAATTCTAACGGATGTCATGCGCACATAGATTTATGCATGTGCGCGTGCATACAGGTATGTCGCGCGTATGCAGATATTCGTGTGTCAAGATTGTTTGCGGCCCTGACTGAGTTAAAAGGAGGCATTCTACCATGAATTCACCATCGCTGTCGTGCGAGTGGGGTTGGTACCACGCACGGAGAAAGTGCACTTTACTTTATATATACTCACGCGACGGGGCCATCGTACGCATTTTCGATATCGCTGTCGCTAATTGCGATCACATATCTCGTGAGAGAAGAGTCGTTCAATCGCGAGTCGCGCGATCATATTTATAATACATATATACATAAGTACAGGATCATCAAGAGGATGATGCTGATCGGACTCGTACTATTCGCCGTGTGGACCAGGACTGCTGTGTCAGAATTGCGTAAGTTTATATGTTAATACGTGTGGTAAAAAGATCACTAATAATATAGTTTGCTTTATTATTTACACATGAATATATAATATTGTATTTTGTTTCTTGTCTTATATTATTCATTATAAAAATAATTAATACAATTTATATAATAGTGACCTTAGGCATTATGCTATCTCGTTGACTATCCGATTACTTATTTTTTCTTCTTCTATTTTTGCGTTGATTAACATATATTATAAAATTAAAAATGTTAATTTAATAAAAACTAGTTATATTTGTATGTATATTTCGTATATAACATCTTGAATGTGATAAAAAAGATTATTGATTGAAATAATACAATAATGTTCTGAAAATGATTGATTAAAAAAAACAATTATTTTATACACAAAAAATCGAAAGCGTAAAAAAGTTTTGTACCTACAAAGCTTTATTTCTCGCGAAAATTAATTGACTCGTAAATTCATCAAATCGTATGTTAATTAATTGACCAAATTTTGAATTTATTTTGCGCGTGAATTAATATTTCTGCTCGTGTCTGTATTTATGAATATTGGTAAGATCAGAATTGGCATTTATCACTTTTGTTATTGTCCATATTTTGTCTATGGAGATATGTGTGAATTTGATAAGAAATGCACTTGTAACGGATTTTTAAGTTCCGTTTTCTTGAAAACTCATACGAATATATATAGACATTTTATTATATGTTCTCACTTTATTTTTACATAAAAAATTATATTTAACTATCTTCTAAGAAATTGATTGTATAATTTTCAAGAACGAGCGTTTTTACAGAGTGAGAACTTGTTATTTATACAACTTGTAACTCATGTCTATTATATAGCAATGTTTATGCATAAGTGATGAATGTGTAAGTAAAGTGTACAATTATGTTTAATCGATAACAATTTTAAAGTCATAAAATTATAGATCTGCGCGTCGAAGGCTATTTCGAACCATTACGTTTCAACAATATATAGACTAGCTAGTCATAAAATCACATAGCATCGGATGACAAATTTTTAATTTTTTTTATAATAATTTTCTGATAACTTCTTAATAATAATTCCTTGGTAATAATAGACAAGGTATGATAAATTTATAGATATTTGTATTGATAGAAAGTCATTAAATCAGGAATGATACGATCGTCAGCATGGCAATTAAAATTATATGCATATAAAACTATCGATGTATCTTATAAACACATATAATTTTCGATTAACATATAATTTTAAAAAGTATGTCAACTATCATTGAGAAATCAATAGAAAACCCGGAAATATTGCAACACCAGCGGATAGGAATGCTTCTTACGTGGAACGATAGTGTCGTTACTTTTACGTATTGCATATATGACAATGTAATCTACAATTTAATTTAGCACTTACCTGGGTAATGTTTTTCCTGTATCGCTTTAATTCGCTAAAATAGTATGATCTCAAGATTCTTGCTTCAACAAGAGAAATTTAAAAACGTTTGCATTTTCTTTCCTTATTATTATGTATTATTATATTTTTTGCAACAAGTATATAGTTGTATATAATCGAAATAATAAATGCAAGAGAAAAGCGCACATTGTTATTGTGCGCAAACATTTTACAAACTAGTTTGTTTAGTATCTTTTGAATATGTAATTACGGAAAAAAATGAAATAATTATTAAGTATATTAATCAATTGATAAATATAGAAATAATTTATCAAAATAAAGATTTCACATTTTAACATATATACAATGCAAAAATTAAATAATTAATTAAGAATTAACAGCAACTTCTTTTTTATACAAAATGTAGTTTTCCTTATTATTCAAAATTAAAACAGCTTCAAGATCGTTATCATTAAACACTAATGTTAATCTTTTATTTTAACAGTTTGCAAGAAGATCATCTTGAAGAATTGCTTTATAAAGTCGTTTTCATTATTTTACAGTCAAGTGTGTTGTTATATATCAGTTTTTATTGCTTTAACTAGATCTCTTCTCTAGTTGCCGATCCTTTCTCGATCGTTTATATATGTTTTTTTCGATGTTTCACTGCGACACACATGAAATCACCGTGTCTTAAGCGTCGAAAATAAAACTCATTCGCCATTCGCCTTCGTAATTTCACTTTCTATCGTCCACTTTCGATTTTAGGCCTGGCCGCATTGATTGGCCAGAAAAAAAGTCGCTCTCTTAGTCATCGTCGAGTTCTTATCATTATTGCGTTCGCTCAACCAACATTGCAACAGGGTGCAATGCCTGCAATTGCTCATCGCCTTTAAAGACGTCTGATGTCTACCTTTCCCAATACGATGACATCACTCATCTTGGAAATAAGTGCAATATAATGTATATGCAAGAGCAATATATATGCACATTATTTGAAATGTTAAATATTACATATATCTTTTATGTAAATTTAGAAATAATTTTTAAACACAAAATGTATACTTAATTAAAAGATTTAGCAATGATAGATTTTTCGAAAAAATCATTTTTATAATCGCGGTGTTTGAAGTAATGACATGTAGAAAGGAATTGAAGAGCAAAAACATATTTTCGATTTCATATTTCACATTTGTAAGTATTATATATACATAATTATGAAATATAATTATTTCTTATCACATTAGGGACTCAAAAAGTCTTATAAAATATGCGTAAATACTTTACATATACTTCTTAAATTTTTTTCTTTATTTCATACATCTGTGTCCACATTATTAGATTCTACAGAGATGTATCTTTGCTCCGTCCATCGATTCAACGACTTATTATAATAACATTATAAACATTATAATAATATCCGTTTTTTCAGCTGCTGAAGTGACGACATGCCCGCGAACAGACAACTCGGCGGAATACGACAAGTGCGTTCTTCAGCAGCTGCAAGCTCTCACGCCGCTTCTGGTTAAGGGAGTACCCTCTTTGAAATTACCAGCATTAGATCCTCTGTTTCTGCCGTCCTTGACGATAGATAGGAATCTAGAATCTTTGAAAATTAAGTGTAATATGACTCAAATTCGCGTTTACGGCGGTACGAATTATGTCGTGCAGGAGCTTAAAGCAAATCCCAACGACTTGACCGTGTTTATCAAAGTTCGAATGCCTCACATTTACGTGAATGGAGAATATGATATCCAAGGAAGACTGTTGTTGCTGCCTTTAAGCGGACTGGGCAATTTTAAAGGAAACTTTAGTAAGTTTTACATGAAATATTAAGTTTATCGAGAGAGAATAAGAGAGATATGTAGGATACATGTATATATATTTTATTTCAAAATTTATACATTGTATGGAAATATATAATGTATAAAAATCTTATACTATCATTTTATTTCAGCCGATACTGAAGCGCAAGTAAATGCCCAAGCCAAGGAAATTACTGATAAAAATGGCGTGCAGAGACTCGAAATTGACAATTTGGTTACTAAAGTCCGCGTCGGTAATGGAAATATTAAACTGAAGGCACCTCCTGCTCACACGTTAGCCGGTAAAGATTAAATCGTTCCTCAATCTTTTTTAATACTTTTGCATATAAAATTTATGCAAATATGTTTATTACAATATTCTAATAGTTTATTTTAATTTTAAATTTCCGATTCTCGCATAATATTGATATAATTTTAGAGTATGAATAACAAAAAATGTTGCGAGATAGAAATATCAAAACAGCGATATACGAGAGAGAAACGCGTTCCTTCTCACAAGCAATCTTGAACTGTTTGCGTCTCATATATAATTAATTTTTTTAAATTTTAAATAAATTCGCCTACCTTGATTTATATTGATTTCAGCCGACGCCGCTGCAGCATTCTTTAACGGCAATCCTCGCCTAGTATTGGACATAGCCAGTCCAATTATCGAGGATGCTGCTGCGACTGTATGCAAAGCTCTAGCAACCAGAGCACTCAACGTTCTCACTAAGCAAGAACTCGTTCCTTAATTTTTAAATAGTCGAATCTCGTTCGGCTGTCACATAAAATATTGCGATAAGTAGGCGATTTAATATAGATTTATCAGCTTTTTTATCGTACACTATGACACATTCCGCCGGCTAGTTGGTAAAACATATAAAATTCTACTGTCTCATTTCCAAAGAAAACCATTTATATTTAATTGATTGCATGTCATGCAATTAATTAAATATAAATGTTTTTTTTTTGGAAATGAGACAGCAGAATTTTATATGAGACATTGTTCGTTTCGCTTTTGTATGCAGAAAGTATTGAATGAAGTGTTAATTTATTTAACAAAAAAAAAAGATACGTTTAAAAACAAACTGATTAGCTGACGTTCACTTTGTTTGTTTCTTTGACAATTTGTTATTTGCATTTTTTGTATATTTTATTGTATCTCTAATTTTATCTATTAGACGCGATAGTTGAAAAAACTATTATGTACTGTATATACATAAATATCGTATATTGTTATTAGATACAACGGCACTAATTAAAAGTATTGTAATCGCACTTTTGCACAAAACCGTTTCGCAACGGTTCTTTCTTCGAAGTAGATCCAATCGCATATAAAAAAGTATATTGATTCGAAAAATAATTTTATTTTTATATTTCTCTTACATTCATAAACACACACATGTATTACTCTTACATGATATATTTTTTATAATCTTCAATTAACTCTATAAAAAAGTGCTATTATCTACATATAACAATATAATTGTTTGAAAAATTTTGCAATCATGATATTTTTCACAATCGGTGATATACTAGAGTCCAAAGTTTTCATTATCATGATCTAGCGGTGTTATGTAATGTTCTCATTATCATGATCCAACGGTGTTATTAAATGTTTTACGCATATTTAAAGTGAATAATAGTAATTGTCGTAAAGTATCGGAGAATATAAAATATAAATGCTCCGGAAAAACAAGTAAAACTAATTCATAAAAAATTATGTGCACTTATACATACACATACGTGATTATTTTAAATGCATTTAATTCACCGATAAAATGTAATACATATAATAAACATATAATAATCATACAACAGTACATCATATTATTGTATTGTACTTCTTCCCATTTGCACTGCATTTCTGTTTCTCTTATTTCAACAAAGTTTAGATTTTATAGGTACTTGCGTAACACTTTGGCATGTGTAACAGACTTAATAAAGTAAAATGCATATCTTTTGTGTAAAAATTTTGTAACACGAGCTTCAATTATATTTTGTTTAATATAATTTTAGTACGGAATTTTTTCTTTCATATATATTTTTTATAGAATTTATATAAAGGATGAAATCCCTTTTTCAAAGGTATTTTTTTTTAAGCTGCTATAAAATATTTACTATAAGTATGTGTATATTTTGTAAAGTAATGTAATGCACTTAATACTTTATAATTTAACTCAAAAAATTTAACACACTATGCTAAATTATTTTTTTAGACTTGATAGATTAGTAATTCAAAAAATAAGGCATGAGATACGTTTTTAAAAATGATTAAAAATAATATAAAGTATAAATTATATAATATAATTATAAAATATAATTATATAGTACCTTTAATCTATTTTAATCAATGCTCTTAACCAATGCTAATTGCCAATATATCATCTCGGTAACTCACTTGGGATTGATAATTAATACTAATACATTATCGTTGATCACATAAAGTATGAGATAATAATTAAACTGAAACATAAGTTAAAACTAAAATATTAATAAGCTAAAAAATACACAAGCTTTTAAGACAAAGAAAATCATAATTTTTTCCGAAAAAATTTTATCGACATAATTTGCATTGCAATTAACATGCTAATATGTACATATATATATTTTTGTATATACATATATACACATATACGCAATTTATGTTTTTGCATTATAATTATACTTATATATGTTGTAAGATATATCATAAAAACAGAAATATTAATTAAAGTTTATCGAAATTATCGTGATTGTAATTTAAAAATTGAAAACCGATTTAAATAGGAAATATAGAAATCAAATTATAATTTTCGGATAAAAATAGACTCGAGACAGATGAATAAAGATTAAACATTCGGGAACAATTCATCGTATGTAAACGCTTCAGTAATTTTGTTGGCGATTTCTGTAAACAGATTTGATAAGGCATCTTCCAACACCGGTTTTATTTCGTCCACCAACAAATCACTATTCGCATTCAAAACTTCATTGCTTGCTGGTCCTGGTTTAAAAGAAAAAAATAAATCGTAATGTAATTGAAATGCGTTATAAATTTCTGTAAATAAAATAATATTACATAAGAATTTAAACATACCGAGAACTGGATCGCCATTAAATAAATTGTCAAGATTGATATGGGCTTTATTTATCTTGATGTTAAATTTCATTTTTTCAAAGACTATATACGTTTGATTATTTCTAATGACTTTGTGAGATTTCAAAAGGCAATCGCTCTCGTAACCCACTGCAAATAAATATATGACAGAGATTAAACAAAGCCAAACAATATTATAACAAGCAAATTTCTCTCAATATATCTTTCTTAAACAGTAATTTTATTTTCTTAATATTTTATCGAATAATTTATAGACAAGACTTACTAAAAGTTCCAGTAAGACCTCCCTCTCCAACCAATCTGAGCAATAAAATTTGCGCGTTTATCTGATATTTTCCTCGAAACTCGAGCTTTTGGAAACCGACTTTAAACGTAAGGGCCACTTTGTTTGGATCGATTTTAAGATCTCGAAGTTTAAACGTGGAAGGTCCATATACCTATTAGTAGTTTTTTTTTAATTAAAAAGTATTTTCTTTATTCGATGATTAAAAAATTATACATCTGACAATATTGCATTTTTATAATTTTTCTGTTTCATCCAAATGTTTAATCATTTTATATATCATTCTATAGTTAAATATCAGTTTTGAATTGTATACCAACCTGTATGTTTGTGAGATTAATATCAAGTCTCGCGCCATTAGGACCTCTCAATAGACGCACATGCTTTAATGTAAGCGGTTCAATTGATGGAACACTTAATTCCGGAATTCCTGTGGTCAGTTTATCTCGCAGTTGTTCAATTGAATTAAATACACATTTATTTATTTCCGGGTCCTTTCGATTGCATACCTTCATGTACGATGCTAAGGAAATGCAAACAAATTAATTTGCAAATCTTTTTTACGAGATAATTATGTAGTAATTTATGATAGTATTATATGCTCAATTTCAACAATGCTAATTTCATTTTTAATTCGCACATTTAATTTATGAAGATATGTGCATCAAACACATTTATATGAATAATTTATCATGTGTCGTATACCAATCATAACATATGTATACTTTATTTCACGATTACATTATATAATGTCATAATTTTTAATTCGAAATATAAATGCAATAATATAATTATATTATTTAGAATCTATAAATAATGAAAATATATTTAGAAATTATATAATACTTTTATAAATATATATTACTCACGTATTGCAGCAAAGGCCACAGTAAATAGTGAATAGGTCAAACTGAAACAACAGATTGACATAATATAAAAAAATATGATTTAAAAACTTAAATTATTAAGATTAATAAGCTAATAAAATGATCAATTACTATTTCTTCAAATAGAATGATATTTTCATGACCGACTCTTTTTTTAAATACATTAGATTATAAATCATTAATTTGCATCATACATGTTAATAAATCTTTAGAAATAATCGAGTCAAATTTGTTATTGATGTGCTCAAGATATTTTTATATTTTTAATGTATTTCCAGATAGTTGCTTCAAATTTGTATACTTTTTATTAATTATGTTGATCGAAATACGAGCGTAATGTGATCGTATTAAATACTATAAGTTGTCGAAAAATTAATTTTATTAGTGTATTTTGTGCAGGATAAATTTATATAAAATCAAAAATTGTAAGAAAATAGCAAAATTATAATAAATTTTTAAAGTTAAACGTTATAAAATTAAATATTGATATCGAATTCATATATGCTTAGATAAAGGACATTCATATTGAGAGAAGAAGCAGTATATGAAATGATTTATGATGTTATTTGTATAAATTTACTTGACATTGCTAATGAATGAAACATTAATTATTTTTGTTTGAAGTGCTCACGTCATATCTTTTTGAAAAGGTGACGAAATAATTTAAATAAATAAAGACGAAAAAAACACATTTTAATATTTTGAATGCAAACATTAGACTTTGTAAATCTATACGTGTTTAAATAATGCAGTTTCTTCTTCACTTTAATGGAAAAAGCATAACTTTTCAAAGAAAATAATAGGTATAATGAAGAAATTAAATTAATATTAAGAAAATTATGAAACTGTTTTGCAATTATTTCTTTTCAGAAGTATCGTATGCGTTTTGTCAATAGATGGAAAAAAGAGAAAAAAGAGATAAAAAAGAACTTAAATAGGAAGAGAGAAGAAAAGAATACGAAATTGTGAGATACTAATATTGCCGCTAAATGAAAAAAATATAATGTAAAATCTTAGTGTAAATCTTAGTGTACTGAACAAAAAGAAAAAAGATAATAAAAATTTTTACCTAAATGACAGATTGGAATAAAAAAAATCACGTGTGAATATTTTACTTTTTTTTTGCAATAAATAAAGCTATTTCTTTTTCATTGTATTTAGTAAAACTTATTTTTTATATTTGTATGTCTGCATAAACTTTAAAAAATTTTTAATTTTATTTTCAATTATCAGATAATTTTAAAATTTCTTAAGCACAAGTTTCACAATATTCTTTTTTTTGCTCTTGCTATATATATACTTGAAGCGAGATCTCATCATGGATTTTAATATTTAAGTGTGAAGTTTGCATGATGGGTGAAAGCGTATTCAAGTAATACTGTTTCATGTTTGACACATATCAATTATCATAAATATGTAAGAGAATGCAAACTAATTACAATCTTACAAAAAAAAAACGTAACTACAAAAAACGAAATAAATGATACGTTGTATTGAATTTGCACAATAAACACAATCGATTTGAAATACAGACCTTAAACTTGAAATAAAGGCGCTGTGATATAAATATATATATATATATATATATATATACACGCATTACATATACATAATAAATACATTGTATATGGGCATGATTGTATACACGTGTTGGTAACAATTGTTCATAGAATTCCTTTAAAATGATAATTTGAGAATGTTTTGTGGAGTCTAATAAATAAAATGTCATAACATGGTTATTTATATTTTCATTGAAATAATTATAAATAATTTATGATGTATCATCGCGGCAACGTTATGCATACTAAACTGATTTAAATTGCGCGTGTTAAGTTTAATAACTAAATTATGAAAGAGAATCTTTACATCGCAAATTAAATTTAGGAATTTATTAAGCATGCCTGTCAGATGAAGGACATCTGAACAAAGAGAAACAGTTCGCTTTCAACCTATATTTTATACCACGCAATATATAAACACATATCATATAAATACATGATTTTGGCTTTATGGCGCAAACCCGTGTACCTTGATTCTGCTTTCGTAACAAAATAAATTTGCCTCAACAGCACATAAATCGGCATATCCATTAATCCAGATTTAAACTGTTTGCAATTTTTTTCATATTTCGTCAAGAAAATTGAGTTTAATATTGTGTAATATTATCATGCAATTCCGCGCGCGAAAACGATAATGATCCTTTTTACATCGATTACACTTTAAAAAGAATATGTAATACATAAACAATAAATTTAAAATTACACTAGAAATAATGAAATTATTGTAGATTTTCATTATTTATTGTGTAATTTTATACTTGATTGTTCATTATAATTTTGTAATACTTTTTACAATATATAACGATAATTGATCATTGTGAAACGCCAAAATTCTTTTTCAAACAATCTTATAATCAATTTATTTGTGCTAAATATATTTGATGTTTTTATGTTTTTCTTTCAATATTTATACTCTATACTATATTATAACTGATCTTGTTTATAAATTATATTTATTGTTTGCGTTGTATTGATTTTAGTTTGTCTTTTTCTAAAGAAGACTTAGATCGGTTCTTCAATGCACAGAGTTTAAACTTTGATCTAACAATAATCTATTATTGAAAAACCGATGCATTATATAAATAATTGCACAGGTTAAATGAAAATATCAATTTGTATTGAGTCATAATTGACATGATCAAAGTACATAAAATAGATAAGATTATGTCGCAGAATACAGATAGAACAAAAGTTTATTTGAAATTATTTACTATTTTTATTTTTAATTTGTTTCGCGAAATATGATTACACATTGAAAAAAAATTAAACGATTACACTTTCATAATCTATATAGTACAAAAAAAATACTATTAGAATTTTTTAAACATTTTTTAAATGTATTTTCTTATAAATACACGGTATGTCAACAATTAGCTGATCAAAAGACTTTAATTATAAAACGAAATTATAAATTTCAGAAAACAACAATTAGTAACTCTAATCACTTTAAATGGGGTGAAGCTTTTGTCTTAATCTAATATATATTAGAAGTTATGCTCACAATATTATGCGGATACTTGAAATCGTGAAATGTTATCTTTAGAAAAAGCGGAATCTCGAAAATTCCCAATAAGTATTTTATAATCTACATTCACATACATTTATAACTATTACATTAAAATTCTCACAAAACAGTCAACTTTTTAAATCGAAATAATGCTTATTTAAATATAAAAATAAAATATTCTTGTAAAATTTAAAGTCCCTCATTTTTCCTTAAATATAATGCACATAGTAATAATTTCTAAAATATAATTTTTTTTAATTAAAATTTATTAAAAGATTTTTTACAAATCTTTTATATATCAATCTTAATTTCACTGTTTTGTGGTTTTTGGCTAATGAAATTGCAAATTGAATGAATGAGAAGAAAATGAGAGAAAACAAGGATGTTTAATGAAATGAATAGTTCACAATTGATTTACCAAATACGAATGACGAAAGCGTGCATAGCGGCTAGTTTGGTCGAGGACGATCCCAAGTTTACTGGTGACTCTGACAGAAGTTCGGTTGACAGTGGTCAAGGGATGATGTGATATTCGACGTTCTACCAAGTAACTAACCAAGTCCCCCAATCATTGGACTGGGTTAGTTGCGCTTTTACATTCAGTTGATTGCCTCGTGCTACTTGTCGACCATTGGTCCAGTCATCCACACACAGTGATGATTGGACAACACGGTTCTTAATTCTTGCTTCGTAGGAAATCGTGACACCATCGGTATCATTCTTTTCACCCAGGTCGCTCGTCCTCCCTCCGCGCTCCCTCTCGTCTAAGATTTTCACTCAAGTAGATTCATTAACCATACCGTGCTTGCCCAAATACCATTCGTACCCTTTCATCTTGCCTGGGCTGAAAAGCGAAGGAAACCGAGCAAGGTAAGTGCAATACGCATTTCGAAGCATGTTCCTATCAGGTGGTAACGTTTCGCAATTCTTCCCGTTGAAATTGCAAACTCACAAAGTTGAAACTTCTCGCGGATCAAAGTTAGACAAATTCATTGTATATGTGAATTTTTTTTTCTCAATTATTAAAGATCCGCGTTAATTTATTCACTAAAAAAAACACGTAAAATTCATTCATATGTCACTGTTGCTTTCTTTGCGATCATTTTTTTCTTCTTGTATATCATTTTTATAACATATCGAAAGTGTGTGCGCGCGTGTGTGTAACTGTTGTGGAAATTCTAGATCTTGAACGTTCAACGAATTACTAAGAATTAATAATTATATAAACATAATTTTTATTTTTGAAAAACGAATTTTTTTATAATTCATCAATTTGGTGCAATATGCATGGAGAAATTCTTTTTCTCTCAATTCAAAACTTAAGTTCTCTAAATCCTAAACTTATAAATAATAATTGTAATGTTCAATTTTACTGTTTATAACTCTGAAATTGTAAACCGTGGTATTTTGGTATTAAGATTTTCAATTCTATAATTAATTGTTTAAAAAATAATAAACATAATTTATTTATTAATATTTTACATAATAGTACAATGACACATTCATCCGAGATATATGTACTTCTGCTTTAATATATCTAAAGCTTGATTTTAACTTGAATTATAACTATCTATGAAAATTTATGCAAAAAATCAAATTTAATATTTGCTATATAAAGCTTGCGTAATTTAATAGCAAATTTTTATCGATTGTTTCACTAGAAATGTAATTCAATAATGTACTATAATATAGTTGTATTATGATAAAATAATCTTTTTTAAGTATCGCAAGAATTTATTGTGCGCAAGAGAGGTAAATCAAGAACGAAACAATACGCAACATGATTAAGTAATCTGGTGCAATTAAAGATCAGGTATTTTATGTATGTCAAAGAGATAACATCGTACTGTATGGTGTATTTTTTTTTGCTCAGCCCTGATCTTATAACCAAGGTAAAGATGATCAAGGAACATTATACATTGTAATCGTTCATTGTGTTTCAGCAGTCAATAGATATATCGGTTTTACATAGCACATAGCATTCATTTAAGATTCTTATCATGAATGTACGTGTGATGTATTGTATGATATAAATGGAATATGTCCTTGGATTTTGGCGCATAAAAATTACTTCACGCAAAGCTCTTATCTTATTAATTTCTATTTTATTTATAGATTGCCTCATTAATACACAGACATACATGAAGTGAAATATACTGTATTTTATTAGAAAAAAGAAGAAACAGCTAATAGAGGATCAAATTTAATGACGAAACAAATCATGTGATGACCTTGAATAATCTTTAAATTAAAATAACGAATTCTTGATAAAGCATGAACAAAACTTGGTTTATTACATATATATATATATATATATATTTTTTTTTTTTTTTTTTTTTAAGTCAATTTTTCAAATAATTCTGTATAAAATGTAATACAATAATAATGCAATGTCTATATTTATAAGGAAAAAATGCAAATATTATCAAATGTTGACATTGAATATTTGATATATATAATACAATTCCAAACAAGTATGCATTATAATATTAACATATCATAACTTTCATATTTTCCTAATTACTGCTTAATTATGTATTTCTGAATATACTGCATATTTTTTAAAAAATATACATCGGAGAATAATAAATAAAAAATTTGTTCAAAAATATACACGTAAATAAATAAAATACGTTTATACAAAATAAATAGTACATTTATGAATATTACAAAAGATATTATACATATATATATATATATACATATATTTTTGTTACTTTTAAGTATGAGACTCTTCTTAATTTAACTTGTTAATTTAACAAGTTAAATTAGGAATCTGATGTAAGGATTGCGTTGATATATAGAAAAACTGGTAGATACTGGCTCGTGTAATTTCGCCGTTCTCATTAAAATTAGCGAAAGTAGCAAAATGTGGTGACTAGCGCCGCCCGAAAAGCCGCGATCCGTAACAAAACTCAAGTCCACGTACTTCATACGAGTCATATGTGCGTCAATCTTGATATAAGATTGAGATTTGTGGCAATCTTGAACATCAACTTCCTCACACATATATACACATATATAGTAACACATTTCCTTCTTTTTGCTAATATTCTAGTACTGTATCACAATGTTTATATGCGCAGTTTCTTAATCTAACAGAGAAATAAAACCTACAAATAAACAAAGAAATTTTCTAAATTATATCGCTTCCTATTTTGTAATATTTTGATTTAAAAGTTTAGAAGTGCATCGTCTTTTTGTACTTGTGTGATAATTAAGAAATTTTTTTATATAGAAAGAGAAAAAAAAGACGGCAAAAAGACAGATGGAGAAGAACTCTTAGAGTTATAATTTATATAGGTAATAAGTTAACTCAATGTATTTTTAAACAGTTTTTTTATTTATTATTCTCCGATGTATATTTTTCAAAAAATATGCAGTATATTCAGGAATACATAATTAAGCAGCTAATATTCCAGTACTGTATCACAATGTTTATATGCGCAGTTTCTAAATCTAACAGAGAAATAAAACCTACAAATAAACAAAGAAATTTTCTAAATTATATTGCTTCCTATTTTGTAATATTTTGATTTAAAAGTTTAGAAGTGCATCGTCTTTTTGTACTTGTGTGATAATTAAGAAATTTTTTTATATAGAGAGAGAAAAAAAAGACGGCAAAAAGACAGATGGAGAAGAACTCTTAGAGTTATAATTTATATAGGTAATAAGTTAACTCAATGTATTTTTAAACAGTTTTTTTATTTATTATTCTCCGATGTATATTTTAAAAAAAATATGCAGTATATTCAGGAATACATAATTAAGCAGCAATGAGGAAAAATATGAACGTTATAATATGTTAATATTATTTTCATGTAATCTTAACAAATGTTTTGTTCGAAAAATGACGCGCATACATCTAGCAAAAGTCATGTATGCGGTCATGCATGCGGGAAAAGTCACGTGTTTAAACGTACGCGTATTACGTAAGCTCATTCATCACGTAAATATAATCAGCGCGATGATGATGCATTTCATCTTAAAAATAACGTACTTTCGTGAAGGTGTCGCATCTGTCACAATGCCATCACCAGACGATGTCACAATACTGTGGAAAGTTCGGTACACCAACATGGTCCACTGCATTATACTCGTACAATCATTATGCAGGTGTGACAAGACGTGGCAGTTGCTGCTGCAGTGAGTTGAATGTTTGCTGCGTAAAAAAAATTACCCGGCACCATTCCTTCCTTCGTCCTTGCTATTTAATTTAGAAGAAGTGCATACGTCACAACAAGTCGCCAACAGATAGTTGAAGTAACGAGTTGTGTTGTATTATGTTATATTTCGCTATATTATGCCAAACTGATGTACGCAAGAATTGAAGAGACGCAATAGCGTCTCCACATTAAATACATACATATAGGTACATATCAAATGACGATGTGAATATTACCTTCACTGCATGAATGTCGAGCGTTACCGCTCTCTTTATCAGGAATTCTTACGTCAAACATACTTTCGATTAACATACTTCAAAAGCTAATATCGTAATAATAAGAATCTCGAGATTTAGTGAGACAGACAGAAGAATTTTCGCATTTTTCCATCAATCTTTCGTGTTTGCACATACATCGATCTTGTCTTTCGAGTCACGTTAGCAATTGTAGTATATGACAACAAACGCGATAGAACCTTGGCATTAAATTATAATAGCTCGGTGTAATTGACAGGAAGCGTTTTCGTGTTGATTCACGAATTAAAGTTATTATATTATATAATAAAAAACGTTGAGAAAATATACTAAAGTTTGAAAATAATATATGTAGGTATAATTTTTTTAAAAACTAAGTCATTTAAAAAACATTTTTTTATTATTTTATTAATATTCTAGTAAAAAGAACTTGATACATAAATTATACTTTATATTCGTCTTATATATATATATATATATATATATATATATATATATATAACTAATTTATATATATATGTATATAATCTTTTTTGCATCTTCTTCTCTGTAAAATTTCTGCATTTAAATGACCATCATTATGAACTCAACGTAAGAGCTATCCTGTTGGACCACTTGTGCAACTTCTTTGCATTTCGCAGTTAAAGATATTCAGCGGTAAAAGCCGTTCTGCATTATTAGCAGAGGGGAGGCGCATTGAATGCAACATTGACATATCAAATATTAAAGACGAAGCGAAATCATAATATAATTATGTATGACTCATATAGCGCAACTATCGAAAGTCATTGATAAGTTGCAATTAATTTTTCTCAATATAACAATATTATATAATGCTGATTAATAATATTAAATTCTTTATAAAAGTGGAATAAAGAAAATTTAACTTGCATTTGGTAAACTTTAGAAATGAAATACAAATTAGCGCTAACAATTATTAAATAACAAGCGTATTGATTATCGGCATTCAGATTCAATTAAAATCTAATATAATATTTAAATCAAATACACGGTGTGTGCATTTGTGATTTTATTTTATATTATACTTATAATCTAATATACTCAATCATATGATTACTATTTAAAAATATGAGAAAAAAACAGGAATTTTAATAATAGATACGTTGCATGAAAATATTAGATTAAAATAATATTTTCTGTTTGACTTTATATATGCATCATTGATTTCTGCACTGTAGAATATCAAGTATAGATACTATGGCAATTGAACGTTTTGCATAATAGTTGCAAAACTATATCACATAAGTTGTAAAGAACTAGTTATAAAAACCAAGAAAAAAGAAATAAAAATTGTTTTAATCACTAATTACTTTGTACAGAACGGAAAACTTCCTCATGTAATCACGATTAATTTCATAAATCACACATGTAAGAAATTCTATGCGCACATTAAAAGTCGCACATGACACTTGTTTGCCTTTGTTGTAAATATAAGTGCAAAGATTTTTAACATACCTTTAAAATTTTTGTAAATTATGATACAATTATTTAATTAATAAATTAATATACAATATATTAAATATATACATAAAACATAAAATATTATATAAATCTTTATATATGCATATTTGTCTATAGCATCTTAAAATGATCATAAATAAAACTTTTTTGATATAAATCACTTTTTAATGTTAATTAATGAAGATAAGACATGAATACATTATTCATGTGTATTCATATATAAAAATTCAAGTTTAATCGATTACATATATTTCTTCTGTTATATTGACATCTGGTATAAATGTAAATATTCTTGTGAAAAAAAATGCTTTTTTTATAATATCGTCACATATAATTACATACTTTTTGTTGTATATGTCCGGTATCTTCTTTATAATTTCTAATTATTTATCATTAGTTTTATTATATCTATCATTATCTACTATTATCTATTATTATTGGAATTGAGAAGAATTTGAATGCGGAAATAAAATTGAAGCGAAAATGTGCACAAATAAAAATAAACACAATCTATTTACGTTATTTAAAAAAAGGAAAGTTAGAGTATTTTATTAACTTTATTTTTTTAATTAAATATTTAACAAATAATAATCCTTAAGGTCCGCCAGTAATAATTAATAAAAATCTTTTCTCAATGATAAAAGTCGATCAAACTGGCATAATAGTGTTTATCATTGAGGTAGAAATCTCAATGATAAACATTATTATGCCAGTTTGATCGACTTTTATCATTGAGAAAAGGTTTTTATTAAATATTTAAATTAATTCAATAATATAATATTTATTTCCGTTCAATGATAACATTGAGGAAAGATTTTTATTAAATATTTAAATTAATTCAATAATATTTATGTCCGTTAATATATATTGGAGTAAATAAGATACTTATTTGAGCTTTATACACACATGTATCGAATAATTTTTTATTTAATAGAAAGTTTATATTTTATTATTTTGTAAAAATAAACTTTATACTTCAATTCATTTATTAATTCTAAAACCTGTTTAAGTTATCTTTGTTAATAAGCATGAGCATGTACGTAAACTTACAAAAAAAGAATGACTACAAGAAAAAAGATCATTTATTAAATACAACGTATACGCAAAAAATATGTACATTTTTTGCTTCTGCATCTATTATAGAACAATTGTTCTCCTCAAATTTAGAATTTTTTTCTTGTGATATTCTCCCATAATATATTCGCTCTGTAAATTATATAAGCAGGCATAGAGCGAGAACACATAGATAAATAACAAAGTCACACAAAATTTATATTGCGTGTGTATACGATTAGAATAATAAATTAAAGGTCTCAAGTGGAAGATGATTCACTTTTAATGATTTCAGATAGAGGGAGCTTATAGTATATATAAGCTTGATTGCATGGACTTGATCAGTCGCGATTCATATTCGTAGATATATCTGCTAAAATCTTTTCCTTTACGATTTTAAAAAGTGTCATTAGGAAAAACATTGATTTCGAAGATGTTTGCTGTTGTATTTGCACTTGCGCTTGCAACTGCATATGGAGCCGAATTTCGTAAGTAAACGAGAATATATATCATACAGATATGATTAAAATTTTAAAAAATGTAAAATTATTTTCACGAATTTTGCATTAAATTTTTCTTTGTCTTTAAGATTCGTTTTCATTTATGTTTTATTAAATTACAATAGTTATTTTTAAAGATTAATATTAAATAAACGAGAAAATATAAGCATATATTTGACTTTGTATAATTTTTCTAATTTTTCTAACATATTATATATGTATATAAGAAATCGAAATATTATTTCAAATAAAAAAATTATTTAATTTATAAATCTAAGAAAGAGAAATAATATTATTTCTTGATTTCTTGTTATTCGAAGATATATATATATATATATATATATATATATATATGTTTTTATAAGAACTAATTTTCTTCAATTATTTTTTTATTTAAACAAAATTATTTAAATAATTTTATATTGAATAATTAGCATCATTAAAAATTCGTATCACTCCATATTGTCTTCATTTCAATATACAAGTAATTTAATTTAATTAATTTTTGTCATATTTGTCTTGTCATATTAGTTGGGGATAAATATTTTGATCATGATTGAAAAGTATATCAGTTAAAAATCGGTTAAATACATATATGTTATTATATATGTACATATATTGAATATTATTATATTATTGGATAGACGAAATTTGTAACAATTATTTCAACGAGATTTATAACAATTATTTTATTTGTTTAATAAGCAATTATAGCAATTTCGATTTATATTATTATATAAATTGCAATAATATTAATTATAACAAATGGCAATCAATAACAATGCATTATGCATTGCGTAGATAGCGATGATATTAAGGATATGCTTTGAAAAAAAATATAGATATGTGTGTAAAATATTTTTCTAATTACAATATAATCTTGCATTTATTCAAAGAAATGATACGCAAGTCCCTGAAAAAAAATTTCTCATAAATTTATTCCTCGCGTGTTTTATATTTTAATATTTTAATCTAAAGAAAGATTCTTTAAAGAATTATTAAAATAACAATTATTTCCTTTATAATTTTGATTTATTGTATGATATATTAGCGTTTATCCATTTTTAAAAAAGTAGAGTATATTTTAATATGTTTATTTTAATAGACAAAACAGTAGAAGTTGAAATAAATTTATCATCAATTTAAATTATTCTTTTACATCTACTGTACTTATAGAGTGTCTTAATTCTTACAAATAATTTGATATTAATATCCTATTTAATATCATTTGTGAACTAATGTTTGTCGGTACACTTTCTTTTGTAGAAGACATAAAATCGAATCTCTCAATTTATCATTTCTTATTTTCCACGATAACTAATTAATTCTCGAATTGTGATTACTTTATACTTGTAAAATGCTATCATCGCTGAATAGTATGTACTTTGACAGTTCGAAAAATTTTAAGATTATGAATGAATAATTCTATTTGTTACGAATGATTCTGAATTTGATTGATTCAATGGCATAATAATATGCAACATTCTTTTTGTTTTGTATACGGATATTCTACTATTGCATAATTAACATTTTTTATCTAGAATAATACCAACAAATAGAATCAGATTTCAAGGTTTTAAATTTTTACATATAATATTCTAGTTGTATATGAAAGAGTACGAAGGACAAAAATGTAAATCTCATTCTAATGTATAATGATTTATGATGACTCTATATAAACAAGCTGAAGAACGATATTGATTATGAGTTGTGAGAATTAATGAAGTGATTAGTAAGCAAGATATGGCACATAATTAGCGCAACTTATACTAGTTAATGTTTATAAGTTTGTATCGCTTAAACTTTGAAACCATTAAAACTTTGATATTTTTTGTATCAATATTTTTTATTTTAATTAAATCTTTTAAAACACACGATTAAAGTAATTAATTTTACATTTTACATAATAATATAATTTATTTATAACCTTCCATTGATACGATGGTGGGAATAAAAATATACTTTATATGTATGATGTGTAATTAAAAATTCATACGAAATGAATACAAAATGTATGTAAATTTTGCACATACATATTTATGTATACATATATTGTATAACACATTACTTATATCTTATATATATATATATATATATATATATATATATATATACATATATGTAAAAAATTTTAACCGGTTGTTTCATTAAAAATATAATGTAATATTTGATATCTCTCTTTCACATAAGTCTCTTTTTTTCTCTATTTCTAATAGTATTATATTCTTTTCAAATATATTAGAAAAATTTAAGATATAAATTAAAAATAAATTGCATGCGTAATTATGTCAGCGCAAGCATATTCTAGTACCATTTTAACAATTGCATATGTTTATTTTTAAATATAACTTGTAATATTTAAAGTTATCTGTTAATAATCTTTTATTCAATACATAATTATAAGTTAACAGAACTGATTTAAATTCTTTACAGCCTCCTACATCAACGTGTGTGGTCGCAAAAATCCAAATCTCAATAAATGCATCTTAGACAATATAGAAAATTTGAGAAGTAAGATTTGCAATGGACTTACGGAGTTAAATCTTCCACCGCTTGAGCCCCTCAATATTGAAAGATTAGTTATTTCTGACAGTCCCCAAAACAAAATATATTTAAATGATGTTAAGATATCAGGACTGTGTGATTTTCAAGTCCAAGCTTTCAACGCAGATCTCAACGACAAGTATGACTTTGACTTCAAACTGCATTTTAACCGAATTTACTTGAATGGCACGTATGATATCAACGTACAGATACTCGTGCCCATTGTTCATAAGGCTCCTATTTATCTTACTGCAGGTATCTAAAATATTAATTTTGTATTAAATAAGATAGAGGCTTAAAGGCGTTTTAAATTTAAATATGCGCATGTCAAAAATTCAATGCGTGTAAAAAATTCAAAAATTAAAATTCGACAATATTTCAGTTATGATCAAATTATATATCTTTTTACAGATGACGTAAAACTTCACGCACTTCTACACTCGAAAATGGTAACTAAAGGGGGCAAAAATCGTTTATATATATCGGAACTAGAGCCACACATTGAAATGAACGGATATGATATTAAATACGGTTTAACCGCTGAAGAACAAACCGAATTAAGCAGAGCTGTTAGCGATTTGATAAGCAACAATCAAGAGGAATTTGCTCAAAGATTCCTACCGTCATTAGAGGAGGCGGTTGCCAAATGGATGATCAATATTTTTAACAGCTTTTTCAAAACGTTCACTTACGATGAGCTTTTCCCGGATCGAGAATAAATCACTTACTACTTCAACTTGCAAATAGTAATGATCAAAGTAAAATAATCAAAGCAAAATCTGTTATAATATTTTGAATATATCGGCGAATTTTATTTTCACTGACTTAATCAGTAAACATATATGGAAGAACATATATGGTCATATAAATGTAGATTAATTAATAGCATAACAATGACTATGAAATAATTAGCTAATCGAAAATTGTTTGTCTCTATATTTCTTTGCATATAAAATTTTGCGCCAACATTTAATACACTTGCAATTCAATAATTATTGAAAAATAAGTGTATAAGAAAATTGCGACGTGTATTTTATTATACATATGCACATGAATTCATATAATCATTATTTTTACACGAAATAAATGCATTATTATAAGCTAATTTTTATAATGCTTATTGTGTATTTACTTATGTGAATTATCTATATTAAATTTACTTTGAAATATATTTAAAAAATCTGGTAAAATAAAATATTATGTCACAATATTAGTGATCTTTTAATTTAATAAAATAATTTTCTTTTATATGATATAATTTAATATTTAAACACAAAACATGCGTGATTTACAACGTATTCAATCGAGAGAAATCTAATCTAAATAATATCGATTCAATTTCATCAATCGTACACTAGATGTCATGTACTGTCTAGTATTTGCTGATATGTTATGCATTACTGTAATCAAAACGGCATTAAAATTTAAATGATATTCAAATGATTGCAGATATTTCTCCTTTTCGCTATTTTATATTAATCAACTAAATAAAATCAATTTAGAAAAATTTAATAAAGATGTAAATGGTTTCAAGATTCAAATATTAACTTTGTTGAAATTTATGGATATTATTTAATCTTTTAAAACTGTTCAGCTCATTATGATCCTAAATCGTGCAAGAAAAATGATACAACTTAAATTTTTTATACAATTTTCCTTTTATTTGCTTAAAATTGATTTTAAGAAAATGTATAAACTTGAAATTTAGAACGTAATTAAAATATTTTAATTTGATTAGCATATTAGAGCAAAAAAAGAAAAAGTAAGAGAGAGAGAGAGAGAGAAAGTGTTGATAATAAAAAGAAACCTTCGTCTACGCATATTTTAAAAACACACATATATATATATATATAATTTTTGAAAAAAAAGTTTTCATTGATTTATTAATGGTTAATCAAGTTTTTCTTCATATTTCTTTTGTTTATAAATTTTCGCATTCTTTAATATTAATATGATGCGAGAGAAGAATTGTTATTAGACGATTTATATAATTCCGAGAAAAGAATTGTTATTAGACAATTTATATAATTCCGTTTAATTTATACTTTGCAGTTATATTTTAATAATTGCTGCTTCTTAAAGGAGACATTGATTGCGGTATTGTGATGTAAGATCAACGTATAAAGCCGGGAAAGCGAAAGGTGCTAGCATACGAAATATGCGTAACGAAGTTTAATTATATGTATGTACAAGTTTTTGATAAATAATTTTAACATATATTTTAATATTAATGTTGTTTTAGTCTACAATATAAATTTGAGATTACACATAGAACACATCGCAAACATTGCCTCACATAATAGCATATCCTGAAGTTTAATTGGAGTCGTACACCTCAAGTAAAATGTCAAGGTCATCGAGTTTTAGAATTTTTTAATTCTAGAATTATAAATATGGATTGAAGCCACTCAAGAATTTGCTCGTTGTCTCTACAAGACAATAATAATATTGGTTTATTTATTATCAATTCTCTCTAGCTTATAATTAGCTGATATAAATTTTTACTTACAATTTTATTTTATTTTTAGCATCAAGACGTAAAAACAGAACTCTACGACGTAACAAAGAAATCTTACATTCTTTTTATATCTTTATATTATTTTTCTTATGTCGAAATATTTGCACCGACAACATATAATACAAATGATAGTTTATTTGATAGTGACGTTATATAGTTAATCAGTCAATTATATATCGTGAGGCAAAAGAAAAGTTGTTTTAATAAATCATTGCATAATGTTAAGCTTTGCACATATGACAGGATGTAATCTCGCGATTAATGTCATACATTTTATTTATGAAATTGTGCACATATTTAAACATTTATAAAAAAATTCTAATATGTTCTTAGAAATTATATCACAGATATATTTAGAAAACAACATGGAGTTTTCATTTCAATTTAACGTTTGAAAAGATACTTTCTGTTCAATGGCACAAAATTCCATTTATAGCATTATTCAGAAAAGGAAAACATGCGCATGACATGATGGCGAAATATCGCCAACATCTTTGAAATCTTATATATATATATAGACCTGAATATTTCAAAAGATTTTTTAACATACTACAAATGTACACACATGTATTTGCATACGATGTGCACATTTGAAAAATTATGTTTTATCTATTACATACATCTCTTAATTACTAGTAATTACTGATCTAACAATAAGTTATTGGTAATAATCAGTGTTTGCTGTTATCTAAATAAAATTATATAGATGATCATCTAAATACGTAAAACTTTTGGCATTATCTTATTTTTATATAAATAATAAAAATATGTATTATCTACATCTGCATCTTAGATGAAAAAAGTGTCATCTTTACTAAATTTTCTAGAATAATGTTCAGATAATTTGGTTTAGAATCATAGCACATAAAAATACTTAAATAGTAGAATTTAAGCAGTAAAGCGATAAAAACTTATAAATAAAAATATGAATATATTTGTATAGTCTTTTATAAGTTACACGTTTTATAAGTTTTTATAACTGTTTACATAAGCCTTAAAAATATTATCTGGAAATTATCTAAATGAATGAATACAATTTTATTTTTATCTAGATATATTCAAAACAAAATCATCTTCATCTATTAACTAAGATAAATTTATATATTTTTACCTCATCCTTATCTAGCTAATTTTAAAATCATCTCAACACAACACTGGTAATAATAAAATTATAAACTAGTCTGAATTAATAAGGAGAATTAATATGAAAAATCTAATTAAAGAATAAAAACAAATCGCATTTTTTACGACGCAATTGCATTACAGTTACAAATTTATTTAATGCATTGATATTATATCTTCTTTGTCATTTGTCTTTGTCATTTTTCTATTAATATTAGTTACATATAAAATTGCACACTTTTGGCATCATCTTATTTTTATATAATTTTCAATAGAAATACTTTTCAAGAATAGAACATTATTTTTACAAATATCTATTTATAAATATTTACAAATATTGTGCATATTATATACTTGTGATATTTGAATATTATATTTATATATGAAGTAAATAGATATATAATAAAAATAAGTACATATATAGATTTAGAAATCATATATCCACTGTTATGTATCGAATAAGTATTTATCTAAATAAAATCTTATTATAAATTCAAATAAAGAACATTGTTTTCTTTTTATTAATCACTAAGATTTACCCATCAGATTTACTTAACTCTGTCTGTCTGAATATGACCGTGGAATTAAAGAATGAATCATGATAGTTATAAGAAGAAGGAAATAGAATGGCTATTAATTCGATAAAAGGACATATCAAACAGTATATGTATATATATGTATATATATAAGCTTGAGCAGTGCGTTCGAATCAGTCTTGATTCTCGCGTTGATCGGTGCGTTTGCATCAGTCTTGATTCTCACATTGATCAGTGCGTTTAAATCATTCTTAATTCTTACGTTCACTACATTTAATATTTAAATTTTTATATTTTTTATATTTTAGAAAGTGCATTTCGTGTAAAAAAATATTTCTTTGTAAAAAATGTTTGCTGCAATTTTTACTTTCGCGCTTTTAGTAGCGTATGCTGCAGCAGCAATACGTGAGTAAATCAAATTTACATATGCTTTACATATTTCTAACATGGTATGTGACATGGTTTCTGCTATACTTACCATTCGTAAGGAAACGTATCACATTTCAAGCAAATTGTAATTAAGAAAATATAACGATAATATTACTTCTTATTCTATTTCTATTTATCTCTCTAACGAGAGAACTTAACAAAGATATAATTTAATTTTACAAATATTAAGATATGTCTCTTTTATATAAACGATAATATGAAATTTTATTTGTTATTTCAAATCACCGTACATATTTCAATATGTGTTTCTGTATATTCTGTTTTTTATATTAATAAATAAAAATTGTAAAATCCGTTTGCTTAAAATGTAGTACAATAACGAAATTATATTGCAAATGCTTTTATCAATTTAATTAAAATGATAGTATTAAATATTGATTTTGACAAGAAGTTTTTATCGCACGTGTGTTATTATACGACACATGTACGTTCAAAAAAATAATAAAGAATTTTTGAAAAGTAACAGTTTAATTTCATAAATTTAGCTTATTATGATTAGATGTATTTGCTATATATATCTAACAGAGTTACAACTAAAATTAGAAATTAACAATGATTGATTGAAATTTTACAGCCTCTTATATTAATGTATGCGGTCGCAGAGACCCGAATCTCGAACGATGTATTTTAGACAACATAAACAATATCAAGCCTAAGATTTGCGAAGGAATCCCGGAATTGGACATTCCACCCAACGATCCACTCATTCTTGAAAAACTAGTCATTTCCGAGACAGCCAACAATAAATTATATATGAGAGATACAAAAATAACGGGGCTTTGCGATTTCACCATAAATGATTTTAATTTAGATATGAATACGCTTCACTTTGATGCTAAAGTCTCATTTGGACGGCTTCTAATGAATTCTACATATGATTTTGACGTACGTTTACTCGTACCTATTGCTCAGAAAGGACTGGTTTACATTACTACAGGTACGTAAAATAGTTGATAAAATAGTTGAATTTTGCAAGAGAAAAATCTATTCCAATATAAAAAATTCCAAACTCAATTTTACTTCATCATAATTAACAAACTGTCCATTTTTTGCAGATAGCGTCGCAGCAGATGTAAACATTGATATGAAAATCATTACTAAAAGCGGTACAAAGTATATGTATTTGTCGCAGATAAAGATCAATCTTGATATCAAAGATTACGATGTTAAATACGACTTGAACGAAAGCGATCTTGGTCAATTGAACGAAGTTATTAGGAATTTAATAGGTAACAATCAAAGGGAGATTATTGATACTTTTAAGCCGGCATTGGAGGAAATAGTTTCCAAACGAATTCTGTTGGTTTCTAACGATATTGTGAAACATTTTACTTACGAAGAGCTCTTTCCGGATAGAACCTAATTTTCAAGTTGCATTATCAAAAAGTTGCTGCTATGTTTCAATTAAATAAAAAAATTGCAATAAAGACCTATTATAATATTAAATGATAAAATTAACAATAAAATCAGTTAAAATTTCATTTTCGCTAGATAATAAAAACAGAAATAATTGTTATCTATTTATACATTAACTATGTTATCTATATTATATATTAATAATACAGATTTGAATAAAATAATAATTAATTAAAAATAGTTTATATTATACATCATTTTGCATTTGATTATTTTGTGTGTCGAAATGTACAATGTAATAGGTACTAAATTATCAAGAAGAAATATTGAAATTTGTATTTTTTTTAAAGAAGAAATATACATATAATCGAATTGAATTTTATTGCTGCTTCTTTTCCACAATTTGCCGATTTGTTATTTTGTTATATCTACATCGTACTTGTTGTACATATAAACAAATTGCGAAGATTGTATATTTTAACAGTTTAAGTAATAATTATGAATACTAAAAAAATTAAATAATATGAGCTATTACAAAAGCATTATAAGCGTGTTGATATTAATCAGTTTTTAAAGAATAAAGGAAATACTAATGTCTATCTCTGTAGTTTATGTTAATGTATGCATACCTATATACATATTATTCTTTATAATGTAATAATAATATACATACAATAGGTATACACATATTATACTTTATAATTATAATATATTATTTTCTTATTAAAGTTATAGATTTCAATAAATTTGTTAAAAATAATTGCTATCGTTTGTGTATAAGTAAAAGAATTTATTTATTATAGACGTTTCCTATAATAAATAAAATTATATTACATTAACAACATATGTATCTACCATAAGCTACAACATTAATGAATTAAAAAGTATCATAATAATATGCAAAATTATTAAATAAAATACAAATGTCATCTATTTAAAAATATGTACAGATTACAATAATTTGCGAGTTACATATATTACGTACAAATTATTAAAAGGAAGAGTATAAAAGAAACAACATACTAATATTATTTAACAAATACTGTAATAATCAATAATTTTATTCAACGATTCATAATGTATGGAGCTTATCTCTCATTTTCGACACATGCACTCTCATTAACTATAAACCTGAATTACCACGTTGGCATGTATAATTATATATCACATATAATTATATTTTGTACATTCTTGTTAAACTAGTCTCGGCAAGTTTTTATAAATTAATTTTCGTATAAACTATTGTGTCGGTAATTTATACTTTGACACTTTTTATTCATATCTTTTACTTATCAAGAATGAATAAGTCACAATAAATCACAAACAAAATTATTAAAAATAAGTTTTATTGTACAGTGGTCTATTGTATTTACAGAAAAATACTTGATTTTTTATTTTATCAATTAAGCATTCTCTGTTTTATTCTAGGTGCTTATTAGCAACTTAGGTCTAATAGTTTCTGTATTTGAGGACAACGATAACAAATCCAAATATTGCATATTGGATTACATTTTTTATCTAAATAACTGTATAAAAAATCTCTTCTTCTCTCTTTCTCTCGTGAAATTTACTAATATTTCCAAAGACACATCTTTTTTCTATATATAGAAATCAGGATAAGATATATCTTATTCTGAAATTTTTATCAGATATTATTATTCTATTTTTAGCGTTTTAATATATATTCAGCCAATCTGCATTGTTTTAATTTTAAAATAGTATGACGCAATTAAATAAATAAATCTTGTAAATATTCCTGAAATTTGTTATCAAATGTTATTCTTTTTCTAACATTTTAAATACTCAGCCAGTCAGCATCGTTTTAATTTTAAAATAGTATTACGCATATTAAATAAATAAATCTCGTAAATATGCTAAACAAGTCGATCGATTTACGCAAGCATCAAGCAATTAATACTTGAAGAAATATTATTAGATCGTTCTGTGTGTGATGATTATATAAATCTTCCGTTCGCTGTTTCTTGTGGGAATCCAGTTTTAAGAAATAAAATGCGCTATAAGAATTCAATGATAGCGTTACAGATCTTAATCAGCATATACACGCATGCAAAAGAAGATTTAACGTCGTGCTGAATTTTCACAATTCCCTCTATCGCGACATATCGCGATTTTCAAACTGAATTTCTGTTTATTCTGGTGCATCGCTGTCTTCCAGCTCGTCCAATTATCAAAAAATGTATAATTTCGCTTTATGCACCGGGAAAGAGTTGGGCGAACGAGAACTGCTGAACAATATTGTCGGCGATTTGTTGAAACGCATCGGAGAGCGCCATTTCCACCAGTGGCGAAAGCTCTTTTAAAAAGAGATCGAAATTATTATTAATAGCCGAATTGACAACATCCCCGAGTACTTTCTCGCCGTTAAACAGATTTTCCAGATTTAACGTGCCCTTCCCCACTGAGATTTTCGTTTTGAACTCTGAGATGCGAGCCTTCTCCACACCGTTCTCGTCAAAGTATCTTTCAATCCGGATCGAGCATATGCCTGCAAAGAGAGATGAGATTGTCATTTGATGTACCATAAATTCATAAAATACAATATTTACAGTTATTACAATTACTGTAATAATGATACTGTCATATACAGGGTGTCCGGTAACTAACGGACCAATGATTAAGGGCGGATTCTCTGGCCAATTTGGAGACGATTTTTCCTTAGCAAAATGTTGAGAAGTCAATAATTTTCGAGTTATAAGCGATTGAAAAAAATGGGTTTTTGGAAACTAAACGTTTTGGAGTTAAAAGTCTAACATAATTACATTCTTCAGTTAATTTCAGGTAGAGTTTACTATAATAAAATTTTAATTTGAGGCTTAGTTATAAAGATACATAATGACAAATATTGGAAAGTTGTAAAAATGATGACCTTTTTCGACATTTTCGCTGAGGAAAAATCGTTCCCAAATTGACCAAAGAGTCCATTTGTAATCGTTGGTCCGTTAGTTACCGGACACCCTGTATAACTTTTTAAATATTGAAGATAGCAATTTACTCTTTCCACTGCTGAGATTAGAAAAGATTATTAGTATATAATAAGTATATGTCACATAATCTCATGTAAAGTAACAAATACCTCTGCAGTCAGAAAAGTTGCCGTGCATCGGGCCAGATCCACGAAGCGGAAGTAACAATACCTTGCCGTCGATCTCATAGTTTCCCTCAACGAGGATATTAGGCAAATCCACTTCCGCCAAAATTTGATCAAGTGGATTAAGCTTGATTCTTGAAAAAAATCAAATAGCGGCATTAACGAGTAATAATGTAAGAAAACAGCGAAAGAGGTTCATCGAACATCCTTTCAAGTAACATTTACGTCTGTGTTTGTAATTTCTAAATTAAACATAATTTTTAGTAAATCTAAGCGATGCATAAGCAAATTTTATTTTAAACCGCTAATATAAATATTCAATTTATTGCACGACGACGTGAAATCATCAATAAACAAATTATAAAGATTTATTATAATTACATATATTGTCACTCATGACTTGCATACATATTTTTATCTTGAAATGTTTAATGTTGAAAACACTAGATTATATATTGAGCAATTATAAATAATCAATTATATTTAAGGAAGTTACATCTTTGCGAAATTTCAGCATTATTGTCGAGGCTCAAGATTATGACATAAATGTCAATGTAGAATACATAATGATATTATAAAAAAAAAATTAACATTGTGTGTGTGGCTTGCATTTTATAGCGATAAATACACGTTTAATTATCATAAAGATAATAAGCCTTTCTTTCGTAGTTTCCACACATAAGAAGTCATTAACCAACGATTTCAATAGATGACATCGACCTTCTTCGTTTGCATTACTACAATGCCATTCTAAACTTTATACATCTCTCGTTCTTTCTTCATACTTGAGCGTGTCTCATTATCTAATATGTCTCAATACTTTGACGAGAGCCATCCTTTGAAATTTCGCATGCGACGACGTAACGAGAAACCGACTATTGTCATTTCCGTTCGTTTTTCCGGTTCTTATCGACTATTTTCTTTTGTAATCTTTGAAAAACGACATGTGTGTGGTGATGGATTGTTCAACGCACATATATACTTTGCACATATACTTTGAGTGTTGTGTCACGGCCGTGCGCGCGTAGAATAAACGATAGCTCTTCACCTTTATGAGATTTAATGCATTTTTTCTGTCGCAATCAATCTCCTTGCATCATGATAACGTACCATAAGAATAAAAATGTTTATATTTTATGGACAATTTAAAACTATCAAAATTTTGAAGATATAAATATTAAAGTCATTATGAGCAAAATCCAACATCCGCTGAAATTTTAAATTTAAAACAAAATTACGAAATTTTATTATGCTAATTTAAAAGTTACATTCCTCTTTAATTTATTATACTTTTTTATTCTTTTATCAGAATATTTAATTAATAATAAATTAAACTTAAATTTTTTCTCTATAAAATTACAATAAATATAAAAAAGTAAAAAAAAGAGTATAATAAGTTAGAGTTAGATCGATCAATAAATTCTTTCTTACTAAATGTTAAAAAGATAAAGTCATGTGTAAAAAGTCCAAAGCGTTATAAGAGGAAGCATACTATACGTGGAAACGTCATACGAATATGTGAAAAAGTAAACGCCAGCAAAAATGATAGATACGCAATTATTTCTTTCATATATATACATATATATGAATATATACATACATAATATATACACACATATTATACAGAACTGACGGAAAAGTTTTTAATGGCAGATTCTTAGTATTATTCAGAGACGATTTTTCCTCAGCAAAAATGAGACACTAATAATTTTCAAATTATAAGCAGTTGAAAATAAAAGCTTTTTTGGAAACTAAGCCTTGTGGAAATAAAATATTAACAGAACTACATTCTTCAGTTAATTTTAGATAGAGTTTACTTAATAGAATTTTAAAAAGCCTTAGTTATAAAGATATATAATAACAAAAATTAGGAACATGCTAAAAATGATAGTCTCCCTCAACATTTTTACTAAGGAAAAATCGTCTCCAAATGATATCAGGAATCTGCTATTAAAAACTTTTCCACCAGTTCTGGGACACCCTGTATGTATGTATATAATCTAGATTAATGATCGAGAGCAGAGATATATGTATTCAGTTTAATATTATAAGAAAGGCTCCTCATCTCTAAATAATGTTGGTGTGTATAATCGAGTATGTCTAGTCAACATTTATACAAAAATAGAAGTATTGACACATGTCAAGAAAATTTCTATGATTTTATAGCAATTTAAAGCTTATTATATCATTTGTTTAGCACTATGCTGTATCATTTATAAATCATTGATTCAAGAAATAAAAAGAAATATATAAATATACAAGATGTCCCATAATTCGCGAATCACCTTTCATGAGCAGATAGAGCGTGTTAAACTGAATAGAAAAGTCCTGTATCATTTTTGTGTGCGATATTCGCAATAATTATTGAGTTATTAACTAAACTCTTTAACTTAATTCTTTAAATTATTAAAATTACTTATTTTTATCATCAGTCTAACCGCAATTGCTGGCACCTAAATTTATTAATAATATAAATAAAATTATCTATTATAATTTTATTAAAATAATTATTTTAAATATTAATAAAATTATTAAAAATTATTTAAATTTTTTAATAAATACTTTTTTATAAAAATTTATTTATATTCAAATTTTATAATAAATTTATAAAAAAATTATTTTCCTACCTCATTCACTAATTTTTCATATTTATTTAATTCATTTATTTTTTAATTAATATGTAATTTAATTAAATATTAAATTTAATAAACATTTAAATTATAAATTGATTAAAAATAAATATAATATTTCCTACCTCATTCACTAATTTTTCATATTTATTTAATTCATTTATTATTTATTATTTATTAAAATATCTAAACGAATGAGCGGGTAGAAAGCGGTAGGCCGGACTCGGTGTGCATGTCGGATGACTTATTTGTTATATGCCGCTTAGTATCAAAAGTATCATCTTACTTTTCGGCGCCACTACATTGGTCGCCGCTTGCTGCATGATGCCGCCTCTCGATCAAATAATGCTTTCTACTTGCTTATTCGTTTAGATATTTTAATAAATAACTCAATAATTATTGCGAATATCGCAAATAATAATACATGAATTTTCTATTCAGTTTAACACGCTCTATCTGCCCATGAAAGGTGATTCGCGAATTATGGAACACCCTGTATATTATAACACACACAGTCTCCCTCTATCTCTTTATTTCTCCAAGACTTTATTAAGTAAAAGTTTAAATATCAAGATTTAATAATAAAATTGTATAAAAAATATATCCTGTATATATAATTAATCTTTTACAAATCAGTAATCAATTAATAAAAAAACATATTTCTGATTCTGACATAAAAAAATTGTTAATTCTACAGATTTATCTATTATTCTTTACTTGAGATACATCTTATATGTTATTCGCATTTGCACTTTCTAAAACTGATTTTAACAGATAATCCTGCTACAATATATTGTATGTATGTTATTTTTATACTTACTTTACTTTATTAATTATGAAATTACTGGCACCATCTACGTTAATATCGGTTGCCATTATTTGTACGCCATTTGTTGGAGAAACCGACAATTTCTTCAATTTAAGAGGTTCCAAAGAAGGGATGTTATATTCTGGTACGCCCGTCTTAAGATATGGCTTCAAATAATTTATACTGTTGCTGACACATGTTTCGTATTCATTTTCCGGTTCGCGAACTGGACAAACATGTAGGAACTCGGCTGCAAACATTTTAAAATTATCATTAGATATAATTAATATAATTATAATTATATATAACATAATTATTATGGTGGTATAATTATTATATATATAAAGTAATGTATATGTTTATATGCATTTTCTCCATTTTTGGGAAGGAAAAATAAAAATATTTTCTACGATATATGTAGAAATCTGTGTCAATCTATTGGATTCTGATTTATGATTTTGCAATCTAATTTTTATAGTATCATAAAACTTTTACTGGTATTTTCATACATTCTATGCACTTTGATCAAGAGAATGTGTTTAATAGTTATTATTTATGTCTCAATGTATGGTATACATATATGCATAATCTAGCTCTAGGCCAGTTCTTTGCTTTTCATACAGAAACATTTTTCTCATATTTTCCAATATTTATAGCGATAAAATTTAAGTCTTAATCGTTTAAAGGCTTAAGAGTTAGCTATTTGCATCTATTCTCTGATATCGAGTGACGTTTTTCAAAATTTAATATAGCGAAACTCAATATAGCGAGCGACTAAACAGTGAGCGGCCAAAATTTTGATTTTTAATGCAAAAGTAAATCTTTGCATTACAATTTTTCTTATAAAAATGTTTTGTTTTTCAAGGGTAATATTTTTTTATTTTTCAAATGTTCAGACTTTCTGTTCTATTTAATTAAAGAAAATAAAGTTAAAATTTCTAAGCAATGGTGAAGAAAATTGCTTGTAACATTTATGCGGGACATCCTATATATCATATGTCAATATATGCCTACATACATCAGATTTGTCATCAGCGACCACAGAAATGACGATTCTCATCCAAAAATGTTACAAAATTGTAAAATTATTTATGAAGGTTTTCACATTAAAATCCAATTTTTTATGTTTGCCCACTGATTATAATTGAAATATTAAATCTGTCATTATGAATTTTGAAAAATGCTACTTGACATCAGAAAGTAGATACAATTAATTAAATTTTAAACTCTCGCACGATTGTGTAAAGTTAAATCAATTTTGAAGAGTATAAAAGAAAGAATGTTCTACATTTGTATAAATATTTATGTATATATCATAACAAAAAGTTTAAGAGAGAGTAAACGCTCTTTTTAATCAAGATTTAAATTGATTATGTATACTAAAAAAATCCATGTACTTTTACATAGAAATTGTTCAAAACTGGAAAAATTACTTAATTATCACTGCAATTTTTCCATATTTTTAAAGTAAAAATACATATTAATGTAAAAATATATGTAAAATATAGGTAAAATTACTATTTTTTGCAAAAATCACTTGTAATTTTAAATTTAGTATTTTTACTTTATTAGAACTTTATAAGCATTTATCCATTTTATTTAAAACATTATTTTATAACATTTATTCATTACTAACATTTCTTATGTGTAATTCCATATTCAATAGAAAATTTTTAACCTTGAAAATATATAAGAATATATGTCATATGAAATTACATTATATTGATTATATAATCTATAATCTTCCATAGGTAGCAATATTGCATGATTATGCTCTGGGTATAATATTTTATTGTAATGATTCAATATACTATATATATATATTTTAGCATGTATCGTATCACAGCCACGAAAATGCAAAAGTTTTACATCAGTCAGTGAAGAGTAAGATATTGAAATTCAAGCATCTTTATTCACACAAGTACATAAAGATGCTTGAATGGTAAATAGTATTAGATATAAAAATATAAAATAATAAAAACGCTCTCGTCTCAAGTTCCTAACTCAACATAATAATCACTTAAATCGTGACCATATATTAAACAAGTGCAAACAGATTTAATAGAAATCTTAATTGATGATGATCTAACTAATCCAACAGATGTTGAGCCTATAGCATTTGACAGTTTGTTCGATTTGATATAGCAAGAATAATATTAAAACAAATTGATACGAGAAACGCACTATAATAAATAATAAGCATCGTCGAGTGGTATAAAAAATTTCCGTTGTGCCATATTTTCTTTAAAAAGGTTTTCTACAGATTTACTCACGTATATCTCGCATAGCTTGCACACCAATCGTCGCCACGACAAGCAGAACCCCAATGAGTGCCTTCGTTAGTGCTGTCATTTTTTCTTTGAAAAAAGAAAAACAGAAATAAATGGAAAACTGGAATGTCTTCCGGGGCAGAAGAAGTCAGGGTGAGCACGAGATTCGACGACGGGGGTTGCTGGTCTCGCAGCAGCAGGTGGTTCGAGAATAGACGGTCCAGAAGTGGATGATCCGAACGGCGATCTGAACGCCTTATAGCAGTGACTATTTATTCATCCCCTCTTTATCTGCCGTACGTCATTCACCACCTATCACAATTCGACATGAAAATCATTCTTATTCTGATGATATCTGCCTCTAGATGATCGCAGAAAAAATGTTCACGTGCAGGCTGCTAAAAGTGGAGAAGTGACACGTGCAAGCGAACGACTGTCGGCGCAATTACATGACATCCTTACTTTATACGGCTTCTACACCGAAGGCGAACGAGAACAGTCTGATCGCAAGACATATGTCTGTCATCGAGAAATGTTCTACATGGACACATAATTAATAGGTAAATCATTTTTTATCGCGTCAAACAATTTTAATCTAAAGAAATATACTAATCCCCTGAAATAGGAATGCCAAGGCTTTAACGTTATGCTTACCTTGAAAGGAGAGAGATATTTTCATGTGAAATATGATACATATATACCTACACACATACGTATACATTGTATACATATATATATATATATATATATATATATGTGTTTAACTTAAATCTTTACATAATTAATTATAATTACTGCACAAATGTAGAAGAAATCAGATATACAAAATTCTGGCGTTTCTTAATTATTTTAAAACATTTTTATTTCTTCATATATTAAAGAGTTTTTATTTTTCCAACAGCACTTATTCAACTGCGATTTGAATGTTCGATGAACATCGCGCTAAGACGTTTTTATACGCATTTGAAAATACACGATTGTAACAGAATAGAATAGACATCTCCTCGAATTGTAATGAGACTTTGTAAAATTTTAAAAAACAAATAAAAATAATTTGGATTTTTAGTTTTTATTTCGAAAACTGTACGTCGTACGTAATTATTTATTGTTGGCATGTAAATTAAATCGTCTTAATGATGGGATACAAACAGATCCGATTGCCACAAAACTTAAATTAATTGTCATAATTCGACATTGTATATTATAATTATCTTTTTTCTTAGAAAGAAAGAAGCAACTTTTTAAAATAACCATTTAAATCAACATTACGCAATGTATCAACAAAAGATGTGGTTATTAATATCATTATGTGTGTACCGTGGAAACACAGAGTTAGAATACGTAATGAGTTTCACGGATCGATGGAAATGAACGTACAAAAGGTACAGGTTTGCACGGATTTTTCCTAGAGTTAAAATAAGATGAAAATATTTAACACGCAAGAATCAAAGTCCACACAGTCATGGTCACGGCGTATAACGGTGTCTAATAATATTGGATCGTTATGGAAAAATTAAAAAAATTATAGTTAAGAGTAAATACTCTCTGAATGATTGAATAATTTTTTGATGCAATTCAATTTTATTTTAAGCACTATATAATTTTTGAACCGATAAATCATACTTTTTTCAATTTTCAAATTATTCGGAAACAACGGTAAATAAAAACTATTTAAATTAACACATTTATTATAAGTTACAATCGGAAAGTTTTGATTTATGTAAATACAATATTAAAACCGTGTATTCGCTCGTCTATTGATTAAAATAAATTATAGTATATAAAAAAGGCCAACTAATCGAGCATTATTAGATGATATAAACTAATGTAAACTACATGTAGTAAAAGTTATCAAAATACAAACATAAAATCTTCCAGGTGGAATTACTTCCGCACATGAATGATTGTTTACGGATGCACGAGCTACCGAAAGCACGTGAATTAGCAAAAATGTCATAATTGATAGTTAGACATCAAATCAAAGGAATCATTAGAGTTATCAGCTATGACCGTGAAGTCGGCGTTGACGGCCTACCGGATGTCAATGTGTTGCTTTGCAGCTATCAATCAAAAAAATTAGAGATTAAAAATAAATAAGTCTCTTGAGTTTCAAAAAATTGTTGAAATGTCTACAAATAAATTTGTTTTTTCTAACATTCTTTTATACTGTGAAAAAACACGAGTTTAATAAAGCTACACAAATTTTATATTTGTATCATCTGATTTTATTAAATAAACTTTATATTATAATTATTATTTTGAGAATATATATAAGATCTAAGAGATATCAAATATAATATTTAAAATTTTTATACAAACATAATTTACAAAAGCAGCGTTATATTAAAATATTCTAAAATTAATCATATTCTTATTTTTTACGTGATGAAATGATCTGTTTTCTTATTTTTTATTTTTGAAATACGTATCTTTGCGTATGTCGGATATTTCAACATACGTCGTGATGAGAAAATTAGTGGAAGACGCATTACCTTTGCTCGCAAATTTTATTTTGTAAACACGCTTGCATCACATTTTACGTCTCTGTTGTATTTTTTTTCAACAGTTTAGATATAGGATATTAAGACATCCCAAGAAATCACTGAATCATTTTGCCAACAACAATTATCAGAAAGCACGCTTACATGACATAACATTATTATAATTCCCGGCTTTTATTGACCCAATAATGTTTGTAACAGTATAAATGTATGTATGGATCTTTTTAAATACTACTCATATATTCAGTAGATTAGCCTCCACGCATTAGATTAACAATTACTGGTAACAATTATGATTCCGCTTTAATAATCGCGAGAACGTAACGTTAATATAAGAGTATTTTCACGTTATCAAAATATAGATTCACATGTTTGTATTCGTGTGCCAATATGATTAATCTTTTATGCGAAAGTAAATATAGTAATTATCTCCATTGTAGACATATGTTATACGGAATGTTAATTCTATTTATCGAATATTAGAATAAAATTCATACAATATTCTTTTGTAAATATTGCCATTATCGATAGTTTTGTTGTTGATTAGGAAGAATCTACACTACTAGGAAAAGTTTACACTATTGCGTCTAAACTAGCAATATTGTACAATTACGTAATTAATATTCTACAAATAATTGAAAATTGAAATTTATGATTTTAAATTTATTAATTTTTATAAATCAATATACATATAATTAAATTAATTTTATCAGAATTTTTTGAAATAATTATCATAAATAAAATTATCTTTTTTATTTTTAAATATATTTTATTAAATAAAAATATTTAATATTTATCGAATAGTTATCTAAACATGCTATTTTTATAATTAAAAATAAACTAATTCTTTTATACTTGAGCAATAAACTATGTTCAATCTTATATTTTCTGGAAGTTTAATTTACATTTTCTATAAGATGCTATTTTTTAATGAAAAAGAAAACGACATAAATTATTAATAATTCGACAAAATTTAACATATTTGTTCCTTGACGAAAGAATGATGTATCTGTTGATGAGAATTCCTAGAAAAGACGTGATTTAATTTGACGAGATATAATTGACAATGAGTGTATTATACGTATAATCGTTTTGCATTTTAGAATCATTATTTACAATTATTTTCTCATTTAAAGCTTAGTCGTACAACTTACTAATTTCTTAATTTTTTTTTCTTTTATTCAGCTTTAAAGCAATTATTGTTGTATGTAATAAGTTCATGTAGAACATTAACATCAATCCTAAATATAATAAAAAATAACTGACACTTACTTGAACTGTCAAACACATTTGACACTACAGTGATTTATAATTAGTAATATAATAAATTAGAAAATGCATACAATTATGCAAATATTCTGATTAATTACGATTACAGGATCCCCATTCTTATTGCTTATTGATTGTTTGATTGAAAATGAACTGTTCAATATTTAATCATTTGTAGGCTTTGATTTATCTCGATTTAAAAAAATAATTTGCATGTGCAACGATAAAAATTTCATTTTAAATGCCATTTATTTATCGATTCTCTCATTATTCTGAAGTTCAGAGGAGTTTGTCTTTGATACTCATTTTCATTATTTATTGTTCCATGCGGTATAACAGTCATATGCGTGGAATTTTTATGACGCAATTTTGCAAAGTAAAGTAAAAAACGCATCATCGAATCGCGAATTACATTTTTAATTATTTCGCGAATTACAGCAATCTTTCATAGAATATACTATACAATAGATTGTTGCAAATTCTGCGACCGATTAATTATACGATCGGATAATCTAATAGTTATATAGTGAATTAATTTTTGAACAATATTAAAATTTCAATAATTTTATTTAGAATTATTTATAATAAGCTTTATATAAGATTTGAAAGAGAAAAGAATAGGGAGTAAAGAGTAAAATACTATGATTTATTTTAAAACAAAAGCTTGACCAAACATTCAGTTATTCTAATAAATAGCAAATATTTTAATTTACTTATTTAATATTATTGGATAAAAAAAGATAAATAAATATATATGATATTTACATATCATTGCACATAAAATATATGTATATCTGTAATTGTAATTTTTTCGACAAACCTTATTCTGATTAAAATCGTGTGTTATTTAATTATAATAAAAGTAGATACTTTATTTAATTATAATAAAAGTACATACTTATTGTACGAATAATTTAAACATAACATTGCTCGTACGGTATGCAAAGCCTTATAAAGGTATTAACGTTAATTTAATTCAACATCGCTAATAAAGCAAAAATCAGATAAATTACGAATCATCACAAATAACAAGAGCAAAAAAGTATTGGCAAACAATCATCGTAATTAATGTCTAGTTTAAAAAATTATACATATGCACATACATATATCCTTTATCAATACAATGTTTGGAATGACGCTTTCACAAAGAAAAATCAGATTCAATGTTTTCGAAGATATTCGCTTGAGATTCGACGTGGAATCTTTCTAAAATACCCTGTATATGCAGCTGACCTCTGTATAGACCAGACGCCCTTTGCACAATTTATATAAGATTAGAAAGAACGTTAATTGTTATGCGTATTATTATTTTCGACTCTTAGAAATACTACCTAAGAATAATTATTGCATCTAGCGCGATATATTCGTCATCCGGTATTCCCGTTGTAATTTTTATAAAGAGATCTCTTCGTTATGTCGCGAAAAAGCTCGACTTCCACGAAGGGGGAATTTTTTCTCTTTGCCTGAAGCCTCGTTTCGCGGTTTATAAAAGTGGTGATTTTTGCTTTCAGCAATTATCGGTCAATTGTTTAATCCGTGATCCAGGCGTCATATGGCACCTGAGCGAAGAGTCTCTCCACAAAACTTGACATGACTTGAACCAGCTTCCTTCTTAAATCTGGTTTCATTTCTTTTAACAATTCCTGGCTGTTCGAATTGATGAATAAGTTTAATGCAGCAACTGAAAATAAGATTTGATCAATACAAGTTGCGTGTAAATAACAAGAATAAATATAGGTTCTTTTGTGCGGACTTTTAGCTAGTTTTTTTCTTGTTTAAATATTTATTTAAATTATATTTCTGATCTTCCTATTTTTTATTTTATTCATTATACTATTATTTTATTGTAGTAATATTGTTAGATTAATTAGATATGTTAAGATTTTCATTCTATTCTTTAAAATAAAATCTAAAAATTTTACAAAAGAATTGCAACTTACGTAATATGCTATTGGTATCTCGGACATTTTCAACACCCATTTTAATATCTTGGACTGAAAAGTCTAATTTGAGCTGTTGCAACCTAAGATAACGATGACCATCAATCAAAAACGGCTTTGCCCTGATGAACACTTTGGCTCTAACACCGTCTGTAAACAAAAAAAGTCTTGATGAAATGTATACATAAGATAACAGACCGAATGCCATATTCATTGAGACCGTATAAATTGCAGTAAGCATGCAAATTTTATTAAAATTAAAAGTGCGTTTCGCGCTATTTTAATTTTTACAATAGAAAGTACAATAAATAATAATATAGTGTAATGTTATAAATTTTAATATTAGTAATGCAACGATTTACAAACAATTTTTAAATTTAAAATTAAAAAAAAAATTTTAGATAATATATACATTTTTCATTTATGTATATAATTGGTTAACGATTTTTTCCATTATTATAACATAATAATAAAAAACAATTATAATAATAGGGGACTCTAATACTTGGATAGCAATTCAGGTATTCTGGGTTGCCTACAGGTAGGCGCGAATGAATTACTTCGATATCAAAGGAGTTCTTTCACGAATACAATTCCTCTCATATATATATATATATATGAATATTTCTTGTAACATATTAGTAAATTGTGTTGCCATTCATAAGGAGTTCAACACTAGAGATCAGTGACTGCTGTTGTGAGATTAACGTGGCATTCTCATATATATAAAAGTTGCTTCTAATTAATTTGCAAACATTAATTATTCATTATAGTCATGTAAGAAACGCCTAAAATTATTTGGCTATGCACACAATCAAACTATTGTCTTTAATTACAAACGGTTGATACTACTATGAAATAGCTATGAGTAAAGTTTATTGACAATAAATGTATGTTGCGCACGTGGTGAAGTTTCTCGCACACTCGTATGTACCAGTGGCATTTCACTCGGTCAACAAAATTCATCGGGGAAATTCCGAGCATACTTGCATATATTTCTAACGATTGATAAACCTCGTCTTTTTTTTCAAAACGCAATGACAAAATATTTTAGAACGAACAAGTGCAGACATATAACGGACATAACGCTACATGCGTTGCTGAATCATATTACTAATTAACTGTTAATTAACTGTTATTTCAGCTCACCATATTCGCCCCAGTATTCTCCTGCTCCACTTGCTTTGACCAATATTAAAGTGCCACTCGATCGATATTTGGCCGCAGCTCGAATTTTTGGTATTTGGAAAGCAAGTTGCAATTGAACCTCATCGTCGGTCAATCGGGTTCTCAGACCACTAATACGTAGGGAAGAAACTCCTCTTGCTGTTATATTTTTAAATTGAGCTCGATAACCATCTGGTCCGCCACCGAGGGCAATATGCAATTCATCCAAGATAATGGGTTCAACTTCTGGATAGCCCAATACGGGTAAACCTGCAGTTGCAACAGTTAAATAGGATAAAGCGATAAATATTGATCATGAAAAAGATTTATACATTTTTTTTCGTGCAATAGACTGGATAAATTTCTGTATATGTATATACACTCCTTATTATTAATAATAAAAATATTTGAGGCAATCTCTGATTAAAGTAAATAAATAATATTTTATTGTATAATTTGACAGAGATATTAAATTTCAATTCAACAAAAATGTTCTAATACAATGTATCAAAAATGATTTTACAATAGCTTTTCTTTCACTGGCGTGTTTGAAGAAAGCTACTACTTCAAGTGTTGGAGAGCAACTTCATACAAAATGACTGGGATGTAGGACACTGGGTGACCATTCGAATACACCGTTATAACCTGCTTCGGTTAACGAAGCTAACAAAACCACGTGATTATAAAACCGGTCTGTTTCTCAGGCTTTCGACTTTCAGAGTTTATTTACAAATCATTTGTATATTGTGTATTGTCATATATTTACTCTAAAGAATCAATTATTCGCGTTGCACATGCAGCATACATGATAAAATTTACTTTCTCATAATTCTTAATGAATGAAATAGAAAGACGCTACAAGAGTATCAGATTATTCAAATTTGTCATTTTCATAATTAATCAATATCATAAATTAATATTATATTTTACTGGTTAAAAATTTAACAAAGTCAATAAAAAATTGCAGAATACATCAGAAAATTCATTGCTTTCTTGATTTTGGTATAATTTTTTTAATTAAAGAGATGTATATTAATTTTTCCCTTATTTACTAAAAAATCCTATTAATTAGAGTTATTAATTAAATCACTTTTCACAGTGCAGAACTGTAAGTAATAGAAATGTTATTTATCTTTGTATACTATTATGTGTATTTGATCGTTTTAGCATTTCCAAACTATGTTTATTAAAAAAAATATTAAACATAATAGGCTTGCATCAAATTATTAATATTCTTAACAAGACGAAATCACAAGATTAAAAACAGAGAAACACAACGCAAACGATATATGTTCGATAAACTACGAATTCCAATCAGCTGATGTATATACATATACACTTGACACAGTAAGAAACAGGCTCAATTTTACGCTTTAACTTCTTCAAGGATCTTCGACATATTGAGTTAATAAATGTGAATATTCTTATAATAAAATAAAATAATACATGCGTGTTTGAGATTTCTTTTATGCAAGTTTCTTGACATTTCAAGTACATCATCAATGTTCTAAAAATAGAATAATACTCCCTCTCTCTCTCTCTCTCTCTCTCTCTCTTTCTCACTTAGCACATGAAACTGTACATAGAAAATGACGTGAAAAAAGTGTGAAAATGTTGAAGGAAATTGTCTGAAACGTTAGATCTCACCTTGCCGAAAGTGCTCCACTAATGTGTTGGCCGTCTTGGCCAGACAGGCTTCCAGCTTCGGATCATGCCTGGAACATGGTTCGAGAAATTCTAGACCTTGATATCTGCCAAGAGCCTGGACGTTGATCAGCAGCAAGCACGCGTAGCACAGTAGTAGAGCTCCCTTCATCTCTTCGAAGACGAGAAATGCTAAATGCTGTCTTCTGTCTTTTTCTCCTGTCACGATCAACTTCGTCGACTACTAACGGACTGCACAACTCGACCGGATTTCTCGACGAAGAATGATCGGCTGGCAGGGATGCGCCAGGACTTATAGACCACCTTGACATTGCCCCCGCTATGCCGGCCTCGAGAATAACGAAGAAGAAGAAGAAACTCGAGTCGCAACTCGATGAGGTACCAACTCTTTCACGTTTCTTCAGTCTATATAATGTGTAGGTGAAAAATAAATATAAGAATGCTAATAATGTATATGTATGAATCTATGCAGGAAGAGAAGAGAACAAAAGCCCAAGGTCCTGTCAGTTTTTAAGTTAGTATTGCTTCTAGTTATATCGTACAAAAATAAATGTTATTTTTTACAATTTCATATATAAGAGTTTTTATTATCTTGTTAAGTATACATCTTGGTTTTTTTGCAAAATTACAATTTGAAATTTATTATTTTTATTTCAATAAAGTTTAGCTAAATTAATTTCATGTTCGACAGCATTGACGCGATAAGTTTTGCCTCACGATTGACTTAAATGCAAAAATCAAAGAGGCAACGCAGAATTTCACAGAGGGTTATTTATCATTTTTATTAACATGCTAACTTCAAATTAAACATAGCAAACAATGCGCTCTTGAAATCCTTGAACGAGCCCGCTCCATCTTACTGATGAGATTTTCTCACCTTTTAATTCTCTTATTAATATATTTCAGTTTTTTGCAAAATTATAATTTAAAATGTATTATTTTTATTAAAATAAAGTTTAGTTAAATTAATTTCAGGTTCGACGCAGATCACAACATTGACGCGATAAGTTTTGCCGCACGATTTACTTAAATGCAAAAAATTAAAGTAGCAACGCAAAATTTCACAGAAGGTTATTTATCATTTTTATTAACACGTACTAACTTCAAATTAAATATAGCAAACAACGCGCTTTTAAAATCCTTGAACAAACCCGCTCCATCTTACTGATGAAAAATTCATTGTCAAAAATATCCCGAAAAAAAACGAAGAGACACAATATTGATTAATTTAATGTATCACCGCTTACTTTCCCGATAATTGATGTTTGTTTAACTTTCTTTTTCTCTTCTAGTAACATTAAAGTGGTACGCGTTTAATGATTGGAAAAGGCAACAAAAAAGCTGTTTTCTCCACTTCTAATAATTAACGAATCGAATAATTAGGCGATACAAGCGTATCGCGTGCATTAAATCGAGTACGATCGCAATCGTAGTTGACGCAACTATGATTGATCAATTAAGTTGTGCAATTTAAGTACGTAAACAATCTAAATACTTAACCAAATTTAAAAGTCATCGATCGGATAACAAAAATAGAATGGGTCATGATAATCCGTACAATATTGATAATCAGCAATAAAAATGCGCGACAAGTAGGGACGAAAGAAAGCATCTCGATAGACGTCAGAGTGGACGTCATAGAACAGCCGAAAGAGGAGTAAGAGAGTGTTAAACACCGTTAATCGCCTTGGTCACGTTCATTTTGAGTCACGTTTCTGATTTACTGATTTGTTCGTGCACATGTTCGCGGAAGATCGACGTCGGTCGGATTTCCTGCGTTTAGACGTGACGGAAAAACGAAATCGAGAGAGACCAAACTGCAGATGATTGTAAATAACGTTATTTTACAACGCAATGAAAATTTACGAAAATATAGTCTTGCAAAACTTTACATTTCTATTTATTCAAAATGTCACTCACAAATAAACTCATTACAAAACACCGATTTTGACTTAACGTGTTAATGTAATTAATTACATATCGCACAATTCACCCTTAATATATTATATTTTCTTAATTCTAATATGCGAGTAGATGAGGCTTTTCTATCAGTTAAGATTTTGAAATCACATATTCATAACTTCTTTTTACTTTTTAATATAGATTAAAATTTTGCACTTTCTAAAAAAAAAAAAAAAAAAGAAACTTAAATTAAAATAATTCTAAAATTTCTTTCAGCAATAATAAGGATTTTTTAGATCTATATTATAATAAATGTAGAGAAAAATAGTTTTGCATCTTAGGAAAAAGATTTTATAATTTATCTGTTCATTTCTTCATGCACAATGTGTGTCAAATTATATTTCTCTTGAATATCGTGAACCTAATTATATGAAAAAACTAGAGAGAATGTAAATGTTGTACATTTAATAAACAATCAGAATGCAATGATATGAGACTGAAATGAGATGAGAAAAGTCGAGAATATACATGTACAGCTGTCATAAATGACAAAATAACACTTCTGCCGCGCGGACAAATGCTAATACATTATCATCTTCCGATATATGAATTATAAATTGCGTTAATATTATTATTTGACTCGATATTGCGCCATGATACAATGTTCCCATGTTCTGTGAGAATACGCGGTCAAAGACCGTGGTTTCTCAAGGTAAACAGCTATTCAGACAAAAAATACCCTCTCTGATCAAAATGCTTAGCATTCCACATAGCGTTCAACGGAAGACGTAATTGTACATACAGGATGTACCGAATTAATGAACAGCGTTAATTCGGATTAAGTACCGTAAAAAAGTACTCGATGATAACCGAATAACATGCAAAGCGTAAGGATCGTAAAATAAAAAAGAAAAAAATGTATAAAACATATATTCTTTGCTGAATTGTTTTATGTCATACAGTGAAAACGTGTCTGTTATGTAAACGAATTAATAAGAACAAGACGAAATTTTACGAAAATGCTTTCACCAAAAACGATAGGAAAGTTATTTTGCTGAATACTTCGCTTTCTCACCAGCGATTTAATTTACACTATACTTATTCAGCAATTCTCTTTTATTGTACTTATTTGTACTTAATTAAGAGATATGCGTTTTTATCTATTCATTCGTAATTGTCTAATCTCACTTAAAGACTGTAATTGATTTAACTTATAGATTGGTTCGAAAATTTGAAAATCTGCTCGAAGGGAAAATCATGGAAAGATGTATTAAAGATTTCTGTGAAGGCGGTGGAGACGAGTTCGTTGATTAGACGCCTCGTTAATACGAAACCCGGTTGCCAGGTTTTGTTGATTATCTTATCGAGGATACTTTCGAAAAATTGCTTGCCGAATAGAAGATTTGTGATGTGAAGTTCCATATTTTGGATGCTCTCGACATCCATTTCGGCCCGCACTTTTTCTCCTGGTGGTTTAACCACGGTGGTCGTTTGTATTAGATCGTCTGCAGAGAGAAAGAATACCACGTTATAAAATTGGAAGACTGCAAATGAATATATTTTTTTTCATTCTCTCTCTCTCTTTTAATCATATGGTGCAGCCATAATGGATCATAATATTGAAAGCAAAAAGTCGTATAATCATTTTTCTTGCATTGAAATAGATTAGTTTTTTTTCGTATCCCATTAATCGTGCGCAATAGTATCGGTAAAACATACCAAATATGGCTACACTAAGAGATCAGAAGACGACTTTCTAGTCACTTTTAAATGAATATTCGCACTTTCACATAACTAGTTAAAATTGTTCGAAAAATTCAAAACTTACAATTAGTAATATTCACTATAAAGTTTTATTGTATATGGAGACTTTCACGCGCATTCGAAATATAAATGAATTAATAACACGTGAATTAGTAACACTTACACAAGGCGAGGGTGAATTTTCCTTTGTTCATTATAGTGGAGCTGAATAATGAACCTTTAAATTCGTAATTACCAAACAGCTCTTTCTTCGGGAAACTTTGTGTGTACACAATCTAATGCAATACGTAAAGATTATTGAATTGGTTTATCGTTTTTTTTTTAAATTTTTTTCTCTAATAAAAATTAAATATAATAAAAATTAAAATACTAATACTTCAGTTAATTATAATTCTGAATGAATATATGTTTTCTTATCATTGACATTAAGTACATCTATTAGATCGGAATGTCTTTGAAAAAAATGAATAATATGATATTCGTCGATGATAAAATTATATTATATGTTACATCAAGTGTGACGTATAATTAAATCGATAAAAATAAATATAGCGTATGTACCTTGTAATATCTCAATTCGGAGATAAATTTGGTTACTTTACTAATAGACCATCCCGTCTCAGTGACATTTCGAAGAGTTAAAGTAAAACCGAAATTCGGAACCCCCCTCTTGGCAGTTATCTCTTTGGCAAAAAACGGATCAAATGGAAGTACATTGTATTTCGGCAGACCGGTTTTGAAATAAGGTCGAATCGCATTCAATCCTTCTCGTACACAGCCATCAAAACCCACTCTGTCGGGATGACAGTTTTTAAAGGTGTCCTCTAAAAACATACATCATTAATATCATTGATTTTGTGCATAAATATATACAGTATTACGAGAAATATATTTTTTAAAAATTGGAAAAATTAATTAATGATTTGGAGAGAAATATCTATAATATTAAAAAATAAATTACCACTTGTGAATATTAGCGACAATAATCTATTCCATAAATCAATTTTATATCGTGAAATTAAAATAATTCTGAAAAATTCGGTGAACTTTTCAAACCTATTTTATTTGAATCAATAATTATATGTATAGTCTTTTTAATGTGTATGCTAAATTATTATTTACAAATTTATTCTCTTAAATCTGATAATATGAGTTAATTTTCATAAAATTCTAAATTATATGAGAAATGGTAAACAGTTTTTTATTTTGTATGAAATATTAATTTGACTCGTAATTTTTTAAATAAAATATTTTCTTAAAAATAATGAGAGTTTTTAAATATAAAAATATTGAAAATAATATACTTTTTACTTTACAATAATTTTAAATTTGACATTAACGAGTTAAATATTTTGTTGATATAAATTTCTATTGCAATATTTATAAAGATATTTTTTTATAAAGATATGCTTTGCTTTTTTGCTGTATATTTTTAAAATTTTGGCCATTAATATAAGTGATTATATGCAAGGAAAATAAATATAAAGAAAATATATATCACACAATTAATCTGTTGTTATAACTTTTACTATATCTAATTTATTTCATGGATTTGATTGAAACACATTTCATATGTTTAATTACAATTACAAGGAGGAAGTAATACTGATTTTAAATTGTGTAAAATATGCATTGTAATGACCAAATTAGCAAGTCTATGCGATATTTACGGATTATTGTGAAAATATGTCAATTAACATTGAAATGCACATGTGCAATCACGAGTAATGCGACTTTCACTTCCAAGCATTCTGATTTGGTACAACTTGCACTTGATAATACAATACTGCGTTTCTTAAGATTTCATTCCTGAATTCTGCACTTTATTATAATTACGACACATAACATTATTACTTATATAATATATCAATAAAACGCTTTATTGATGCTTTCTTATTTCACTTTTTTACTTATTCTTTAATCATTTTTCAAATTCTACATGTCGCTTTAAACGCATTAAATAATATTGTTTTATTTTTTACTTTCTCCTATTTTCATAAACAAAAAAGAAAACTCAATAATGCTACACACATGCGTTGTATGCACTTTTTACTTATATGTGATGCACATTCACAAGAAGGAAAAGAATTTTCTCCGCTCAATTTTCTTCCTTCCTCCAAGAAAAGATGGAACATTTACGTAAATCATCTTTAGACAATTTTAGTAGATTTAGTAGATTTAGTTTTTTAAAAAAGCAAAAGATTTATATAGTGATATTAAAAAACCTTACAAATTAAAAAATTTGTATATTCTTTCAAGGGAAATTAATATCAAACTTTTCGCAAACAATGAAAAATTATTTATATAAAAATAATTTATACAACTACTGATCCTTTATATCGTTCAAACTATCGTAACACACAATCTTTGCAAAGTAAAAGGAACAATACGTACAGCTTAAAACCAACTTTATGGAAAAGGAACCTTGATAAAATATTCCGATTCCGTGTTTCACTGTACATGTCTTCTTTTAGAGTCGATTTATAAGGAGATTTTATATACAAAAGCAATATTTTTAATTTTTTAGTGAAAGTAATTTACGGTGTTGTGCCTTTTCACCTGCTATAATTTTTAAAATACTCACTCAATATATGACATACAGTATATAGTATTGTATATATACATACAAAATGTAAGTGGTTATGAAAGTATGGTTCTCGGCAGTCGAAAAAGAAATTTAAGAAGGACATGTTATGAAAGAGTGCAACATCGAATTCAAATTTTATTTAACATACGTCAATTATATATTCATGTGAAATTTAATATAATATGATGATACGAAATATTGAAATCACCGATTTTGAAATTTCTTACACGTGCGGTAGTTAAAATCATCAGATGTACTCACCAAAATCAGCAGCGGTAGTCAAAGAGCACAATAGTAGCGGAATCAAGAGAGTTCGTAACATCTTTGTTAGTTTATGCTCTTCCTCTCCTTCTTCTTCTTTGTCTGAAGCACCCAAAAAAAATGACCGCAGTACTTGTCGTGTGTATTTATCGATATTCACAATGGATCACTTAAAGTATGCGGACAAGAAGCGCTCGATCCTTGCACTTTCACTGTCTACGATACATCTGAGAAAAAGGTTTAGCAAACTGCCTCCGAGTCTTATAAAATTTTGGCAGACTTTTTACGTAATTCATCGAAGTAAACCCCAAGCAGATGGACATGTTTTAAGGAGTGGGAATTTATTAAGAACTCTTTCCCTTCATTCCGACTTTGGAATTTGAACCAATCCCTTGAGCGTCACATTATAAAAGAGAACATTAAAGAGAGAACATTAAAGAGAGAAAACAAGTCTTACGCAGTGGATTATCTAACGTTATATCATTACCTAACATACTATGCACTTTGCTAGTGAATCGCGAAATAGAATAACTCGTAGGTGACTATGAGAGTATAGTGTTCCAATATAATACACACACATATACATATGTATGTGGTATTATATTTAAAATTATTTATCAAATCATTTTATCAAACCTCATCTATTTTTAAATTCGTGTAAACATAAATTAAATTTTAAATGAAACAAGTTTATGAGATATATAATAGACTCTATTTCTTTTTTTCCTTAATATAAATACAATGATTTATCGTTGCAAAAAGTAACACAACATCTTTATATAATTGCATTTTTATACATATTTCATGTAAAATTTTGTATTCATAAATTTTGGGATTTGTGCAATTAATTTCTTGTCAAATTTTATTTAATGGATAACCGAAATTCGAGTAAAACGAATTTAATTTGGATAATCTCAACTCTTGAAAAATTAACATATGGATTATTCCAATGATCCAAATATCTTAAATCGAATAATATAATATAATTTTATAAATAAATATTTTAATTAAATTTTAAATATTAAATTGTTTGAAGAATCTTAACTGTTTGCTTACCTAAATTCTGAATGGCAAGAACAAAGATTCTGAAGATGTCAGCTCTACAACGCCAGACTCGATAATAATTTTGCTGTCTGATGCTTTTAAGTCCCCTGGTCCAATCTGATACGAAAGCAAAAGGCTATCCTTGAAAAATAAAAAATAACAAAAAGGAGAAATACTTGTTTTAAGAAATCGTTTTATTTCTTATAGTGAGTTCATCCTCAATTCATCTCAGGTAGTCAAACATCGTGTTTACTACATATATGCAAATATAATAATATTTAAACAATTTCACAAATTGCATATTTTTTTATACAAATATTGCAATTATCTATTAAAGTAAAAGAATTTGTAGAACAATAAAAATTAACTTACACGCACATTGGATGTGTTTTACATTTAAAATTTATTAATTTTTTCGATAGCTCTCACTGTGTGTGTTTTATATTATTATTTTGAATTTGTAGAGCCTTTTGTATTTTTATATTATATATCTAAACACATTTTTTGGTTTAAAATAAAAATTGAAAGATTTATTATCAATTTATTATTATAATTATTGTTTGCATTTAACCGTTGTTTGTATTTCATTCAGAATCTCTCAATAAAATTTGAATTTTAAATTTTGTTATATGTACATACAATAAACGAGTAAATAATCTCCTGAACGTAGATGACCAATCATACATTCATGCTTAAAAGATTCACATTTCCTTGCCATCTCTCTCTCTCTCTCTTTCTATTATCATTGAATAAAATGCGATCTGGCTAAATGTTAAAAACTTTATTACAAATAAATAATATTTTATATAATTATCAGAGTAAAATTTAATATAAAATATAAATTAATATAAAAACTTAAAAGCACAAAAATAGGTTGTTTACTTTAATTTAAATATGTCCATACAATTTATTTTTAAAATTCTATGTTTAATACTAAAATATTTTCTGACAAAGATTAAAAATAATATTAGATAAAATTTAATATTTTTTCCACTATGAGAATATTAATATAATATTAGATACAACTTTATTAGTATTACAAATATCTATTTAATGTAGAATATGCTCATTCTATCAAAATTTATTGCGCGGTGCAACTTAATTGCAGTAGAATGAGAATGAGTTGTTTCATCATTATAGAGAAATGCTATATACTATTGTGTATATGTATACACACGATTGCGCTTTATTATCCTAGACACTTGTTTACATATTGCGTACAAGACTAATCTTGCCTCAACTTCACAATTTCGCAAATTCAAGAAATCCTGTTGGAAATCCTGATGTCATCTGTTTAGTGAGAATGAAAGAAATGAATGAAATTAACTTACAAGATTTTCTCACAATTTTCTATAAAATATGATTTTTATAAAAGAAACAAGTGCCCTAAGCAAATTTCTTATATCAAAATAATGTACAATAAAATATTATATAGGAACGATATATTTAATTCGACCCAAACTAGCCAAGAAAATTTTTATTTTATTTCCACTATTGTGAAAATAAAATAAAAATTTTCTTGGCTAGTTTGGGTCGAATTAAATATATCATTCCTATATAATATTTTATTGTGGAAATAAAATAAAAATTTTCTTGGCTAGTTTGGGTCGAATTAAATATATCGTTCCTATTTTAAATACCACTAGCGACGTTGTAAGTATTCAATTTGAAAATATTATATGTAATACTAGATTAAAATAATAACAAGAAAATATATACATATATAAAGAAAGAAAAGAATGAATTTATAATATTTATGCATATACTTTTAACATCTGCTTATATTAAAAATCTGATATTGCTTACGGATCTTACATTAGATTTAGATAATTGTAACTCTCAAAACATTAGCATTCACAAATCTGAAATATGAATTTTAAGTTAAAAGGACATCTCGCAGTAAATGAATCATTGTGTTCTCTCTCTTCAGCTTTTCGCTTATGTCGGTTTAAAATATGAAATTACGTCTGCAACGTCGATTCATAAATGCAATATACCGTTGCCATGAAAGTTTCGAAGGCAGCTTTTCATTATGTGGCGACGATGATTTATATGCGGACACATGGACGTCATTACGTGTCCTCTGGACAGGACACTTTCGTCTAACCGACTCCACAATCCGTGTAAGACTCATCTACTGTTGTAGACGATGAAGAAGGCGCAGGTGCATATTGCAGCAGTGAAAGTATCCGTGAGTGCAGCTATACGAGATCTGCCATCTGTCAATGCCCTCTCTTGTATAGTCAGTCTTGCTCTGACAGAGTCGTTTAGCGCGGGATTCTCGAGTTTTTAGTCGAACTCGAACACGTCGCACCTAACGATTCGCGAGATAAGGTCCCGCGTTCGGTCGGTTTGCGAAAGATAGAACAGATTTGCGGCGGAACCATCGGGATTTCACGAGTCTCGATAATAGCAACTTTCGCGAAATCGTTGTCACGGCTGCCTTGAAAAATCATGATCAAGAAGCTGTGGGTCATCCCTCTTATCGTCGGCTGCGCGATAGCTCTCTCCTCCGATTCCAACCGTGAGTAATTGAAAATGTGCCTTGCAAATTTAACATTAACACCTTTCAAACTAAATAAGCCGATTAACATCTTGAAAATTTAATATCAATTAAATATCCATAACATTTTTTAAATTATAATTCAATTTTTCGAATAATTATCGCGAAACGTTCGGTTACATCTTAAATGGCATAAGTGATACGATAATACGATTTATTGCAATTCATTATTGCTAAAAAATATATTTATAATCTCAGGAAAGCATGTCTGATAACGACGATTAATAGATTGGATGTAGCGTCTATAAAAGTTTTAAAAACACACCGTGCAACTAATACTTAATTTCAAAAAATTATTATTGAAAAAAAGATTTGTTTTATATATCGTAAAATACTTTTTCTTTAAATAAAGGAACAATTTTAAGTTAAATTACATGTACAATTTCCTGCACGCAATTACATTAGACTGTCGTAAAGGCCGGATCTTCATTTCCGTTGCAATGGTGTGGCATGTTCAAAGTCTGATATACAGATATATAAAATTTGTATTTAGTTCAGTATTATAATAAATCTAGACCATAAGTCTATAATTACAAAATTGCTATGTAATTAATTGAACACGAAAGAATGTAATTATAATGAGCGTATAATTATAATACACACACGTATATATATATAAGTATATGTGAAATATATACCTTTTTATTTGATGTGAATAGATAATTTATTCTTTCTACCAAGCATAAAGAGTGATTTAAATTGCAAAACCTCGCAGTAATCTCCTTAAAATGAAAAATATCTTAACATTTAGATGACCTCTGCACTAATTTCTAACTTGTTGATCTTGAAGGTGTACTTTGTCTCGAGATAATACTTTCACTTTTAATACGACTAGCGGCTAAGATGCTTTTTATTCATAGACACTTTTACTTATTCGATCTAGAACTATTCAAATTTCTCTTAGAGCACAAGAAAGTATAATTTAAAAATTTATAATTATCATTTTTTTGAATAAAATACATAAATACAATATCTCATACAGCACAAAATCTTTCAGGGATCTTTGCAAAATTTATTCAAAAATGTCTCATATACATCTTAAATACGTGAAAGAGTCAGCTATTTTGTCACAAATACGTTTATGAAATTTGTACAAACGTTTCAAATGTGACGTATTCTATGTTATGTTTTTTTCGATGTTCTAACGACACTTATTTCGTGTAGTTTAGAAACTGTTTTGAAATTTTTCTGCAACATTTCTGTTGAGTTTTATGCAGTACGGACTATATACATTTATGTTGAAATCTAATGTAGTCCATATACGTACAATAACATTCTGTTCGCAGCGGAATACGTGAAGCAATGTTCCAGAAGCGATCCCAAATTGATAAATTGTCTAATTGACGCTCTGCACCATTTGCGACCTTATTTGAGTGTCGGAATACCCGAAATCGAATTACCTTCGGTAGAACCATTCCGTGTAAGTTTTACATTAAATTACAAAATAAATAATCAAAAATTTCTTTCAAAGAAATTCCTTTCTCTTTCTATATTTATATAATACTTAATATATAATATATGTATAATATTAAACGACCTATATTTGCTATATATATATCTGTATGACATTACATTTATAATTTCTTGTAATAAAAAAATGCGCACACTTATCTATAAAGTAAATGCTTTTTTTAAAAGTGCTTCAACTATAAATTACACAATATTGAATACATATTATATAAGTATAATAAATTTCAATGTTGTAATACTTTCTTCACACTTTGCAATTACAAAGTATCTATTAAATGTCGCAAGTTATGCGTATAGTAATAAGAAAACTAAATGAAACTATGCAATGTACGGAAGTTTCGTATCAATTTGCATCGTTACGCATTCGCTACCATGTTCCGTTAATTTCAACAGATGGACGAGCTGACTCTCTCTCTGACAGGTGGTGTGAACGGTTATAAGATTCAGCTACGCGACCTTTACGTAAAAGGGGCAAGCAACTATAGCGTAGAGGATATTAAACTTGGCTCACCTTTTCAAGCTATTGTACGAATGCCAGCCCTTGTACTAGACGCGCATTATTCCAGGTAGCTAAATTCGACTGTACAACTCGACGAAAGTATCACAAGTTGTATTTCGATTAATATTTAGCTCTATATATGTATATATACATTCCTATTTATTTGTGCATAAGTAAAATTCTTTCCATTCTAGCACGTATGAACTTCTCTCTCGTTTATTAATCTTATGACCGCTAAAAATTTACTAATACGATAATAGTTGAGAAAGTATTGAAATAATCTGTATTTTATCAGATATTCCGAAGGATGAATTTTCTGCTTAAATTTAATTTTTGCAGTTCCGGTGTATTAATAATATTACCTGCAAGTGGAAACGGCACGTTTCACGCGCGCTTTGGCGATGCTACGGCTCTAGTCAAAGGAACTGTATCAACGAAATCGCGAGAAGGAAAGTCATACTTGAACGTTGACAACCTTGATGTAATTCTCGGAGTGAAAGATGTGCAAATGCGAGTCAGCAAAATCTTCAAAAACAATCGAATTCTCAGTAAGCAAATTGCAAAAAAATCCTTATTCTATCAATTATTTAATCATTCTTTTCTAATATTCAAAATAAATCTATATAACTTAACTGACTTTAATAATAGTTTTTCTCATAAATAATTAAAATTTACATTGAATAATTATACTGTCGCAATAAATATTAAACCATTTTTTTATTTATTTCTCTATCATTATATTGTTCTTCTCATTCCTACTAAATTTCTACAGCCGAGGCGATCAATCTCTTCCTTCGAGAAAACGGACAAGAGGTACTAAAAGTGATGGAACCGCAGCTGAAGAAAAAATTATCGGCGCTCTTCGCCGGAATTGTCAATCAACTGTTACGACACGTACCAGTGGAAACGTTCCTTATACCCTAAGACATATATACCTATATCGCATCATCATTAGCGATTGTTGTTTTTCTCTCAAACAATCTATCTCAAATACGCACATACATAAGTAAAGCTGAACAATATATTATAGCATACAAAATAAAAGGTATCAGGCTTATTTAAATTAGAATTAAAGAGGCATTAAATTTAGAATTAAAAACGTGATTTTTTAACTGGGCTTTCAATTTTTAAATAATAGACTGTGATTTTATTCTGGCGTTTTAGAAAATTTAACATACAGCAGGTCTCATGTAGTATAATTCATTTATTTTTTTTACGAAAAAATTATTTAAATAATAAAGCTGAATAAAAATTGCCATCATTTTAATCGACGAAAACTTATACAGTATGTGTAAATTTAATTTATATACAAGAGATTTTTAAATCCGCTAATTAAAATGCTGCAATGATATAATAATAATGTGTCTATTTTTGTGATTATTTCTTTATTTGAAAACAAAATGTTGATTATCATTCTTGTTCAATTACTAAATTAATATATTTTATTTAATTCATGGTTGTGCTAAAGAATTAGAATATAATTGAGACATAGTCCTAGATACAAAAATAATATATATGTTGACACATATAACAATATATAATTGTTGCATAGATTATAATAAAACTTTGGTATATGTATATGATGATATATATGTATGTACGAATAATTATGGTATTAAATATTATATGTGGTGTTATATTGTTTTAGCTAATGGTAATTAACAGTCTATTGATGAAATATAATATATGTAATTATTTGGAGGATAAATATATGATTATTATATAAATATATGACAAGAGAGATTAATTATTTTAATCCGTTTATATAATATTAGTTAAATTTAAGTTATATATATATATATATATATTCCATAATATAATAATTATTTCACATTAATGATTGTAAAGATAAAATTGTCAAGAGGGTTAAAAATTCAAAGAAAAAATGGTTTCGATTTGGCACATTTTTTCTATTTTTCCTGATATTAATTACATCTGTGCTTCATATAAACAATCTCGCTAGTGGAAATAGCAGTAACACAATAATAATAACAATGATGAGAAGTAATCTATTTTGTTGACACGTTACATAATTAGACAATAAACTCGCCATATTGTCGCATTATTCATAGGCATATCGCGACATTCGAAGTGCAAATGCATTCTAACAATATCACGTTACGATGAGAAACAAAAATGATCACGTCGGGATGTTTGCAGACTCTAGAGAGAGAGAGAGAGGAACTCTATAGTCCTCCGCGCCAATTTCGAGCAGTCGCCTAATTAAAATATTCGCTGCTCCAAAATTCAAGCGTATCTTCGATTTGATATTTCAACTACGCTACGTATACGTGCTCTAGCACGGAAAATTTTCTTCGAGGTTTTCAAGGGAATGTCTTCGAGAAGGAGATCTTCGACAATATACGATTAGCGGCTTCGGTAAGATATTCATCCAGATTCTGCGACAGGAACGGCAACATCTCTCGGTACAACGATGGCCAATACTCATTTACAAATTGAAGAGCTACTTTGTCTGAAAATGAAAATTTTTCTATTATAATAATGTTCCGAAAGGAATCAACAAACGTGAGAAAAACAAATTGGCTACATTCATTAACATTACGTAAGTAAAATTATAGCATGTGCGTTTCTGCATTTTCCATTGAGTAACTATAAAGAAATTACTGAAATGATATAAAGAGATAATGAAACAATGCACAAGATAATGATAGGTAATTTTACGCTTTAAGATACGCGTAAAGAAACGTGTAAAGTGACCTTGTTATATCAAGTATCTTTCTAACGTAATCTGAATATCATTTAATATACAATATAATTACATATAAATTTCATATTTTATATAATTTTATCAAATTCTCATTATATAATATATATATATATATATATATATATTTATTTATAATAAATGTAACAAAGATATTAATGAAAATCATCAACACACATACACACACAATATGTCAGCAAAAAATATTTTGTAAAATTATTTTAAATCTATATTTTTTATATGTACTTACTGAGTTCCTCGTTTCCATTGAACATATCACTAAACCAGATAACCATCTTTCCAATTTCCGGACTTAAGCGGAAATGTTCGAGCGTCCATCTATCGTTTGCTACAGGTCCTTCGATGGACCATGTGTCTTTAATATCCTCCATACTAATATTGAAAAATCCTATTGCGTAGACAATAAAAAAAATTATATATTTTTTTTTTTACAAAAATAATTTTTTTTAATAAAAAATTATTGAATATCTTTGCTAAAAAATTTTAGATATAAGTAAATACACTACATATAAGTAAAAAAACATATACTATATTGTAAATTGCGTAAAGAAAGATGTTGAAAAATTATGTTCAGTTAATTCGTGATATTATCTGATATTAAATAATAACAAAATTATACAATTAAAAAATTATTTTAACGACCCAACAAAATTATACAACATTGGAAAAAAGTGAAAAGTAAAAATGAATATTTATCTCTAGAGCAAGTACATGTAATATATCTGTTCTAAATAAATGATTTATTTAATTACCTTCTCCGCCAAGTGTTAACGCTCCATAAGCTCCATTCGCTTTGAAATTACCCTCAATGAGCATCTTTGGCAACTCAAGATCGACTTCCAATTTAAAGGCATCGGCAGAATGATATGGCCTTACAGCCAAGAAGTTACTTTTCGCGAGTCCATAGATATTAACATTTTTAACTGTTATTTCTGCACGTAAGTCACCAGCATCGTATACAGTATGTTGATATTCAAGAAAATACGGATCCAAAACTGGCACGCCTAAATTCGGAATACCTTTCAAAAGAAATTCAAGTTTTTATAATGTCTGATATAAATATGTGAAACTAAATAATAGAAAATTTTATTTTTGCTTACATATGTATACATATATCAATTACAAACGTAATGCAATAAAAGTTGTTGTTTCCAAATTATTTAAGAAGAAGAATAATATCAGTGTTTTTTTATACCTGCGATGAAGTTTGGCCATGCTTCTTGCATCGCAAGTCTCAGGCAAGATGTATAATCAGGCGCATCACGCTTGCAGGTTTGCACCGCTGCGTAAAAAATATATAAAGATCATTAATTAATTATTTCAAATAATTTACTGTACTAAACTATGCATATAATAAACTAATTTAATTTAATTTTTTAGCAAGCACACCGTTTATATCTTATTAGCTTTAATCCCAGCATTGATATGAAAATAAAATTGAAGTACAATAAATATTTATATACAAAAATTGATACATTTTTAATTAGGCTTGAATTACTATAACAAGATCTCATACAAATTATCTTAGCAAAATTTTCTCGCAAATTTTTCCTTAATATTAACAATACTCCTATTCTGCAATTATTAAAAAATTAATTATTGCTAATGCAAAATATATTAATTTTTATATAATGCATTATGTTTCAATAATAAGAAGACATTGCCATTGATATAGTACAGTGTCAATGTAATGGAAAAATACTAAAAGTATGTATGTAATTATCTGCTCAACCGTAAATATAGGTCTCCGTACGCGCAAATTTCCATACTTGAAATTACTTTATTATGCATTCAATCGTAAGCATGTAAACACAATTTTACATATGTATAATGTACTAGATAACATCAAGCGCGCGTATCATTGTCCAATTTTGCGTAATAATTTGATATAATTTTATTTAATTTCATTTTGAACAATTGTCAAATTGTTAATCCTCGTGATGACAGCTGCTAGGCAATACAAGCGCACGTTTATAATTTATAATATAATTCACAATTAATTAATGTTTATAAATAACTTCTAACAATTTATTAATTAATTTTAACTTCTAACAACTTTATAAAAAATAAAACTTAACATATTGATTTTTATGTGTCCGCACTTCTTGCAAACAAAATAGAAAAGTGAAAAGTTATATCTTCAAAAATTAATAATTATTAATTTCTACCAACATATAAACATTCATAACACATTTAATAATCTTGTAAATTTATATAAAAACGTTATTAAAAAATCACGCTTAAGGGGATGCCAGAGCGATGGCCAAACTCCGATAAGTTAGCACCACACATATCTAAACATATGCACGTATACAACACATATGCGTGAAAATGTTTTTAATATATAACTTTTTTATTAGACTTGCAATCTCACTTTTAATCGTTTACTAATAATTCTTCATATTATCCTTATCGCGTATATTATATTTCATGCACAGACAAACTGCAGAACTTTTTTATTAAATAAGTATTATGACGAACTGACACAAAAAAGTCGATAACAAAACTGTAATTTTTTATTTTTATATGATTTATATATGCAATCATAGCTAACGCGGTCCGTTTTTATAAGTACTAATCGTGGAAAAAGATTTATTGATCAGTATAGTTAATCAAAAGTTATTTAAAAAAAACTAAATATTCGCATTCGGTCAGTAAAAACATACCTCCGGCATTCCCTTAAGGGGAATGCGAATATTTAGTTTTTTTTAAATAACTTTTTATTGACTATACTGGTCAATAAGTCCTTTTCCACGATTAAAGTACTTATAATAACGGACCGTGTTAGCTATAATTGCATGTATAAATCATATAAAAATAAAAAATTACAGTTTTGTTATCGACTTCTTTGTGTCAGTTCGTCACAATACTTATTTAATAAAAAAGTTCTGCAGTTTGTCTGTGCATGAAATATAGTATACGCGATAAGGATAAAACGAAGAATTATTAGTAAACGATTAAAAGTGAGATTGCAAGTCTAATAAAAAGTTATATATTAAAAACATTTTCACGCATGTGTTGTATACGTGCATATGTTTAGATATGTGTGGTGCTAACTTATCGGAGTTGGCCATCGCTCCGGCTTGTCTTAAGCGTGATTTTTTAATAACTTTTTTTATATAGATGTTTAACAGACTCGTTGAACTTAATTTTTCTCCGAAACAGAATGCATATATATTTCAATGAAAAAATATCTACATCTATCATTAAAAATTAATCATTAAAAATGAGAAGTATATAATTTTCAAAGTAAAACAGCAATTATGAAGCGTATTATTTAAATATATTCGCAATAATCGCAAAAGGCTTGTAAGCAAAAAAGGTCTAGAAAAATTTAAATAACAATTTCACAGATTATTGCAACATCAGCTGACACTTTAATCATCGTAACATTGTTTTTATTTAAATATTTTATATGTCAATCTATGTTTTGTATAATTTAATTATTATTTTTATTTATAATATAATAATGCATTCCAAACATTAATCAAAAATTGAATCGAGAAATAATAAATACAAATTTCAATTTTTTTCTTATTATTTTTTCTTTATATTATTTTAATTAATCTTTTTTTCATTAATAATAGAAAGAGACTATAAACTATAAAATCAGTATAATTATACATCTATGAGATAGCATCGTTGCCTTTAGTTGTCATTATCCCATTTAATGTAATAATTTAAATTTTTAGTCATTGTCATTTTATGTAAAGAAGAAATATAGAATAGATGAAGATAAAAAGAAGATTGTACTTAATTAATGGCAATAAGCGCGCTAATAGAAATGAAAGAAAAGTTATTATATATGTTATTTATACAATTGATACAGTACAATTCATATTCATAATTTATTGATTAATTTTATTTTTTTATTTCAATAGCACGTCGTAGAAATAAAACATCAACTAAGATTTGCATGACACAATGTATATCGATTAAACTATTAAGAATTAATTAAAATGTCAATTTTTGTGTTCATTAACTAATATTTAATCACGTTAAATAAAATTATATTTTACACAACACAATCAAAATCTTTAAAGTTAAATTTCTTTATATAAAAATATTACTTATATACCATAATTGTAAAATATTATACAATTACGGTGCAGAACCACGTTATCAAAGTATGGATATTCACCTTTAGCAAACCGTGAGAAAAGATTTTGTGTCGCATAAAAATAACGATAATATAATGACACGTGAAATTTAAATACACATTCTATTTTACACACTGGGAAGTATTAATCAAAACCGTCTCCATAATTATTTTACGTTTTTAAGGTAATTAATAGTCTCACACTGCGTTTCTCTCGAGACAGAGCTAAGAAGAGGTGGATGAACAATGAAATTTTAACTGATTCGAGCAAAAATTTGTGAAAACGTTTCTCAAAGGAAAAAGAGATCGATGGCTCAAAAGAAGACTTACGAAACTCAAGATCCTGAGCCGCGACAAGCACAAACACAGTAGCGCAGTACAGGGCGAGAGCGTGGAACGACATCCTGCGTGGTTAAAAATCCTTGTGGCTAGTCTAACCAATTATAAACACTCGGTTTATATAGTCTTCCGCTCCAAGGACTCGACAAAGATATGTTGCAAAATTGCATGTCATTAAAGTGAGCTTATACGTGAGAGGCGAGAAGCAGTGGTGGGTGGAAAACTGAATCACGATTGCTACAGCGTACCCTCCTCTTTTCTTTGAGACATCTTCGACGAGCAAGAAGGTTGCAATTTAAGAAATTCAAGCGAATCTATACTTGATTATTAAAAAAAAAATATTATAATTAAGTCAATTTTAATAATAAAAGATGAAAGAAAAGAAAAAGGAAAAGAAGAAACTAAGAGATAAATAATCATAAATAATAATGAAGACATCATATGTCATAAGCTATTCTAAGAACAAGCAAAACTATTTTTATCGTGAATAGAGAAAAGGTAAGTAGGTGAAAAATAACAGATATATAAAAGACATTTTTGTCGAAACTAACAATAAGATCAGCACTTCTTGATCCATTTTTTTTGGTCTCTCTTTCTCTCTCTCTCTCTCTCTCTCTCTGCTCTCTTTCTCTCTCTTTGTCATCGGTATCTTGGGCTCGGTTTAATTGACAATGAGTCGTGCTCGATTATTGTTGCACTCTTGCGGTGATTCCGAGAATGGCCTAGCAAGAGAAGAAATCCATTTCTGTTAACATCTTCTCTCTCTCTCTCTTTCTCTTTCTCTATCCTTTTTGAATTTAAAATAAGATATGAATATGACTCATACTCACTCATACTCTGAATAAAACTTCAAAAATATAAACAATACATTGGAAAGAATAATAGACATCAATATTTGAAGATTTATTATGAAAAAATGATAGATTTGATAAAATGTAAAACAATAATGAGTATTCCCTTTTCTTTACAAAATGCCTTATATTCTTTAAAAATTATCTCACATTCTTAAAAATATAATATAATACATCAAACAACAAGTACAATTTATTTGTGTACATAATTAAATATATAAATAAATTACCGCAAAAATTCTATTCTTTTCAAAACTTATTATTTTCTATTTGTGCACATGTTCTATTAATAAATGTATTAACTAGTTTCATAGCTTCAGTAATAAACATTATAATACTTTTATATACATACCTGCGTACGTTTCATAAGTTATCTTCGTTAACTTTAATAAACCATAGTTACCGAGATTTAATAATATTATAAATATATTGTGATAATTGCATTACATCACTTTTTATCTAAGGAAAAATACTTTACGTAAACAGTCATATTGCAATGTTAATTATATTGCATTAATTATATTACATAATTTTTCTTGGTATAAGAACATCATACTTGATTTATAAATGTGTATAATTTATAATTTTTGACGATCTATTTTATTTCTAGCTTTGTAAAATAGAAAACTTAAGAAACATAACTAACTATTTGAGCCTATTCAACATTGATATTATACTTTTTAAAATTTTTGTCACAATTTAATAGATATACTCATCACTTTTAAATAATTTTATATTAATATTAATTAAAATCTCCTTTAAAAAATGCGTGAGTTTACCATTTTTAATCAATAATTTCATTTATACTTATCTTTATATTGTGTAAAGTTCAATTTACGTAAATATCGGTTATAATTATCTATTTATCATCCAGGAAATTAAATATGGAAATTTTTTAATAAAATATTGTGGCAAGAATTACGAATATTATGATAATTACTTACAAGTGATGTAATGCAATTATCATAATATTCATAATATAATACTATTAAATCTCGGTAATTGGTTTATTAAAGTTAACGAAGAACTTATGAAACGTACGCATGTATATCGTACGTATGTATATCGCCAACATCTCTTTATATTGACAGAAAAAGATTTACAAACGGATACTGATTATACAAATAATAAGAAACAAATGATAGATTTCGCACATACAAAGGCATCATTTAACTACTCGTGACGATTCGTCGTCCATCTTACAGCGTAAATTATTCGGTCATACATTCTTATCGATGATGAAGAGCGAAATACATTAAAAAAAGTGCTTTTAGAACACGTATATGTATAAAGACCATTTCTTCATATGCAAGTGCAAGGACATAAACTCCGGACGTACAGACTTCCTGTGTGACCTTGTGACCTTGCATGCACCTTGGCGATGCACGAACGATCAACAAAGTGTGATTTAATCACGATCATACGTCTTACTAGCAATGAAATTTATCTAACACTGAAAATAAGATTAGATTAATGAATGCGCAAAGCAGCTACCCTTGGAACACATCGTTGATAGCGATGAAAAAACGAGATTTTCTATAAGCTGGTATAATGTGAAAAAAAAACGAAATACCGATAGCAAAACGATACACTCACGACGAGACTCGACTGTGACATAGATGTATACAAACATGTAGCGATACGTACCCAGATAGCCACAGTAATTATTTTGATGTCAAAATGCATCATTTTGATGGCAAATGATGCATTTTGACATCAAAATGATGTCATAATAATTACTGTGGCTATCTGGGTAGGTGCGAATGTCGCCATATTGATTGACGATTGTTTTGCAGGGATACTATATGAATGGGTGAGCTACAAGTTTTTTTCATTGAATACTCCACCTCATACTTGGCAGTCTTGGAATTCTCATGAAATGACACATTTTCATCTTTCACTTTAAGATATATAAAGCATCTTACATTTGTATGTATTATATAAGTGTATTATTAATACTATCAATATATGGATTATATAAACAGCTATTATTTGGATAATTGAGAAATATTTGGAAAATAATTAATAGTAAGAGTTTGTATGTGCTCATTGAAAAGTAACATGTGTAAATAATTTAAATTTTAGAAAATTATATAAAATAAACTTTTAATAATAATAAATTTAAATTATATTTTAATGTGTTGTAAAAAAATGTTTTCTTTCTAGAAAGAATACTTTGTCAAAATGAGTAAATTTATAGAATTCACTCTCTTATATATACATTTTGATATATTGTGAATAAAATAACTAATTATATTCTTTAAATGAGCAAATTGAAAAAATCTCAAGCAGTCATTATCATACAGATTTCTATTTAATATCGAATGTACAATCATGAGACATAATAACATTTTATGTTGCGAAATCTTCTCGAACTAGCTGAACTAAGAATAGATATTTACTCTTAACCACGTGTTTCCAATTTCATTGTCATACCGAGATGGTCAACAATTCTATTTAAGAGAACCACAGGCTACACTTATATAGTAGCCTCCGCTAACAAACATATAACATCTGACGTGCAACAGTATTACATACGACATCTGGTATAATAAAGTGTGTAGATAATAAAGGAGTGCACCGCAAATTAACTAAATGCCAGAGTTTTGGATAATTACTCAATATTTTTCTCACTGGCTACGTAAACAATGAGTAATGTATGATAATGTTCGCAATTAATTTTGATTCCATACATTTAAGAAAAGCGTATATACGTATATATTTATCGAATAACAAAAATACTTCATAAATCATAATATATATGCATAATACATAAATTTAATATCTATACATATATATTAGAATAATATATATATAAGCTACGCAAAAATATATAGGTATATAATTAATTTATTAATATATTATACTCTTGATATTTTTTCTCTCTTTGAAAAAAAATATTATGTATAAATAGTATGTAATTATACATAATATAAACTCATACGGAGCAACAATCACATTTAATATTAAATCCACAGTAAACAGTTACTAATATTTTCGTCGACATCTTTATTATGTATGGCATAAATTACGTATGATAATCTGCATAAATGCACTCTCGTAGATCAATGAGAGAGAGAGCAATAATGCAACGAGTCCTTGTGCAAGTAAAAAAAAATAGATAGTCCTTGTTGAATTAAAAATGAATGAAAGACGCGCATAACGATCAGAGGCAATCATGACGCATCTCTCCCTCTAATGTACAAAGAAGGAATGCCTACATGTATGTTAATGACATGTATGCTGTAATTTATTTTTGCGAGCCTTAAACTAATTTATTTTATGTTTTTATCATGTATTTTAACTAAAAAAATATATATAAAAAATTATTTTTCTCTTATATTTTTGCAATAATACAATAATATATAATTTTTCAAAACTAGCTACACAATTTAGATATCAATTAATTAAAGAATTAAAAATACTTGATCTTCTTATATTTTTTAAATTTGTTACTTTTAAATGGAAAATCAAATCTGTGCCGTGTATTACTTTATTTTGGATTCTAATCTTTAATCAATGAACCAGAAATTGAATTGATTTTGCTTCTCATTATTGATTCAGAAGAAAGATATGTAGGTCTCTCATAGCATATACTCTAGCATACCAGTTTGTTTATATGTGCAGATCTCACCGATTCACTCAACGATGACTGCTCCCAAACGCGTAATAGAAAAAGAGAAAGAAATCGAGAAATCGAGATCGAGAAAGAGAGAATGAGAGAAAACGCGTGGTGCACCACTGCACATCGTATTGCATAATGATCATATTTTTATAATCGATACATTCCCAGATAGACACAGTAATTATTATGACATCCAAAATGATGCAAATTTTGATGGCAAATGATGCATTTTGACATCAAAATGATGTCATAATAATTACTGTGGCTATCTGGGTTTAATTTATGAGCAACAAATAAACAAATGCAACTGCGAAAAAACATTGCATATATACTAAACAATTTTTAGCATAATCAAATTACTTCTAAATATCTGTATGTATGTGTGTAGAAATAACAATAGTTATTTTATAAAAGTGACAATCATTAAATAACAGATTGCATATTAAATGTATATTTTTATATACATTTACTGACATTTTTTTCTTTTATTTTTATATTTAAATGCTTATTTATTCAAATTTCTAATCATATTTTTTATATAATATCGATGATATTAAAGTATTTTATGTATACTCCGATATTTTACACATATAAGAATTAATAAAATTATCTGAGAGAAAAAAGATTTATATAAACTTTATTTAATACTTATATCCCAGCAAATACCAAGTAACTATTATATATATATAACTGTTAGTTATAATTTCCCAATCAACAATGTAAATGCAATATAACACACGTACACGTGTTATATTGCATTTACATTAATATATGCACAAGATATATTGATAATATCGATTACTTGCAAAATAAAGAAGTATTTAAATTCAAATCGCAGCCGCATACGCGAGTTTAAAAATATGATTGTTGTTTAGAAGTTTATCTTGTGAAAAAAAATTTATTAATTCTTTTATTTATTAATTTATTATAAAATATATCTATATATTAAACGCAAACTATTACGCAACAATTACAAGAAAAATATGTACCCAGCAAACACCAAGTAACAATTATATAACTGTTAGTTCTAATTTTCCACTCAACAATGTAAATGCAATATAACACGCGTGTTATATTTGCATTTACATTTATATTGTTGAGTAGGAAATTATAACTAACATATAGTTATATAATATAGTTACTTGGTGTTTGCTGGGATACATTTTAAATAAGAGAATTCAATTTTTTCTCACAAGATAAACTTCTAATCAACAATCATGTTTTTAAACTCGCGTATGCGGCTGCGATTTAAATTTAAATACTTTCTTATTTTGCAAGTGGTCGATATTCAATCTTGTCCAATCTTTATTAGTTCGGTCGATAAGTACGCAGAGCGATTCGCTTATAGATAGCGCCATCTGACTGGCGTGAACTCACCTACGCGCAACCGCGTCGCCGTTGATTGAACCCGTCAGTGGATCAGCTGATCGCTTGACTCACGTGGAGAATCAGCTGTGCGCGACAATGGAGGAACTAGCGGAGAAGAATCTTGAGATACCACCCATCAAATACGAATGTAAGTATCGACTGCGTTTATTTTTTAACAAGTTCTTATCCGACAAGATAGACATATATGCTTTGCATCGATTTTTTGAAAAATAACCTCGCTCAACGCGACTTACGCAATATTCATCAATTATGAGAAATATCTTTTCGAGTTTGCATTTCGAAATTGAGTGAAATCGGCATTTTTTGTTGCAGATCTCGATCACACCGCGGATGTACAGTAAGTATTACACATTTATTTATCATCACCGTATCGTTCTTGAGTCGATAGACTCTCCTTTTTGAGGTTACATCAGCGGCTAACCTAAAATTGTGCGAATAGCCGCATGTGGAGAGAGACGTATCTTATTAAAAATGTTTTTGCAAGTTATTTCTAAAAGAGATCTAACACATGCAATTGTTTTGTAGATTGCACGCATGGGGCGATACGATGAAGGAAGCCTTCGAACAGTGCGCGATGGCTATGTTCGGTTACATGACAGACCTGCAGCGCGTGCAGATCACACAGGTGCACCACGTGGAGGCCGAGGGTCACGATCTCGAAAGTCTGCTTTTCCATTTTCTCGACGAGCTGCTTTTTATGTTCAGCGCTGAGCCGTACATCGTCGCTAAGGTACAACCTTTTGTCATCAAAATTACATTATTAAACAAATAGAAATATATATATATATATTTTTTTTTATTATACTCCTTCACAGTCTTATCATCATCATTCTAGTACAATAATTTAAATATATAACATTTAATTTAATGGTAATATTAATATTAAAAATGTAATTATATATCAGTGATATAAAAGCAAAATTTACATCTCAAACTAATGAATATATCTTTTGTTGTTTATTAAAAATTTTTAGACATCTTTTTATTGCCATTTATTTAAATTCACTTAAGTAAAATGTCGCAATTATGTAACTAAATTATTATTTGAATTTGAAAATCATCGACTGGCGAAAGTCGTCTCTTATTAAAATCTGTGCATGTCTGTTATCAGAAAGTGGAGATTACCGAATTCAACGAGCACGATTTAAAAATCAAGGCAACCGCGTACGGCGAGGAGTTCACGATCGGCAAACACACGCAAGGCGCCGAGGTAAAAGCCATTACATATTCCGCGATGCAAATTTACGATCGTCCGCAGGTGGATCGACCCGAGGTCTTTGTCATTGTCGATATATGATTTATAATAATTATTGTGATCGGGTGTCGATCGTCTTATCGTACGTTTCTCGGCGTCCTCGTAACGCAGCGCCGGACAACGCTCTGAAAACAAGAAGTTGGAATGACTGACCTGAACGGAGGGTTGGAGGGAAAATAGAGGGAGGTTACCGAAGGGCGAGAAGGGAAACCATACGCCTCCCCTATGTAGGATACGATCCTTTTGTATCTGCTTCGTAGAGTTCAAATAAATACGTTACGAAGAAAGCACCGGGTCCCCTTCTTCTTGGCTTTACTTGATTCAGGTCTGTACCAATGTTGCGTAGATACCCGAGAAAATGCGATTTTTTACTGTTATATCTTACCTAAAAAATTACCTTTTTAAAAAAAGGTAAAAAAAAGGTGCCAAGTCCGCGTAATGTAAAAACCTATCCTATACAAAAATTAATAATATGAAAAATTAAGCTAAGTAAAAATAAGAACTCTGTTATCTTTAGCTTCTCTATTCTGAAATAGCTGTAAACTGAAATCCTCGCGTTGTCCTTTCATTAATTATTTATCACTACACAATTATAAGCTAAAAAAGTGCGAATAAAAAAAGGCGAACATTACAAATTGATTATGCACGTATTTTTCATCGTTTATACTCGAATAAAAGCCATATTAATATGTTAGACATGCCATGTTACAATAAAAGAATAGGAAACGATTCCACAGAATAAAGAGATAGTTTGTCGTTTCGATAATTTCGCATTAGAGGGATTCTGTTTTATTCAATTTGATATATATACTCGATATATAAATATTTATATCAGATTATTTCAATAATGTCGACAAAACTCTAGCGTTTTATATATACATACATATGTTTAATCTTATTAAAATATTTCTAATATATTTCTTCAACTATTTGCTCTTCACATATGTGTTATTTACAATTATATCTCTGTCAAAAACGAAATTTAATAGAAATTTTTAATCGATTTCTCAGATGTTAAATTGTATTGTGTTGCTGAAAATTGATATAAGAAGCTATGTAATAACTTTCTAGATTTTTTATTATTATAAAGTGAAATTTACACAACTATCTTTTTAGATAAACATTTGCTAGAATATTGAATTGAAGAATAATATATTTGGATAATTGGACATATTTGTGTACGTTGCATGCTGTGTAACTTGTAAGATAATTGAGAAGAATTCAATTACCCTCATATATCTGATCTCTTAATGTCTTATTTAAGAGAATATAATAAAAAAATGTATAAAAAGATAGGCTCTCTCTCAGGAGGCTGTTGACACGACATGCAACTTTGTTGATGTAAATATATGAGAAAATGAGATCGCCGGCACAATTCGATCAAGATAAAAGTCTATTTAACGTTAATCCCCACTTGGACGCGACATATTTGGGGCCCTCGCTCACTTCCGTCCCTGCAAGCGATTACCCCTCCATTCGTGAAGGAAGGGACGATCGTACGCTTAGTTTGAGGCAACAGCAGGCAAGAAACGGGGAACATCGCATCAGTGTCCGGCAGGATCGAAAGCGTGCGTACGGTTCTACGTGCGCGGTCGTCGCGTCGACGCATTATAATACGTCATTAAATTGCATAATTCGTGGATGCGACCTACGTAACGACGTCGTGTCGTCCCTCCGACTCCGAGACTCGTCGAGCCCGGATTAAAGGGACTTGATACATCGTGAAAACAGAAAGGCAAAAAGAGAGGAAGGGGAAGAACGAGAGAGAGAGAGATAGAGATTCAGACTTTGTTCGCCAACACCCCCGAGCATGGCGGACCGGTATGGTAATAATGGTGCGTTCCGGAAACGCGGGAGTGCCGAAAGTGCATGAAACCGAGATCCTCGAAAGCGTCGCGTCGTTCGTCGATTTTTGGCGGGCAAACGCTTCTCGGCGGCTCCGGATGGTGCTTGCTCGTCAAATCCATCAATGGATCATAATTGCTAATAAACAACAATAAGTCGGTGTTTTCGAGTGACTATCAAAACAATTTCAGTGTGTCGAGTAATCGTCTGTTATCGCTCGCGAGTATTCACGATAACGGCGTCTAGGAAAGAGGATTGTCGAAAGAGGAGGTAAAAGGAAGAGACGCAAGCAGAACGGTGCATCGCATCGCGTCGCGTCGCGACGCGACAGTTTTGGCGCGCGTATTTCAGCTGTCGCGTGCGACCGGCAGATGGCCGGTACACCGGCTCGTCTCACCGACACGCCGGCGCGCGCGCTGCCTCTCTCTCTCTCTCTCTCGACGAGGCTCTCTGACTGTGCGGTTCTTATGAAGGGCGGCAAGGAACGACGCGTCGTCACGCCTGAACGTGGACGCGCGTTCCGGGATCTGTGAAAGTGCCTTTCCTGCGAGAACTCGTCGCAATCGCCGCGAATGGAGTTATGAGAAACTAAAACGCGCCATTTCCGGTAAGTCCCGCCTTTACTCTTTCACACACCCGCAAACACACACACACACACACACATATACGATATTGCACTTGATGAGCTCGGGAAAAGCGCCGTCTCCAAGTTCGATCGTAACGATATGTCTAATCGCGGGCAAGAAAAAATGTGAATTTCCTCTGGAGGTGAGTGCACCAACACCAGGATCACCATCGTCGACTATCTCGCTCTCGCTCCTTCGTAGTACGTTCGTCGCGCATGCGTAACGTAAGGGAACACACCACGCTTTTCCGCGGCTGCGTGTATATACAATACGTCGGTGTACACCTCGCGAGAGAGAAGGCCTGCCCTCTCCTTCAGGCACTCGCGTATACGCACGGACACGCGGCTAGTTCTCCGCGCGCGCGCGCTCTCTCTCTCTCTCTCTCTCGCACCGGCGCACGCGGCACACATTATCCGTCTCGCGTAGCCCGAACCGGCCAGTCGTGCTAGCGCGCCACGGAGCCCGGGCCTCGTCTCTACACACGTTCGCTCGAACGAAGGAAGGAACCGGACGAGCCGAGCGGCGATCTCTCTCCGCACGAGCCGGTCTCGTGTGCGCGACACGTCTCGAGAAGATTCGTCCGAGCTTCTTCTCGCCGGTCGGTCCGAGTCGGCCCGAACATGCCGAGGCGGGGCTCGCTGTAGAGGAGGTTCCGAACGGGCGCGCCACGCCGCATTCTCGCACGAGGTGAACGCCGAGGCCAGCTCCGACGTTCCTATTCGTTTCTTTTTTTTTTCTTTTCTTTTCTTTTGTTTCCGAGTCTTTCGGAAAAACGAAGCCCCCGGCTCTCTAGCTACCTGCGTCGATCCGGCCTGTGCGTAGCGTAATCGTGGCGGCATCGAACCGCGCGCAGAAAATGGATACCGTGCTCTAGCAGCACGGTCGGAGAAACGGCCAGGCCTCGAGATCGAGAGAGAGAGAGAGAGAGAAAAAAAGAAGGAGAGATATCCGCGAAGAGAAAGGGAGGAAGGAGCACGACGAATATGTAAAGCTAGAACGCGACGACGACGACGAGTTCTCGAGGGGTCGCTCTAAATCCGAGATACTCTCCCCTTTTTTCCCCTTTTTTTTTCGACCACCCGAGCGTTCGTTTTGAAGAGTGCCGGGATATCAAGAGATGTTCGACCGTGCGCTGGTCTGCTGATTCTCCTCCCGGAAGAGAGCGCGGGTCTCCGTCTCAAAATACTGTGCGACGTTTGCAAAGCAGCCAAGGAGAAGTAAGTAGAAAGAACAAAAAGGAGATAGAGAGAGAGACGACGCTCTACTTCCGTCTCTCTTTTTCGTCTCTCCCGATCGAAACGTGCATCCGCGTCGTCGCATTTGCAACATTTCTCGCAACTTTCTCGCGTGTCCAAAGCGGTGCCGATTTTCGCGCAAACAGGTCAGCCGCACGGTCGGTGCTTCACGCTCGAGCACTCGTTTATTTCCGCTCGTCGGGAGAAAGCATCCAAGTGGCATCTCTCTCTCTTCGGGGAAACATCTCCGGCGAGCACCGCGCCGTTTCTTTATAACGTGCCGGTAGCGTGTCTTACTAAAAGGGTTCCCCTCTTACGGCCGTATCGTCTTGGCTCTTTAAACGAGTCGGCCGCGATGTTGCATGATATATGTGCGTGCACGCGCGTGTGTACGTACGTATATACATATATGTCTATATACGTGTGGATGCGTACCATCCTCTCTTATTGTGCGCGCGCGTGTCACACAAGTCACGATATATTTCGATTCTCGTTATGATATACGATACTATTACAGATACAGATTCCACGAACGTTATATTCTCAATTGACGCAAGTCTGGCATAAAGATTGTATAAACATAGATGGATATACATATATGTATACGAGAAATCGAGCGCGCGAGGAGACGAGTAGTCGTGCCAACTGGAAAAACGTTTTGACATTTCCGCCGGTGTGCTTTCCTCTCCAATCCGAGCTCTCGAAAAGGGAATCGAGAATTCTGATAATCGATGACGCGAGAGTGTCAGCCACGCACGTGTGTGGCCTTCAACAGCTGATTGGCCTGTGACGCACGATTAACCGATACCACCCGCGTTTCTCGCTAGAGGTTATGATGGAAAAATGTGCGATTAGTCTCTCGTCGATACTAAACGTGCTCAAGGTTTTATTTTTTTACTCGTTCGAAATTTCGGATTAGCTTAAAAAAAAAAAAAAAAAAAACGGAAAAAAAGAAATTACGAAGGGGAGACGATCGTGCTAAATGATTTAAGACTTGCGAGCGGAAGTGCAAAATAAAAGGGCAGGCAAAAGAAAAAAAAGAAAGAGACAGACGGCTCTCTGTCGTCACATCTGGTTGCCTAGACGTCACGTTTGCATTCTCGCAAAGCGCACGTTCTACGGACACCCTTGCGGCGGCGTTTCCGGTCTTCGTAAAGACCCGGCGTCGTCAGTGTTCATGTCGTACCCGGTCGATCGCGAAATTGCCCGCTAGCAGCTACTCGGAAAGTTCCGCATATATGCAGGGTATTTCTGAGACTATGTTAGAAATTTTAAGGGTGTATTCTAAAAATGTCTATTATAACTCGGGAGAGAAAGCATTTTATAGAAAATGTTTCTCTTATTTTGACCCCTAGAATACGCCCTTAAAATCTCCAACATGCTTTTAGAAGCACCCTGTATATTTATTTTTTTTTTTTATATATATGTATACGTTTTTGACATTTGCGACGTGTATGACGTACGTCGATTCTATCAACCTGTGATTCGACGTCCTCCTCTGCGGGTTGACCAATGAACGAGCGCGATCGAGCTCGATTTTATTTTTTTCCAAGATAAAAAATGTGGACGGACAGATCGACGATTCGTTTTGCGCGTGTCAAAGGAGACAATTGCATTCTTCGATCGATGCTCCGAGCACGTTGCCGATTTGTCAAAGTTTCGTACCGCGGTTTATCGGAGATAACGGCCGACCAATCAATGCGCCTCTGCGTCGTCCATTGCTCCCAACCTTCGAGACGCGAATTGCGATGCTCGCCTAGAGAGATTCCGAAAACTCCCGCTGAGTTTATGCGTATGCGGCTGAAGAATCGGACCGGCTTGCTCCAACGTGATAATCTTTATCCTGGTCCTAGATTTCTTTTTCTCGGTCGTGTCGGATGTGTCGAGAAATTAAATACATATTTCTGTGAAACGTGGAATCATCTTTCAAGTATATTTTTTAATGTGCTTCATCGCAAATTCATTAGCTCTGAATATATACATTATTTGTTGCATATCAAATTATAGAAATAATAAATAACAAGTTACCCTTGTTATCTGGAAAGTTATAAAACTCCTCGTGTATAATCAGAGTTTGATAAATTAAAATGACAGTATACATAAGTTATTTTCGAGCTTGCACAATCCTAATGTTCTCTCTTAAACCTTAAACCACACCCGGAATAATCTCATCCCGAAACGTTTCGTTCTCTCTCTCTCTCTCTTTTTTTTTTTTTCAAAGGGCCAAGAGCAACGTAAGTTCACTTTCAAGCATTTGCATTATCAAAGTCTCAAACTATTTCATTTAATTTGATGAATATCTGCAGCGGTGCTTGCTGTGTCATTCAGATAACGTTATAAGAATCATTGTTATAAAACGGAGAAGAGCCGGAAATAATTTTATGACAAAACTATTTGAACATAATTATTAAACATAATTAATTATTTCGCACGTAATCTTTATATTCAAACATATGTAGAAAGGAAAAAGTGTTGTGTCGTCACATTAATTTGTATTCACATGTAAACATCATATTTTGCAAAATTTATCGATGATACTGTTGCTCTATTACTGACATTGCATATGATTTTTTTCTCGGGAATGTAATCTTTTTATTTACATAGTGTTTAATGAATATGAACATGTGTGACTTTTAATCGACATTCTTATTAGTGTAAAAGTGCACGCGAATCATATTTTTGAGTAAATTAAAAAAATGACTATGTAATTAAACAGCTGGCGGGAATTGAAAGTTTCGATCTTGGTCAAGTGCCAATAATTAACAATTTCGAATTTGTCAATGAAATACTTGGATGATAATGGAACAATGTTGCTTCCATGCCTTACTTTAAAAGATAACCGATTGATCAGCTGTTGGCATTCTGAACGCATTTTGAGAGGTAATCAAAGATTAAAATTGATATCACAATTTCGACAACTTTTCACAATGTAGATGATTGCTGTAGATAATATATTGAAAATGTATGCGTATATGTGTATATATTCTATTGGATTTATTATTCGTACATATTTAATGTGTGATATTTATTTATTTAGGGCAATAATATAATTTTTTGTCATTGCAAAATTAAATTGTATAAGAATTCTAAAAGTGTCATCAGAAAATAAATGTTATTTATTATTCGATTCTTGATTTCCGCGGAGATTTCACGGAATTATCGTGCAAATATTTAAATGTGTAATTTCTCTTTGATTGGAAAAATGTAGAAATAAAATGGTGTAATATTAGTTCGCGACCACGTTTGTTGCGATTCTCGTGCGCGTTCGACTTAAAGCAGACACGCCGCGCAATCCGATCGCGCCTCCCGTGCAGGGAGATGCTAATATCGCGCAACATATAGTTACCTAACGCGGTGCTCGCCCTTATTATTTCCGTTATTGCTCGTGGTATATAATACGTGCGTGTATATCGTATGTACTATATATATATATATACACATTTATATATATATATATATATATACACACTATAGTCGTTTCGACGCGTGGCTTCGACGTGCGGACGAGGTCGCTCTTCTCGTGTCAACACACAGCGCGTCTTCTTGCGAGAACCTTGGGATTTAAAAATGACACTCGCCGCAGTCGCAGCCGCGTGTGTAACCCGTCCACGACTCGTGCACGCGGCGAGCAACAGCGGTTAGCGCCCGAAAATGCGGAGTGTGTTTGGACACAGGTCTGTGCGCGCGATTCTTTCTCTCATGTCGTGTCCATCGGTCGTTTACTGTAGCTGACAATGTGCTTGCTTTCTCGAATAATGCTCTCGTTTCACGTCGAGTTGCGACAAACATTTCCGCTAGCAAAAAGTATTGTCATTCTATACTCAAAAACATGTTTAATCGCGTTAATTGGGCGTTGCGTTTCATTAGCATGTTGAAAGTTTGTTATATCTGTAACTCTCTTGTTCCGCTTATATTGAATTTTATTTAGGTACATTACTTTTTTGTGATACGTATACATGTGTATAAAATTGTTTTATTGTTACTTTACTCTTTCAAATATCCTTCAAAATATAAATAGGACAGTCAGGCTATCATATTATTTACTCTCTGTTTTCCCATCGCTTATCACTTGTTGCATCCTGAAGAATCTATGTAAAACATAAATCAAACTTCTCGTAATTTGATAGTTTTCTAGTTGTTTTATATTTATGTATTATTATTTTCTTTTTAGACACAATCATTGTACCAAGATGCCTCGAGTAAGGAGACAAGTGATCCTGGAGGATCCAGCCAGACCCGTTACACCAGATATGGCAGAAACAAAGTTGTGTATGTCGCTTTTTGGAACAAAAAATTCATATATTCCAACTTTTCATACTATTTTATCACTCTGAGCTTATTTGGATGATATCTTTTTACAGTAAAGGCTGAATTTTTGGACGATGGATCCTTGGATGAAGTTCAGCCACAGAAGGTGGCAGAAGAAACACCGAGCCCTCATTTACAAGATCATCAGTACGGTCAAACACCTTGTTATCAAATAACAAGGAAACCCACACAACCACCGCCAAGAGCTGAGGTAAATAATTAATGGTAAAATTAACGAAATTGATGACGAAATAAAATGTCTACTTTTAATAATCTTGATATGTAAATAAGTAATATGCTTAAAAGACATTGTATTAGCATAGTAGTTACTGTTAATTAAAGTTACAGTTTGTTTCTCTTTACTTGATAGATATCAGTTCAAGCGGTAAAAAGAAGACTGAATTTGGAGGTAGGAACAACTGGTCCCAGCCAGTCTGCCTTCAAAGCTCCCAGAGGTAAACGTAGAAGATCCGGTTCGAATTCTTTAACTGGTCACACACCTACCAAAAGTAAATTTTGTTTGTGTTTTATGACCTTCTCTTTATGTTTTTCTTTACCATATCACTTATGGAAGAATCAATTGTTGTATTACAGCTAAAACTGTAGAAAGGACGCGATATGATACCTCTTTGAGTTTACTCACAAAGAAGTTTATCCACTTAGTTGAAAGCAGTCAGGATGGTGTAGTCGACTTGAATGTAGCATCGGAGAAGCTGGAGGTACAAAAACGTCGTATATACGACATTACTAATGTTTTAGAGGGCATTGGGATCTTAGAGAAGAAAAGTAAAAACAATATCCAGTGGAAGTACGTTATCTGCTAATATATTTTATCATGTTTTGCCATTTATTTCTTATAACGTTGAAGATTATACACGTGGCATAAAAATTACTTGTTACAGAGACGGTCAATTACCGAATAATCGAAACGATATCGCCAGTCTGAGAAGAGAGGTCGCGGATTTGGAAGCTAAAGAAAATACACTTGATCGATTAATCCACGGTGCCGATAAGAATCTACGCGAACTATGCGCGGACAGACAATACGCTTATGTAACGTATCACGATTTACGTTCAGTTTCAATGTACAAAAACCAAGCTATTATGGCTGTGAAAGCCCCGCCGGAAGCTACCCTCCATGTCCCACAACCTATCAATAACTTTGGTCAACAAAAGGTAAAATATAAGTAAAATTTTTCATATTGTCTACACACCTACTTGTTTTTTTAATGAAGAAGAAATTATTTATATATCAGTTTATGTGCTCTCTGGTAATAAAATTTACATAAAATTTTATTTCTCTTTAAGAAAACACAATAATATATTTTCAGCTTCAAATGCACATGAGGTCGGAACACGGAGAGATAGAAGTGTTTTTGTGTCCTGACGATAACACAATTAAAACATCACCTTATTCCGGATATGCGACAACGCAAACTGTGCCTCAATCAAAAGAACTGTCAGACATACCTTGTTTGTCTCCTGAATTGGTGATTAAGAAAGAAAGCGACGTCGAATCAGTACCTTCCAATGAGAGTTCTATGAATACTCGTCTGTGTACCCCTGTAACTACAGTTACCAGTATAGCAGGCATGAAGGATGCGTTCCTATGCGAATCTGACGACTATGGACCAATGGGTGGCAAATTCCAACTCCAAACGGAGGATCAAATCAGCACTTCAGGTAGGACTGCAAGGAATTAATGCTTTGATTGAGTAGCTTGCTTGGGTAGCTTTAATTGTATTCTGAATAGCTAAGTGTAGTGCAATGATTAAATCAATTTCGTAAAAAGAAAATTATATTAATAAAAAAGTAAGACAAAATTTTTTCTTTCTTTTTAAACGAGCTCTTTTCTATAGATATTGATATAATTTTTTTTTTATTTCGTATTTTTATATATCTCTGTCTATATAAATTTGTATTTAGCATTTTTCATTCAGGGAAACTATAACTTGTTTTTTTTTTGTTTTTTTTTTTTAATTTTATCAGTATATTGTTTCCCTGTAAGTGCATTAAAAAATTTCATCGTTTTATTATCTTATTCTTATATACAGATCATGTACAGTATATTGCTAAATCGCAAAAATGTAAATTATTTAAATGTGTAAACAATAATTAGTATATTGAAAGTAATTTATAAATTATAAATTATTGATTTTTTGTTATCAAAGGTAATATTTCTTTCAATAATATATATTTTGTAAATATTTTATCACTTTTTATGCGAGTAAAAAATTACTCATTTTTAAATATTAAAAAAGTTAATCGATATGTTCAATCATGCAATATATATACAGTCTTATAACAGGCATTAAAGAATTGAGCAATACTCATTTAAAAAAGTGCACATATTTTCCTATCAACATTTTAACAAATATGCTTTTAATTCTTGTTGCATATTCCATATATGTATACCTTCTTTCTTTCAGAAATTCTTATGTTTTGTATATATTTGTACAAAATTTCTAATGCTTTATGCTTATTTAGTTTGATTCTTTATCTAGTAAGCTACAGATATATATAGTTGTATTTTTTTTAAATAAAAGTATTTACGAAGTTTTCTGTTTTTGTATTACTAAAAAATATTTCCGACATGTTATGCGTTTTTTTTTTTATTGAAAGTTTTACGAAACAGATGCCACGTGTGGTCTAACATCATTATCTTACAAACACATTATTTATTTATTTCTTATTTACATAATTATTTACTCATTACGATCATTTTATCAGTATTTTCTTGCTTGAAAAGATCATACTGCATGCTACAATCTTATACTCACTCATGATTGAATTGTATGTTCAAAGGAAAGGTAGAGGTAGAAAAGAAAATTAGATACTTTTATACATATAATTTATTACCTTTCTTTTGAATATTTCTATACTACCTTTTTACCAATGGATGATGACCGTACCCTGATGGAGCTCTGGCTGTGACTTGTGTGTTAAAATTATTAAAATCACATCACAGGCAGAGTTCTAGTTAGGTAACGGTTTCAAACAGCAAAGCTCGTGTCGTGCGAAGGTATGTTTATTTACACCAACTATTGGCTTTTCTTTATTGTGTATACTTTATGTAATATATTATAATATCATTGTCTCATATACGAATGTAAGACAAAGATTCATGCAAGAGTCGTTGAAATTAACTTCAATACATAATTTGTAGACAAATGTATATATAATTTGGAAATTAATACAATCGACCCGAATTTTGCAACAGTTTTTGAAATCACAAACAACAATTATCTTGTGACACAATTAAACTAAATATGTTACAGAAACATTTTACCGCATTTCTTACTTTTTGAAACTAATTTGTATTAAAAGCTTGTAAACACATATGTCTTTGACAAATTGCTCTTAACATATGATTTTGGAAACTAACAATATGCATCGATTGTATTCTTTAACATACACACATATGTACAAATTGCAAACTTTACAAAAAAATACAAGAAGTTTGTATTTTAAATAACAATATAGAATCTTTTACGCTATTAGCTTTTTAGAATTATTCTCTCGAATAATTATTTGCGAGCAATCTAATAAAAGCGATGCACCTGAATAATTTGCTTGTGAAAAAGGGATTAAAAAAAATCGATGGATTTGATATTGCAACAAGTCCATCATCCTTTTAACTTTTGTTACAGATCTGAATTCGATTCTCGATTTTGGAGAGCAACTGCTAAGTTTGGAACCGCCTCTCTCCGAAAACGACTACTCGTTCTCATTAGGCACCGAGGAGGGTCTGTCGGATCTCTTCGATTTCAAATTCTAGAAATATCGTCGTTATGCAAGAGCTTTCTTAAATATTTTGGACTATATCACTCTGAGTTTGGTACTCAAACGGATGAAAACTGCTTGGTCAGTTTTATAATGCTCCTTCGCGTTAGACAATAGGTGGTTGGCACTTTTTGTTTCCGCGCGTCGATCTTTGCAAAGAATCGCAAACACGCAAAATCGTTTTTATTTATTTACTGTTACCCCAAGCGAATGTTTTTCGATCTGAAAAATTGATTATCAATTTTATATGTATGGTTAATTTTAAAAGCGCAGTAACGAAGTGATTAAGCATACATGCAATTTGTTAAATATTGTCGTCTTAAGAAACCAATGATAGATTATAAATATAAAAATTATTATATAGAATGCATATGTTTCCGTAAATGATTTTACTAGCTGGTCCATTATTATCTGTTCCATGGAAAAATTATAAAACAAGTTGTTATTAATCCATTATTCATCCATCGGAATATTTTAAAACTTAATATTTTCGTTGTCTTATATTTTAATTACTTTTTTTCGAATCGCAAATTCTGGATGCAGAAAAGCCGAACCAGATGAGGCACAGGAAACACATATCACGACATTGTTAACACGTGCTTCCGGCTTGATACGATCTGCATCGATCGCGTTTGCGGAATGAATCGCATCAATTTTTCAGAGAGGGAGGAAGAGAGCAAGGGCGTTTTTTTGTGCAATCTATAATAATAGAAATTGAGCTAAGACATGTAGAAAAGAATGTATTTGGGAATTTAGAGAGAGGAGAGACTGTGTGGGACAACGATCCAATTGCTTTACTTAGTTGTCCAATGCCCATGAAACGAATAAGACGACCAAGAAAGAGAGAGAGAGAGAGAGAGTCATCAAGTTTTTCTAGCGTAAGAATTTCTTAAATAGGGCGAGAAGAGAAAAAGAGCGAAAAGACGAGATGATTATTCGGATGGTGGTCTTTTACCACCGCGTCATTGGGACGCGAGAATGAGTTTTTAAATTATATTCAAGAGTAAAGACTGTCCATCCGGATGATGCATATTACCTCGTTGACAAATTGTTCGACAGTATAAGTAGTCTTTATTCCGCTTACTTTCATCGATTAATTGATCGACTCTTGGCAATCGTGAAACAAATATCGAAGTCGTTTCCCGTTTTAAGTACTAATTGCTTTGTTGGATGGGAGCGGAATGGAACGCGTTGACCAGTGATTGTTGTTACAGCGATTATGTTATTAATCGATTAGAGAGGTCGTATGCTAATTAGCTTTTTTTTATCGTCATATGATAGAGATGAATGAAGGTAAACTCGAAATGTAACGAGAGTGTAAAGTAACGGACGATCTTGGACTATATCGTTTACATTCAAATGCATATTTAATTTCGATTTTGTAACGATTATTGTCCAAGATTCAGGGCACAGTACTATTCTGGACCTGAATGCGGAAATTTTCAGAAAGATTAAGAGAGAAAGTTTCTTACCGGTGAACACTTGAATCTCGTCGAGAAAAACGCGGTCCTGAAATTTGCTTCTGTTGAGCGAGATTCGCGTAAAAATATACAATATATACATATATCTTCTTATTTCTCAAGAGCTCAAGAATACACTGGGAAAATTGTCTCGTCTGGAAGTCTCCCTTAAGGATGTACTCTAACGTACAACTTAGTGTACGTCCAAAGCCATAGTGCCTACAAAATAACGATCATACCCTTCTGCAACTGTAAATACTTTACAAACATAATTATGTAAGCTCATAGACACACCTATGCGTATACATATATATTATATGTAAGAACGTAATGATTCTCTCTCACACATAAAACAATGGACAGATGCTGCAAACATCTCATTATGTATGTAATTATCGTAAAAATACGGATCACTTATTTTTAATATATTATTAATATTATTAATTAATTATTAAAACATTAAACAAAACAAAATATTAGTTTATATATGAAATCTATAATTTCATTTATATAGATATATATATATATATAGATATATATACGTACATGTAATACGTATTTAAATTTATGATGGACAAACATTGTGCAGGATAACAAACTTGCATGCGTATTGAAAATATTTTGCATATATTTAAATCAGTAAATAAATTAAAATCATAACTTAAATTGAAATAATTATAATTGGTAGTACACAATTTAAATCTAATTTTGTCATAATTTAAGACTCGTGAAATATAATGTTTTATGTGTATTTCGAATTAGATTATCCTTTGAAATATCTCGATCAAAATGTCATATTGTTGCATGGATATTTGTAAAATAAGTCTACGTGAAAAACCAAGAAAAGACTTTACTTTAATTAATATATCACAATGACAGATTGTTACTTTGCACAATGTTCGCTGTGCTCCCATTCACGATAGCCGGGAAAAATTGTATTACTCTTGTTTTCGTTTTTCAATTAACCGGCGTCAAGCGCTTTTTTCGTACGCCACGAAAAGACATTGAGAAGCTGAATAGAAGAGCAAAGCGTATGAGTGCATTAAATATGAAATCGAGAGAGCGGGAAGGAAGAGAGAGAGAGAGAAAGAGAGTATGTATCTGTGTGTGTGTGTGTGTGTGTGTGTATACGATGTCGTCGAAATGAATATTAAAAACGAAGGATTTCGGTCTTTTGAATATAGCACACACGGTGAGAAGTTGCGATATTTTCTACCTGAATATTTACGGGACGCCGCGAGATCTGAATGCGGGATAACACAGACAATTGAGACTGAACAAAAAAGAGAATACGAATATGATATTTTTAAAAGGAAAACAAAAAGAGAGTATATTTAAAACTCATCCCATCTTTGTAGTGAATATCCGGAGGCAGCTGCAGCTCTGTTAAATATTAATGGATTTGCAATTGTCCTCGATGATAATGTAGTCGCAAGATTAAAAGAGAAACTTTAGGTGTGTATTTATTCCGAAACAATAAATCTTTGCTTGTGTGAAATCACTTTCATACACGTAAATAATAATAGAAGGAAAATTACGCCTTCGGATTCCGCAGCGATTCCTGTTTAGAGTATCTCGTCGCGAAGAAACATGGCAACACAAACATTGTTTGATTTTTCACTCGAAACATTCGTGAATCTACATTTTCTAGCAGCCTGTCGAATAACGTTTCTTTTTTTCCCGCATGTTTAAAAACAAGATTTGCCGTTGCAAAGCGCAAGACCTTTCCATAATCTATATTTAAAGGTGCCAATAAAAAGACACGCGCGAGAGAAAGAGATATTATTATTTCCTGTTGATGGAACGCGTTAGGTGAGACTCGTATCATTTTTAATTAGTTTTTCGTTTTTACTATTACCGATAGAACGAAAGAAAAGAGAAGAGAAAAAAAGAGAGAAAGAGTGTGTGTGTGTGTGAGTGTGTGTGAAAGAAAGATCAATTTTCGCCATCGTGAGTAGTTGATAAATTTTGTGAGCGCGTTTATGTATGCGCTTCTTTCGATCGTTATATTTGAGAGACTGTTTAGAACCGATGGCAAATGCTAATTAAACACTGATCGATCATCGTAAAGAAGAAATTACAAAATAAAGATAAAAGGAAAATCGAATAATGTATTATTACGACAAGCATTTTGTCACATTTTAAAAATTAGCCTGCTGGAAAGAACATCGCAGAAAAGAAAGTGGCAAAATATAATCTTATGTAACATCGTACGTAGAGAAAAATATGCACATTCCTTGTTCCTCATACAAAAAAAAAACATCCCGCAATCAGCTAATTCAAATAGAATATAATCGCATCGCCGAGATTTGCAATTTTATTATTTAGACATGTGGACGTCGATTTTTTTATTCAAATTAATTCCATTCGTTTGCGACGGTAAATTCATTAAATTAGATATCAATATTTTAAAATATTTTACTTTGAGATAATAGATGCACGATTTAAAAGTTTTCCAATTTTGTGAACATTTTTTGGAACATATTTTATAATTATAAGCACATTTGTTTTACACATATCGTTACGGTTTTCCTTTTTAATTGTAAATTTTTACAATAATTTAAAAACTGAAAAATGATTCGAAACATTTGTAACATTAAATTGATCCTGCGAAAAGCGCGGGAAAAATAAATGCCTGTTTAAAAATTCTCTAGAGTCTCGTCTAGCTTCTTTCCTCCGGCGCTGAAAAAGGCGGGAAATCAACGCGGGGTTAAAAGTTCCCTAGGGGAATTTTCTAGGGAAACAGTCCAGTGTGCGATACAAACACACGCATAGCGCGATTTTATTTCAAACTAGTCTCATTTTAAAGCGTATTGTAATCATATGCAAAGCTTTTGTAATCTTGTAATCGTGCGAAAATGATTCCGATCCAAGAATCGGAAGAACCGGAAAGATATTCGAATTCGATAATTTCCAGGATATTACTCAACATAGAGGTATGATATCGATATTATATATATATATATATATAGAAATTTTGTAATTTAAAATATTTTTATAAAAAAAAATACCGTTGCGTACAAAAAGGTAGAAAGAATTATTTTCATCATTGAAATCTCATCCTCTTTGAAACTCGTCAACTTATATAATATTGTAAAAACTAAATAATTTTCAACTCTGAATTGTTTTGATTTTGGAGTTCACAAGCTTCTATTATTGATTTATTATTGATTATTCATATATTGTACAAGTTTTTTGAAACTTACAGTATAAATGGAACTATATATATCGATAGCTCCGATTCGCGCTGGTAAATCGACGCATTAGAAAATACAATTTTGTAAAAAAAAGGAAGAGAGGTAGGGAGGGAAAATAGCCTAGAATTAGCGTAGAAGTAATAAAATGTCGCGCAATGAAAAGTAATATCCGTGAGATATATCAAAGTAATCGTTAAAAAATAACGTTTACATCTCGAAAATACACTTAGAAACGAAGCTTCCTTTAATCATTATATCGTTCTCCCAAAAAACGAGTATTATTGTACAAAGTATTATACTAGTATATTAAATATGCATAGTACGCAAGTTACGCCATTAATTTGCATACTATGCACGCAATTTGGGGGAAGGTACAATGTTAAATGTTTATATTCTGCGCACAATGACAAACTTACTCGCTATATGTCGTATGGTTGTGCCGTGTTATAATTATAACAATTTATATGGAAATTACATATATAATTATTAGAGCGCGCGATATTAGCTTCGGGAAGATATAACGAGGAATTATATATATCTACAAAATTTTTGTCGTTTAGTCATAAAACAGCATCAATGGATGACTCAATGCCTATCATTTTCGCAATATTTTGAGATATTTTATTTAACTCGATCATTCGCAGATAATATCATTTATTCTCTCATTTACATATCATCAATATTAATATTTCAGAGAAAATTATTTAGTATGAAGAGATATACAGAAATATAGTGGTATGCAACATTTTTTTTAACAGTTTGGATGCTACATTTTTTCCCAATACATTTTTTCGGGACTATCTTATAATTAATATCAAAATTATTATTATCATCTCCGCTTACCAATATTTCAAGAAAAGATGGAAAATAAATTGACCCAAGAATTTATAATGAGAACATATTTTGACATACTTTTTATCAGTTCATTTCGTTGCATTAAATATCAGAATACTTTATTCTCTTCACATTTTTAGATTTTATTTAAAGAAAAGCGTTATTGCCTTGGAAAAAATATCAATCATCAACATTGTTCAGAAACAAAAAGCATATGATATCGTGTAATGTGTTTCCTATAAAATTGATAACACATTTATCTTAAAAATTGATGATAAATAAATGTTATTTTATCAATGATGAGAGAAGATAAATGTTACATGTCACCTTAACTTAGAGCACGATTTTAGCTATTTTATCTAAGATTAATTAGAATTACAATATTATGTACATAAAAGAGAGATGTTGCATTGGCACAGCAAAGATGTTTGCCCGGACTGCCATCCATGCTGAGCAAAAATTATTCTAATCACTAATTAATACATGATTTTTATGACGCATGCTTTGAGGTATTCACTTTCGTTGTGTTCTCTCAAATGACTATACGCCAATTAAGAAACAATTACATGTGCATTTCATTTAAAAATATTTAGTAATTGCACGTCGCGATTTTTTTCATGCTAATTTTATATATTACGTCTAAATTTTTTCTCCCGTATATAAAAACAACGCGCGAAAATAAATTATTACAAAGACTTGAAATGCTCGAATTTTTTACGAGAATGTATAAGTCTTAACTTTATGTACCGACTCGATAGAAACAGAAATAGATCTGAATCGGATCAAGTTATTTTGAATTAAATTAAAAGTTTGCGTTTCTCGCACGCAAAACCTATTATATATATATATATATATATATCTGTTCGAATAATGTATAATTACATTGCATACTATTCGATATTGCGAAATAATATCTAATCGTTTAATTAAACGATTCGCGTTTTTATTGCTGCAAGATTGGGAAATTAATATTATCCCAATCTATACAAAGAAACACGATAATATAGAATAAACGATTTAATAAAAGCCTTAATTGGTTTAATCTTTATTCATAATATGAATAAAAAGACAATTAATTAATTATCTACGTGTATTATCGACTTCCTTGCGGCGCCGTTTCACTGTCAGGTCAGCATTTATTAAACGGTTGGCAGTCCCGGCTTTAATGGAATGTTACGGTTACATTATCTAATTAATGCGAGCGATATGATCTACAGCTACCGCGTCACGCAATTATACTATCTTCGTTCGTGCCTCGTGTATGTGTGTTCGCCACATTGTTCTTTTCTCTGTCGCAATACACTCTAATAATCTAAAATTATTAAGCCGCCCAATTTCAAAATGAGTTTGCTAACAATCGCTTTCTCGCATTTGCAAGAGATGTGTTTGTATTATTGTATTTATCTTTATTTTTTATAATCCTTCTCAAACCTGCCTATTTAAAATTATGTACATTATAATTCGTGGCTCTTCATTTTTGCCAAATATATTTCGCTTTCGTTTCCAAGAAACTGATTTCTTAATGCTTACATCAATTAGAAAATATTTAATCATTTTATACGTTTCTATGTGATCACCCTAACTAATAATAAAAATCGAGTTTATCTCAAATTAGAATAACTTTGTGTAATTTATCAATCTGTTTAATTATTTCATCATAAATTATCATAATATTAATATAAATCTCTCTTTCTCCTTCTATATAAAAATATTTTTATATATTTTTACAAAAGTTAGCATTTACGGTGCAATTAACATGTAACAAAAAGAAAATTATATGCAATTTAAAGAATAAACTATTTTTATCAATAAACAACTTATATATATATATAAATGTCATAAAACCAGAATAAAAAATGAAGAATTTATCATATATATCACAATAGATATGATATCTATAACAATATTTGATTATATAAATTTTTTTCATCAGATTTTTTAAACAAGATAGTTTTTGGTCGCTCAATTATAGCGATTTAAAATTCATTATTTGATACTTTGATGTAAAGCAGTATTTTCTACAGTTATAATAGTTGATAATGTTTATAAAATTTGTAATATATGTATATAAAATAATACAACAATATAATGTATAGTTTAGAACTATAAAAATATTTTAACATACGTTCTTATTTGTTTCAAAATTCTTTTAAAAATGTTCAAGATTTCAAAATTATCACAGAGTGTTCTTCTAATAATAAGTTATGAATAGAAAATGCATACTATTAGACAAGGATATCGTGTAGAAAAGTATAAAATCATTAAATATCGAGTTGGTTTTCAAAATATGTGACAGAAAATCTAGATGTGTGGGGTGGTCTCTCGCGTTTTATATTACAATATAAAAAAGCTAATACAAATACGAGAAACCTTCAATACTTCTAGTCTACTTTTTTAATTAGAAACTCACCTCTCGTTGCTCTTATGACACAGGGCTAGCTTTGAAAGCATGATAAAGTCAGTTTTAAATGGAGCAATAGTTATGTACATTGTTTATATGCAAATAGTATTCTCTAAATAGTACTTTTGTATACATGTAATTTAATACGTTCCCCAGTTTTTTTTCAATTTAGAAATATTAATATATATATGTGTGTATATATATATATATGTGTGTATATATATATATAACAATTTTTTTTCTCTACCGTCATATCTCGTGTTAAGGTACCTAGTTCGGATGTTTTTCTATTACACAAACATCATTATATTTTGTAAAAGGCTCGCCAGCCAAGATTAATTGAATACGATGAACGGGGCATGGCAAAAATTTATTTAAGGAAAGACTTTTACAAAGTCAGCGCGTAAATCTAATTAGCTGCCTCTTTATATTTAATTCACATCTTGCTTGTCGAAGTAGTATATTCTACGCGAATTTAAAACGAATATATATATAAATGCAAACTGTGTATATGCACTTTATTTTATATATATATATATATATATATATATATATATATATGTGTGTATATATATATATATATATTTATGTGTGTATGTTTATGCGTAGCAATGAAAATGCGATATATGTATATTCATACCTATCATACATACTTATATTTATTCACTCATTTATTCATTCGCTCACACATATGCACATTGCTGCCCGCGTCACGAGTAGCATAACGAATGAATCCTTGATCTTGTTTAAATGATTTCAACGATAAAAAAAACAGTTCTACATATTTACACGATTTCTCTCTTTTCGGTTACACAGCACGCAGTTACCGTCATATTGTATATAGTCATGTAGCTATCTACATCGAGGCATATCGTCGTACACGAAAGCACTTTGAATAACACGTTTCGTTTTACCCTGATCTTTTAATATCCAACGCTCAATGACAATCGGTGAAAATTGTAAGAGGTCCTCTATTGTATTCGCTCAAGGCGTATTAGAATTTGCGCGGCAGTGTTAGTTAATGAGCGATGAGAAAGTAGTGCATAAAACAGCGGAAAATCTTTTTGAAATTACGCACGAGAGACTATTATATTAAATGCAAACCTTTGATGTTCATAATACTCTAAAGGTCATAAATGCTTTAACAATTTATTTTCAATATTTTGATGTGCAAACCAATGCATTGTAAGATCTTAGAAATTTTTATATATATATACAAGATGTAATAAAATAGTCGGGACACTGAATTATACATTCTATAAAAAAAAGTACAAAAAGTTATAAAGATAAAATAGCCAAAAATGAACAGTTGACGAGATATTTTATATTTTAGTCCGACATTTTGATATAAATTATAAAATTATTAGAAGAAGGGATTAACGTAAAATGTAAAGAAGACGCTTAATTGTTTTTAAGAAAAAGTCTATAGCTATAATTGTAATTTTATTTAATTGTATTTTGAACAACACTGTCAAACTGTTCATCCTCGTGATGACAATTGCTATCAATACAACGTAGAACGCGAATCGAGACAGTCAATTAGCATCACGGAAAAGCGACAATGTCAATAACATGTAATCATTTTTAGAAAGGAAGGAAACAGTGTCCCGATCTTTTTGTTATACCTTGTGCATATACATATACATATATGTATATACATATATGATATACCTTGTGTGTATACACATATACATATATACTATATGTATGTATATTTATAAAATGTGTTATATTATATTTACGTATCTATTATTGCGAAAATTAATTAAAAACATCGACACGTAGGTTGATACTGCCGGTATGATTAAAACTGATTTAAAATAATTGAAATAATTTGCGTTTTATGATTTTGCACATATCGAAAATGCATTTTCCGCCGTTTTTGTCATTCTAAGAAAATCTCAAGATACTCATCGCTAGAGGCACTCCGTCCGCGATGCGAAGCTGTCAAGTAAATGCGCACGTGTAATCATATCGCGATCGTTATTATAATGCTAGCAGAACCAGTTTTGTGTTGTGTGCACCACTATAAAATTCCTTGCTCATTCTGATTTCTTTTTCGTCCAAGTTTCTTCGAGGATGTTTTGCTATACTGACGGCAACCAAATAGAAATGAACAAACTAAACGTATAAAAAATTAAATGTAATGTAATTGTACTACTTAACTAGATTAATTCTACATACTGCGATAAAATCGCGTTCCAATTTTAAATTTGAGTTAAATATTTGAGGAATATACAATATAATTACAACAATGATAAAACTGATATATAAATTCGAATTTTTGACTTGATTTTGAACGAAGAGTCTAAAAAGTATCATGTATACGATACTTTTGTTAGTACTTTAAGATAATTAGCGTATTAATCGTCCTATCATTCTTTTTCTTTTTGCCGCAACGTTTTGTTCAACAATAAATTTTCTACTACCGTAGCACTTTTTTGGTATGTATATATCTCTCGAAGAAACTATATACGTCTGCCACTATATTCCCTTGGGAGCTGAGTTAATCTTGCTCCCGCCCGTATTCCCCGCTATTATACCAATACTCACAGCACGGCAAAAAGTGCACAACAATAATTAGTCTTACTTAGTCTCTCTCTATACTTTGCTCCGCGTTCTACATCGGATATCTTAAACAAAACGCATAAATGAGGCACTTGCCCGCGAATCTGTACCAGCCATACTAAATACTCCATTCCTGTTATAGATCAAGATTTGCCAACAATTAATACACGGAAGGCACGCCTCGTCTCTTGCGCGAATGCTTAAATGTCTCTACAGTGTTTCGTTTTTTGTTAAATCTTGCATCAATCTAAGCACCTAACAGGCCACTGCTACGAACACAGTCCTCATATAGATATCACATTACATTACTACAATTCAATTCTTCAGCTTCAATCGTCGTTGTTATCGGCGTACACTTTTCCTCACATTCGATTCTCTTGTCATTATTATGAAAAAAAAGAAATAAAGAAAAAAAAGAAACATTTATAAACCATCTAATACATCTAAATGTATACAAAATGGTAGTCGTGAGTGTAAAAACACGCGTCGGATATACTTGGCAAAGCTTGAAAATACCATAGAAAAGTAAATCCTTGGCTCCATCACGAGACTACACCTTCTCTTTACACCGATCTATGACACAACGTGCGAGGTTATTCATGTATAGATCACGATCGCGTTTTCCAATCAATACAATTCTCTTAGCCATATTTAGTTGTGAAATTTTGGAAAAAGGAGAGGAAAGAGATTTTGTAGGTATCTTCGAGATAGTTCCTCTTCTCTTATGTGTCGTGCTATAAGAGAAATATACAGTTATTCCCAGCACTGCTACTTCCTTAGGTGCACAAAGTTACATTTCTAAACGTATTTTTCAATGAAATGTAAATGTAAAGCGAGTCGTCGTTTCGTTTATCGATTATACCGATCACTTTTGCGACGTATCGCTTAAAATCGCGTTCAGTTCGCGTCGAAAACACATCGAGTTCGTGCTGTCGCGTGTTTACGATAGTTGGTGTCCTTAAGCAGAAAATTATCGTCCTCGTTATTGTATTGGGCCATGGACTGAGATCGCGGTGGCGGACTAGCCACATACGTGATCATATTGTTAAAGTTGGGCAAGAATTGCGGATTGAAGAGCGACAGGATCCTCTCATTGAGCTCGCGCGGACTTCGGGTGGATACCATATAGTGATCTCGTCCGTTGTTCGTCAATTCTCCGTGCCGATCGAATCGATTATCGTTTACGGCGGGACAATGTGGCCCGCAGAGATCGTCGAGGCTATTGGCACTGTCGCTACCGCCAGTATCTTCAACAAGTTCGCACGTCGTTGGTGCATTCATCAGTGTAGTCTCGACACACTCGACGGACTGATGATACCGAATACATCTCGGAGCTGTCGCGGATCGCTGCTGGGCAGATTCATAGGGATCGAAATACTCGAGCGTACAGGTCTCATCGTTTTCGATGCTCTCGTAATGATCCTCGTACTGGTCCTCGTAGCGATCTTCGTCCAACTTGTGTGTATTATTGGTATGATCCGTGGCAATGCCGGTGGTGAGGCTCGTAGGGGGCGTCGTTCCGTCATCATCCTCGTCGTCGTCACCGTCTTCGTCATTGCGCTCGTCTGACTCTGCGATGTCGGAGGAAGAGGCGGTGGAAGATGCGCCAGAACCCGTGGGGTCCTGTGACAAGCCTCAGACGGCTCTGTGTCGCCTTCTGTATCATATGTACGTTTTCTTCACTTTCTGCACCGGTTTGTTTTCCGCGGACGAATTGGCATTCTTGCCATTTGGGTTTTTCGGTGGCACATTCAGCACCAGATTGATAGACTTGTTGTTAAATCCGGGGGATTCCGAGCTCTCAGTCAGTCGATTGAGCTGTTGCCGTTGCTCGGATGGTTCCGGATACGATGAGCCGCGTAGTCTCTGAGAGAACCAGAAACCGAAAGCGAAACCGGCCACCAAGGAGCAGAAGCAGGTGCCTATCAATGCGCCCGTCAATGTTTGGGCCGAATATACCACCGGGGTGACAGTCACGCCTGTAATATCGAGAGATCGCTTTTATTTTTTTAACAATCTAAAAGTTCAATTTTCAACACGTTCGATTTTCTTGAAAACAAAGATTTTATATGAGACACAAAGGGACATTACATTCAAATTTCTATATTGTTATATATAAAATATTATTTGTTTATGTAGAACCAGGATTAAGTTCAATAACGGATCACCATATGTATTAGCGCGCATCGATATGACATATAGATTAGTGGTGCAAACATAAAAGTGAATCTGGAGAATAAATGAGAAATATCATGAGAGGAGAACTGCTTAAAGCGGGATCGCGCGTATTATGAGTACAGGACTTTCGACTTCGAACACTGAAGGTAAAATACTGTCTGCGTGAAGTGTGACGGAGTGAGCAAATTTTATGTATAGCGCAAATGATTACCTTGAGGCTCGTTAGCCCTTGGTTGCGTACGGCCGTACTGATTTTCCCGATCCAGTTCGATGACGATTTCATTGTCCCGTTCATCGGGCTGCTCGTCGCGCCCAATTTCGGGCGCCACCGCTGGTTGCATGGGCTTCGTCATTTCTGGAGTAACATTCACCCAATATGATGATAGACGATAGAGATGATTACACATAGAAAATGATTTCGCGTGCATTACAACAGATGTTAGATATATATGTATATATATCGTTGCATCTGTCTTAAAAGATGCTTTCGAATCATATTTAGATATCCCTGACTATTGATTAAAATATCCAAAATCTATTTCATCTTTTTATTTGATTATTTTATTTTAGATTTTCGACACTTTAACTTTATATAAATTATTCTATATATTCTATAAATTATCAAATTGTCAGATCTAAAACTTTAAGTCGTGATGGATATCTAGATAAGATCCGGAAATCCGACCTGAAAATACCGTGAAGCATATATGGCATCTAGTGTATATACGTATGAATATACTATGAGATGACTGATCGTGAACTGCGTTAGCCATGCGAGCAGAACTCTTAGTGTAGTTGAATGTGCGTCAAGTATTATTTAATATTCACTAGGAGTTGCAAAGGAGCTTCAACATTTATTGCATGCATTGTTTAGCGGTATATTTTCTCTTCAAAAGAGAAAGCGCTCTACATATTTTTGGATTTTAGATTGATTTATATGTATCAATCTTTATTATTTTCTATTTTTAAAATAAAACTGAGATAAAAGCATTTAAACTAAAATAGTTTATATTTAGATTTAGAGAGAAAAAAGCAAGAGGAGAAAAATAAAATATAGGAATGAAACTAAAATGAACACACTTGATATAAGCACAGATTAAAAAAAAAGTATTTTGCAATTTGCAAAGTTATCTTTTTAAATTTCTTATTTACTGTTTTATTTTTGGTATAATCTCCCCTAAATATCTTTTCTGAATAATGGTTGCAAGGAAACAAATTAAATTACGTTTGTTAGGAAGATATGTATTTAAAGACTATGATGCGTCGAAAAATGTTTAATCTTTTTAAATCACTACGTATGTTAAATTTATAGTGACACTTTATGCAAGCTTCAGCTCAATATGAACCAATTGTTTCTCCTAGTAGAGGAAAATCAGAAATAAACTCGAATAAAATATTCAAATAGTTCAAAGTAGAAATGTTCTAACTTTAATTCGATATCATTTGCAAATTATCCCATATAACTTTTCTTATTGATATCTCACGTTATATTGCAAAGAAAATAATATAAAACAAAATGAAACAGAAAATTAGATTATATCGGTTAAAATTATTAAGCATGTGACCAAGGCGTGAGTCGTCGTATAATTTATTTCTGGAAACAACACGGTATTTTAATGGCACACTAATATAATCTGTATATCGAGCTATATATACCTTGCTCATATCCGCAGCTCCTGTGCCTTCCGTTCGGGATATCTTGGAATAGCGTTTTGCTATTGTCGCTATCGTGGAGTTTTGTCGGCACCGCGACGCAGAGATTCGCGATTGCGTCCCAAGCGCAATGGGGATCTTGCAAAGCGACGCAGGATTTGCAAGTAGCCGCAGCAGGCGAGTCGCAATGATGTAAGGGAACCGCGCGAATCTCAGAATCCGCGAATACCACCAGTTTGCTAGCTTCGCCAGCCAGATGAACCACCAAAAGATCTTTAACAGCTTGACCTGCAATAAAGATTTGCACATTTCAATAAATGCGCATGTATATAAGACACGCTTATATCACATATTAAATAATTATTCTCTATCCATGTAACATAGAACGTTATAATGATTATATAATAAATTGACTTACCGTATTTTAATACCTGGACATCGCTGACGATAACTTGGCCTACATTCTCACGTGATTCGGGTGCGCGCGTGTTGAGTGCCTTCAGAACACGACCGTCGTCTGTGTGCAACAAGTTTATCTCGTTAATTTTGTAGAAATATATAAATTATTATTATTATCACAATTAAATATATCACATATATGCACATATATATAATATTAACCATTATTGTAATATATAATAAATTAAATATTATTACATAGATGCAATAATAATGCATAATTATATATTATAAGCGTAATATATGATCAATATATGATTATACAAATAATTAAATAAATTATCCTATATACCTGTTCCGATATAAAGCATATCATAAGCTTTACCGTCCAATGCTTTTACTTGGGGATCTACAACGACTTTGGTAAATCTGTAACTGCAAACGTTAAAACACCCCAAATTAAAAACTAGATTTCATTATAAAAATATGTTATTAAAAGAAGAAGAATAATTGTGCTATCAAATAACTTTTGATAGAAAACGCAATTTAACGCAACATTTATATAATGAAGAATTCGGATGCATTTTGATATTAAGGACGTAAAAGTGCTCACAAAAGACATATATTATATTAATGATATGTAAATAAAAATCAATTAATTAAAATAAATTAGTAAGATCACTCACTTAAAACTGATTTTAGTTATCACAGGTAATGAAAAGTAGGACTGCACTGCATCGTCCATGAGGGGATGAGCTTTGACGAAATTGACAGTGATGTCTGGAAGCGTCCTAGAGTCGTTAACACAGGCGCCTGGTCTGGGCTCGGGTACTTTGTCCCGAACTACTCGCAACCAGTTGCTGTTTATGGTCTCCTGTTCTTTGAAAGCACTCTCGAAGACCTCGAGAATGCTATCCATGGAGAATGCGCAGACAGCCGAGCCTCCGATGGAATTCACTGGAGTTGTGAAAACCCCATAGACAAGACGCGCGGATTTGCCCGCGTATCGGCCGTCCGTAACATCGCTCGTTGATTCTGGATAACAAAAGGAGATATTTCAATTGTATGAGGTATGTACATTCACCTGAAGGTGATGACAAAATTGCGCATGATAACATTATGAACATTCGTTAAGCGTACATTTTCTCCTTAATCAAAAACATTTCTTAAAATAGAGTTTTGGAAGTTGACAAATAATTGGAGAATTAAATTCATCAAATCAAAATTAAAAATACTTTAATCAATAATTTAGTTGTCGATATAATTGTCGACTTTCGAAAAATACTAAATAATGGAGATTTCAGATTATGCGAGAAATACTCAGAGAACTCGAATTAAATAAGTCATGATTTAATAATAACTTCACTATATAATGTGTGTGTTTAATCACAACCTATTTGATCATTATATTAGTGGAATATAAAAATCTTTTAATTATTTTATAAAAAAATCTTCACAGATCTTTTTTGCTATTATCTTCTTTATAATACTTGATGCATAAGTGGCTTTTTTGCCACCGGATATGTCTAAAAATAGAAACGTCGATCGAATATCGATATTTGGCAACAGATCAAGACTTGTTTTTTGCATTCACTCTAAATCTTGAATAAACTCAATTATTTCTATTTATGTTCTGTTATTAATCCATTTCCATTCTGAAATTATTTTTCATTAATTTGTTTCACATATTGATACGTTCGAATTTCAGAAAACATTTTTATATATTTCTTTTACGTCTTTTAATACGATTTCGATGTCCTTAAAAATTATAAAAATCAAAAAGTGTTAGAGACAATAGCAACATGCATATAAACACTAATGTACGCTTTATATGTATTATATATTAAATAATTCTTCGAGTCTCAATTTATATATTGCTGCTTATATAAAAGTGTGGCAATTTAATCACAAGTTTAAAACGTTTTTCCATTACTAATAAAACTGATAACACATACGAAGAAAAGGCAAACACGACAAAATGTAAAATACAAACATGTTTTTCTTTGGACTTGCAATAACTCGCCGTTTGATCATGCTCAAATGAAATTGACGACATATCTATAATTTACTGGCAATTTACTTAAACAATAATTAAATCTACGATTCAGAAATGCTAATTAACTATCGGTCATTTAAAATCACATCTTATGTATCTATTTTATATTCTATTTATTTTATTTATATAAAATAGACTATTTAATTTCTTTATATACCTAAACTTAAAATGAAATTATTTTACAATCACCGGCATCGATCTGGCAGTAAAATTCGTTTATCGAAAGATTTCAATAAATGAATTTGATCGGTATCATACTATCTATCTACTATATACGATGCTCTCGGATTGATCAATATTGCACCATTGGTAAGTGTCAATATTAACATTATAAGTATATGTCATTTATTTATTAGATACAAAATTGAAACGCTAAAGTTGCATGATTTTGCGGCACTTCTCAAGTATTCTCATCGTTTGGAGACACGCCAACTTCAGCGAGCATAGAAATTTCAATTCGATATGCGGCGACAATATTCTATTCGGGAACAGTGCTTCGCTCTTCTCGTTCATCCTCTATTCCTAGCCGCGATAGTGCACGGCTATTGTGCGAAGCACTCCAGATTAGTCCATTTCGCTGGAGTAACTTACCTAATTGTGCTATACCCGCGTATAAAATCGGATAAACGCAAGAAATATCGTGTAGATATAAATATTAGAGATAGCTTTTTGTATAGCTTGTTACAGTGTAACGTCATGTCTGTTATTGTTGCAGAATATAACGCTACACTATAACGATGTATCTCTAATATTTATATTTGCGCGCACAACAAACTACAACTCTTTCCCTCCTACATTACATATTATATGTATAAAACGTTGAACGTAAATATATAAATATTAGAAATGCAAGTAATGTTAGAGCGCGGTATCATTCCTATTATTATAGATCACCAGGGAATATAACGCTGCGCGATAACAATGTCGTAAATTTTTTAATATTCGTATTTACGAATGTCGCGATTTGTTTATAGTTTTGGATAAAGATTTTCTAAACGTGCATTGTCCACCAGCTTTTTTCGAGTTTTTAATACAGCACTCGTGCGCATTTATCGGACAGCGCTGAATATCGATCTATCTAGCCTTTATAATCGGTTTTTCTTGAAATCTTTTTCAAAAGCGCAACTAGCAAAGTTGCATTTCTCGATATATATGTATCGAGATATAAATCGATAGATAAATCGGAGAGAATATATATATTTTCTTTCTCGACATTTTTTTCAAAAGCGCAACTAACAAAGTCTGTAAGACCGTGCTTGAGATATATATATATATCGATTTATATCGATATATATCGAGAGATACGACTTTGCGCTTTTGAAAAAATGTGAAGAAAGAAAATGTATATATTCGCTCTATTACGATATGTATCATCGAGCGCGTCGCGCGTAGCAGAAATCGTAGAAAACTTGAAAAGCAGAAGAGTGCAATATACGTACTAAGTAGCGACTAACGCGACGCAGAAGCGAAGAGGCTCTTTTACGAGCCCCTTTAGAAGCGCGCTCGTTTGAACCTACTCGAGCGTATAGTCACGATCGAAGAGCCAGGCCGCGAAAAGGCGCGCATATGCATACTCACGTATTTCGTTGAAATAGAAGGGGTACTCTCCCGGTACCGAACAGTTCAGTCTCGCTTTCAGGAAACTCGTCCATCTGTCGCTAAATGCGTGTGGCCCGCCTTTATCGTGTTGACAGACTCTGCCGACTCGCGAGTAGACCGCCTGAAATGTGCGCGAATCGGGCAAATATTAAAAATTCTGAAAAGCTTTCTCCTTTTTTCTTCCCTCCGGGATCAATATATAATATATATATATATATATATCGATAATTGAGATATTTATTTTTCAGAGAGGCATTTACCCCCCTTTTGGAATCGGTAAAAAAACCAAGTATTTGCTTTCCTTTTGAGTAAACACTGGAATTTAACAAATGAAAATAACAAAATTAAATTTTAAAACATTAAGAAAGAACAAAGAATAAAAAATAGGAAAGATTTTAAACGTGTCTTATTGTAACATATAAGAAGGAAGATTGACGTTCTCTTATATAAATCTTGCCATTTTCATGCATTTTTTCTCTTAAATGGGGTCATAGATATTTCTAACGATATATAACAAAAGTTTAATAAAATTTACGGTGAGAAACTTGCTGAGAAATATATATATATATATATATATATCCTGAATGCAGAAAAAAGAAACTATAATCCTTACTTTTCCGCAATTCATGTACTCCACGGCCGTCTCACGATAGAAGAAGAATACGTAATCTTGATACGCAAATGAGCTGACAAAGTTGGGACCTGAAATAATGAGATTGTATTGAATTCGATTAGCAAACGGTACGTTGGAAGCTGTACAGAAATATATCTCAGAATTAGCATGAAAGCAAACGCATTAAATTTTCTGTTCTTCGTTAAAGATATATCTATAATGGGGAAATGTATATGACTGCGCATATCTGAAAAGGGATGTAGACGAGATCTGAATATCGTCCCGATTTGCCCGCAACTTTTCAACTTATAAAATGGAATATCGTACAAATGATTGATACATCCTTTTGTCTCTAAGTACTAAATAATTTTCATGCAGATATTTCGATTTCTCGAAAATATTACCATTCAACTGATTAAGATCCGAGCGTTCGGTGCGAATTTTCTCCCTGTGAATGAGCGGCTCGCCACCGGAGAAGTCGGCCACCGTCGCGGCGTATAACTGTCCCTCTGAAACATGCATAAACGTTTCCGTCAGTCGGTCGTATACCTTCCACATTTGCAAGCTAAACGAGCACACCATCAGGTACGACGGGGGTTGTACTCTCTCTCTCTCTCTCTCTCTCTCACTCGGGTTAATTCATCCTCCAGGTCTCCTCGCACACCTTTTGGAAATTACCGGTTGAATTTATGTCGGCGAGACCATCCGCAGGGTGATTCTCGCGTGTGTGCACGCACCGAGACGACGGCTTCTATATGGCACGACCGAACTTTCGCTTCCCCGTTATCAAAGTCCTCGAAGGACCAACTAGGAAACTGGAGCGAGTAATTATATCGAGCTTAATACCGCCAATCATCTTTCGCTCCTTCCTCCCCGATTTTATCATTCTCCGGTCTTAGATCGATCCTAAGGGTATCGGTTATATCAATTCTTTATCGAAGCATCAAATAAATAAAGAGGTATATGTATACAGGATATTCCAGAATAATATTTTCGTCCGCTCGATTCTGCGACATCCCGTATAGACAGGGTGGCAAGATTTCACGGCCAAGCGATGTTTTATGAATAGAAACGAAGGAAGAAATCCTCCGTCAGTCTCGCGTCATTCCGTGATATCCCATACATAGCTGCGTGAGCGGACAATTTTTCTCCGTGTCGCGGCGCAATCGGCCGCAAAACCCCGGAAAAAGCTCCGTGGATTTGATCGTGTGTACAGAGTACATGACACGCGCGCAAGTATACACAGTGGGCATCTACATTTCCTCCTTCGTGCTCTCATATAGAAGAGATCCTCGAAGGATTCGCCGCGGCTCCTTCTCGCGGGGCCTCTCCATATTTCACGTTCAAAAAGCACGATGGGATTTGAGGCTGGCCAACGTATGCGCGCGATAAGTGTATATAGCGGACCGGGCGGTCATATATAACGGGGGCGAGGCCAGACTTAGGGGATGAACGTGCCCGTTGCAGGCTACAAATCTACGCCCTGAGCCCTGCAACGCCGATGCTCGCGAATATCGTGGTAGCGCGCGTAATACCAAGGGAAAGAGGCTTGATACACGTGCGAGAGCTTCTCGCAGTCGCCTTGCCTTGCTTCTCCATTCTCTTCTCTTCTCTTCTCTTCTCTTCTCTTCTCTCTTCTCTGCGAGACATCGAGAGATCGGAAGCTGTGCACGCGCTCTATACTTAGGAGTGATTTAATGCACCGTTGCGCGTCGCCGACGCATTACGTCGTCTCGGCGAAAACTCGATGAAACTTTTGACAGAGAGAGAGAGAGAGAGAGAGGGTTGCGTTGTTGAATCCCTAACAGAGTGTAATACATTGTATGATACGATGAGGAGAGGAGATGGTTTCGAGACAATATATAGAATATACAGGATTAATTTCAATTTATAAATTGTGATTTTTCTCCTCTTTCGAGCTGAAGCTTATATATATATATATATATATATATTACGGATGAAAAAATGTAACTGCATTATTATGCAGCCGGTGCAGCTTTTGCCCGACGAGAGAGGCAGATTTTCATTCGAAAAAAATTAACTGACAAGTATTATTCAAAACTCACTTGCGCGCTATATTTTTTCTTTTCCTTCCTTTTTTTATATTTTAATAAAAACATGCAGCAAAACGAGTTTGTAATTGGACAAATAAACGCTAATTGCCTACCAGCAAATATTAAGCTTTTCATAAAAATATTGAGATTCGCGCTATCTATAATAACGAGGTATCTCGGTATTATTCCAATCCTATAAGGATTTCTCGAAGAGGACCAGGAAATTTCTCGACGTAAAAAACAGGACATCTTACAAAGTGGAAGCACCATAAGCACATGCAGTGTCACAAAGCGTCTATCGGTATAGCCAAGAAATGAAACTTTCGAAGAAGACCTTCAAAGCGGCAAGATTCTGTAAGATCCTCTCAAAATCAACGGATGATACGATGATAGAGCGCATTCTATTTCCCGCGGGAGAATACATATCTTAGGAAGGAAATTCCCTGAACCATCTAACGGATCCTGAATTATTTCCCAGGATTCTACAACGAGCAAGCCGAATTCGTCTCCACGAATAGTGGAGAGACTGGCCACAAAAATGATATCGTTGAAGAATATATTTATTCGTGTAATTAAAGTATAAAATTCTAAGGCGGAAAAATATTTAATTATCGAATACCCATACCATAGTCGAATTTCATTTTTTTACCTATAACGCGAGCAGATTTAGGTCGAATAACAAATATCTACGCGAATTAAATATTTAATTAATCCGATATTTACACTATTTTTTTTTTAGTTACGCGTTATCTCTCATTATATCCAAAATAATATAGAATATTGTACATTAAAACTAATTTATTTATCATTACAAACACGTAACGCTTATATGAAAAGCGAGCCATAATTATAGAAATCAAGAATAAATTTATTTAAATGTTATAAATAACTGCATAATTAACAACATTGCAAATAGTTAATACGAAACAAAAATTAATTGCCAATTAATATAATAATTGTAACTTTTATATTTATGATATTTGTTTTAATCACATGATCGCGGACAAAATCGCTATGTATATATGCAGGTGTACACACGGATATAATTGGATACGAAAGAGAACGATAACAAGAATAAAAAAAAACTGTCACTTTTGATAAATCGAGAATATCGAGGTATCTAGGGAATGCGGTAACCGATTTTATTGCGACCATTTCAAATCGCAAGCTTATATTGACGTTGTATTGATGTAAAATTCGTTAGACTTTTGATTGCGTTATTTGACAGATTTTGGTCAAAAAATCATATTAAAGGTTGGGCAATTTTTTGCAAAGATTTTTCTTACTCTTGAGAATAGATAATAACATCAATATGCACTGCCACTTATTTTTATTACCGATATTGCTGTTATTAATGTTACCGTAGATACGTTCGAGTCTTATTAATATATTTCAAATCTTTTTATTTTAAAATGCAATTTTAAATTCTTTTAAAAGAATTATATTTAATTAAATTTTTGTTGAAAAAAATTATCGAGCTCTCGGTTCAACAATTCGTATATAAAAACAAATACAAGAATTTGGAGTATCTGGTGAATATTTTCATTCCTTTTTTTATCTCAATTATTGTTAGCTAATTTATAAATGGATAATAATGGTGATATTTCGATTTGTATAGCCCTTTATATCGATGTAGAAATATCTTATACGGGTTTGTAAAATGATTTCATTGAAAGCCACACATCGTTTGCTTTGCCAGAGTATTGATTCGCCGTGGCACTTTGTCAAATACACGACACGGCCGCGTGTCTCGTAATTAGCAAATTATAACGCTCAACATATGAAACTGCGCATGTTAAACATCAACAGAAGCAAATAAAAAGTTTCTCGGGCAAACACTACGCGAAGTATGTTTTCACATTGAATTACGTCAAACTTTCGCATCGTTTCTATCGCATTGTAGAGTCTACGGCGACGAACTTTGTTATTTGTACGTTTTGAGAGCTGTTCATCTAAATTGTAGCTGTAAGTATTATTATCGTGATATTTTACTTTTATTGTCTGTCTGTCTTATTCTCATCATATAATTGTACAATAATGATGTAATTGTATGTATATAAATATAGGGAAAATTTGTGGGGCCAATATAATTCTCTTCTCGTTGACCTTTTCGATAAACTTGTCGTAAGTAATTATATTGTTACAATTTACATCCAAACTCGATATTCAGGAAAGAATTTTTGTCATTTTACTCAAAGCCATTACGGTTAATAAGTCTCGCACTCTAATTAATTAAACAGATTGAACCGGTGCACATCGTGTACTTGTTTGCTGAGAAAAAAAATTCCATTTTACCGAGAAGAAAAAGCAAATGTGCGTATCACCGTTATGTAGAGAAACATACATGGGGCGTGCGTGGTAGTATATAACAATAACGCCGCATAAATGTGGAATGAAATATCTCTCTCTACTGTTTATGTCATCTAAATCTGCGTGCCTATTTCCAGGATAATAAAACTGAAATTAACGGTTACAGTGATAATGGCAGGAGAGAGATTTGAAATGATATTTCACACTAAATTCGAGGAACACATCGTGTATACAACGCGTAGGAATAATTGCGCCATTTCTTTAATGACTCTTTAACGCATGCAGAGAATACATTCATCTTTAACCCTTAACGGAGCGATGAGAACGTATTGCGTAACTGGAGCACGCGGTTACCCATGGACCCATCTCCCTTTCTACGTTAAAAATAGCAAATGTGTTGAACATGAGTTTATTTACTGTAAGATAAAAAATTCTAGAACAACAAATATTTAGAAGAGAAACATCTAAAACGAAAAAAAAAAGATGAAAATAAAATACAAGCACGCTATTCTATAGTAAACATCAACTAAAATATTTTTCATAGAGATTTTTTTTCGAGTTCTTTTGAATTCATATCAATTTAGTTGAGGATTAATACATACAAATTATTGAAAAAATAATTGTAATAAAAGTAGTGAACAAATATTAGAAGAACAAATACGAGAAATCATATTGGAGATTAGGTTTTTTTGTGCTGAAAAATGAATGATTTGTGTGTGAGAATGATTTGTTAAAGCATATTCGTTATTCATGTGCCGGACAGGATATAAATCATGCGTGTATCTCTAAAATATTTTTGATAGAGATTTTTTCGAGTTCTTTTGCATTCATATCATTTTAATTGAGGATTAATACATACAAATTATTAAAAAAAAACAATTTTTCCTTTTATAATTTAGATAGCATAAATAATATCGATAAGCAATGATTGTATTAAAAATAGTAAACCGACACTAGAAGAACAAATACGAGAAATCATGTTGGAGATTAGGTTCATTTTTGGTGAAAAATGAATGATTTGTTGAAGCATAAGTATTCGGGATTCATTTGTCGGACAGGATATAAATCATGCGTGTATCTCTCAATCGCCTCTGTGCGGAATGTACGAGGACCCGTGATATTCGCTTCTCGTTCTCACAAGCTCCACTCATTGTAGAGCGGTCGAATCTCTCGAGTAGCACTTGGCGTCGTCAAAGCCACGCGTCGCCTGTCAAATCTGCTGTAGTGCGCAGCATATGTTTCAAAATGTAATAAAAATTTCCTCGATAAATATTTTTCACAGATCAACGCTTTTCGAACCTGTATATACATATATGTATATACAGACAACGACACGGACTCTTCGCTCACGCAAAAATGTTTTGATAATACTATCGCTCTCTCCGATAGCCGAAATCGCTTTTGTTCGCACAAGAATCTATTCATTGCAACGTTCAATCACGATCTCTCGAGAATAAATGTTGTATGAATCAATAAGCGCCTCTGTGTTGAACATTTACAAAGATACTAGTCTGAATTATATATTCTTCGGAGCACACTCTTAATGTTTTGAAAAATACAATTTCTACAAGTAAGAAATCTGAGAACATTTGATTTGTACGCGATTACGATGAAAGTTGAGCATTATATTGATTTAGTAATAAATAAATGAAGAAGCTTACGGGCAAAAACTGCCGTGCTGTTATGTCGTGGGTCGTAAGGACAAAGCCCCAGACCATCCATGTCACTGTTCTTCACATAGGCTCCATCCTGAAATATAAATCACAAATTTTGCGTTATACCAAAACTTTTTGTATTTTTTCATCTATTTTTTATCAAATAATATATATATATATACTATATAACGTTTGATAATGCGATTCTATGCTAAAACATGTGCTACTTACTTTATAACGATTAAAGCACAATGATATTCGAAAGACATAATAAAGTGGGTGCTCTCTATCGGTTTTGATAATTAATAATTTGAAAGTCAGTTGAAAACCAGGAATTGAAACTGATATCGATCTGAAAATATTATATTGCTTGGGCGTGTGAGATTCATGTTTGCGAAACAATAAAACAATATACTAGATGCATTTCTACCGCGAGTGTCAGATATAGTTTTGGATATGTCGCCCACGATAAATGAGCTTGCTCACACGAGATTGCGTCCTCTTTCATTCGCTTCTCTCCTTCTCTCTTTTGATCCACATTTTATGTGAAAATATGTCAGAATATATACATATATAAAGTACGAAATATTTCGTGAGATATTCACTTTTCAATCACCTCTTTTCTCTTCGTATTCTCGATCAAAAAAGGAGCGATTTACATAAAAAAGAAATCCTAGTTTTATTTTCAAAGAAGTAGTAATAACATTTCAATTCTTCAATTTATTCTACATGGGGAGTAATAATTTGAGATCAAGTTGCAATAAATCATCATAAAATATTAATATCGTAATCAAATGTTTAATATTAATCTACTTTTTAGAAATATACATGTAAAACAGAGAATAGTCCGTGAAACTATTCATCATTAATTGATTTGTCTTGTTCAACATAGCTTTCTATCAAGGTATTCGCATTTGCACGTTTGTATGTGAATGGGAAATGTATATAATTCTACGCAATAATATAGTTTCAGGATATTAGCAAGTTATTAACTAATTCCAATCGCAATTACCGTGTGCGTATCTTTTTAACTACGTTAATGGACAATCGAAATATTACAATATAATTTGTTGGCTCTACCAGCTGGATTTTACTTTTGACCATTTGTTGAAACAACGGCCGACGTGATATTAAAATAATTATATCGAATCAATTACGCGAGCCGGCCTATGACATATTTTATCAAATATTTTGTTGCAAATAAATGTGGCTATATACATATATCTACATAGTAATTGCGCCGATTGATTGCTAATTTTAATAATTTTCATGATATTTCTTAATTATTTGTTAATCATCTAATTGAATATTTAATTACAACTATATAAATTTGCAAAATTTCATTTACAAATATATATGTATTTGTGCAATTTATTTATTTGAAGAAAGATACGTTTGATAAAAAAAAAAAGATTTTTAATAATACAACAAATCAATATAATAATCCGTATTTGTGTTATAACGACACAGCCAATATAAACACATTCTAATGACTCACAGAATGACCTCTTTGTCTATTTATTGATTTGTTGTTACAAAATGCTTTTTTCGATTTTATTGTTTCCATGTGTAGCTCAATACTTTTCATCAAAGTAAAAATATCTCGATTTATTGAGGATGCAATGATATTCCTCTCTTTTGTGATATATGCTTTAATTTTTATTGCTATATCGAGATTGTGTAAGATATATTTTAAATGTCATCCCTTTTTTTTTGCTTGTGATGAATATCGATATATTACGATGGAAATATTATCCAATCCTCTTCGTGAAATACAAAATCTCATAAACAATACAAAAGATACGCAACAATTTGAGAAGTACGATTATATTTAGTCTAAAGATGGAATAATATAGCGACATAGTAATAGAGTTATTAACGTCAAACTGTATTCCGTGCACCATATCGATATATACATATATATAAAAATATAATAAAAAAAGAACTGGAAATCTCGTATTCGTCGTTCGTACTTGTCTCTCGTCGTGCTGTGACTAGAATTGCACGAAACTTACGGATTTTACGAACTGTTCGTATATAGAGCAAATTTAATAAACTGATCGCGCAGAGAACTGCAAGATGAATACGACATCTGCTTTAAATCTGTCAATCTGTTTCTAATTTTTCCCTTCATAAAAATGTCAAATAGAAATAAAAATGATCTGTATATTCTTGAAATAACTTTGACGTACGGATCATTATTGTTCTCGGACTCGTTTGAGAAGTATTAAAATGCTAAGCTATTTAGTGTACCGGTTTTTATTACACGCTTGCATATATGTTTCGCGATACGATTGCTCGTCATTGAAGTGTAATGGCATTGTTGCGAATCGTTCATTGGAAACCGCGCTCGCAAACGAACTCGGTCGTCGAAAAATATCGGGAAACAATCCGCTGAGGTAAGATAATTAAAAGAGTTTGACACAAGCGGGTACAAGCACGATCACCGTGGCCAGCCGCAGTAATATCCCGAATATATATACGAGCAGCGTGTCGCAACTCGTGCATGCAACAATGCATGTAAAGAAATTGGAATGCAGCAAGGCCATTCGATGCAAACGACTATTCGATGCAGTGCAACGCGCCAGCCAGGGTATTCCGACATGGTGGCTGGATCTCATACAAGATCCTTTATATTTCTTTTATTCGTTTCTCTCTCTCCCCCATCTTAAAATTAGACCCTTTCTTTTCTCTATTCGCCTTGCGAGCCGCTACACATATCCTCTCGTTTCATCCACTTTCATTCGCAGATACATATAATAAGCAATACCGTAACAAAATTGAAACGCAGGCAAATGGAGAGAGTGGGGCGAATATTTGTTAAATTAATCCACTTTTCTCGATTTATTTTATATTATTTTCTAAATTGGTTTTTTTCGTATCCAGCAACATAAGATGAAAAGTCAGTTTAGAAATGTTAATATTTATTCACGTATTTACGATCGAATAATTTGTCGATCAAATTATTGTCTATATCGATGCAAAACAAAAGGATCGATTAAATTTTTACACAATCTTATTTGATCGATTAAAACACTTGACTTTTGAATGAATTTCAACTTTGTGTTCATGTGATAGTATTTATATAACATTTTAATCAAAAAATATTTGTCCCAATAAAACTGTCGGAAATTTTTACAGTGTTTATGAAATATTTTATAATGTGCAAACAGCGTCCTCATTTACAATTGCAAAGTTTACGAATAATTGGTGGCTTTGTCATATAAATTTTGCGAGAAAACAATTGCAGGACACTGCGAGAAACGAGAAGGCTGCTCGCACTTAAAATACGATAATAGTCTGATGTGTAGCAGATAAGAAAACTTTATTATGAATTAAGCACTATTCCTCTCAATGTTTCTGATTTAATTAATCGAAATAAAAATATTCAAAATTTTTATCTCGCGATTAGAAAATAGTTGAATTAAGATTGAATAATGACATATATTTTGTTAAATTACAAAAAATGTAAAGAGAAAGACGCATTCTTCTTCAGGACTTCATTTAATTATAATAGATTGATTTATAATTATTATAATTAATTTATAATTGATTAATAATACGCTGATATTTGCAACACTGATCAATTTCTAATGCAAATAGTTTTTTAATACTAAACACTAGACTATTATCGAATATTTCAGAGAATTATTCCGCCGCACATAGTAAACATGCATGTAAGCGCTCTAATCTCGCTCGATGGAATTATGACAGCGAGTAAGTAGATGTAATTACATTGTTTAATGAAATTTAATTACGGCTCAACTTCTGTGTCCTTAAAAGACTTACGTTACGTAAACCATTATTTTATTCATAACACTTTTAACATTAATGGCGATATTTTCTAATCTCTTTTAAAAATATGTGTGTGCAATACATATTTACCTATGTTTTAGCGTTTTTAAACAATTTTTATGCTTGCTACTATCGCCTCATTTTCGTAAAATAATGTTAAAAAAAAATAAAAAAGTATTAAAAATATTTCCATCTGTTTTCTGCAGTTCTCTCTAAATTACAAAAACAAAAATATAAAGAGAAACACATGACTCGTTTTTAATAAAGATAGATGGATTTATAAATGTTATAATAAATTAATCAATTTATAATTAATAATACAATGACATCTACAAACACTGATTATTCTTTAATCGTTCTTATTATATTTAATTTAAATATATTATCTGATTAAATATATTATATATCATTTCAACACAATCTTGATACATTTTTATATTATAAAAGCGTCCTCCAAGTATCTCTAAATATAAATTTTATCGTAGAATTTTTTAAAAGTTTTTTAAAAGTATCTCGGTCCATTAAATAATGTTATTGGATCTCTATTATATAGAAAATAAATTAGAGCTTTTATATTGTAATAAAGTGGATTTTCGGTGGTTTAGTAAATATTTACCACATTCATTTGCGAGTTTAGACGTTACGGCAAGATTTTCCATTGTAAATCTTGTGAGAAATTGCTATAATTGCGAAACACCGCGGGGAACAACCGCGCGCGAGTTTCATCTTCGCACGTTCGGCTTGTCGCGATATAATTTGCGCAAAGTTCGAAAACTTTCAAGTGTAAACTGCACAATCCTCGTTTCCTCCTCCCCGACATTGTTTCGCAACGATCACGACACAATGCCATGCGGTCCTGCATGGCAATTTACCGTTCACCGTTCCACATCATCCGGATTATCGCGATTGCGATAAACGCACGTCTAATATATATATATATATATATATATATATATATCAATATAAATGCAAATAAATCACGGAATAAACAAACGAAAAGATAATTCAGCTCCTGCATATTTATTTTTATTATAGTTCATTATTTCTTTATTTATTCGAATTTGTTTCCTTGCATATTTCATTGATTTTTGCATGCATTCTGTGTATAGATAGAAATATAAATTTAAATAAATCAAATATCTCATTGTTTTCATCAGAAAAATTATTTATATTTATCATTTTTTTTAAATTTATCAAGTTATTATGACTGTACATACAGCATAAAATTGGTTCGATAAAAACGCGAATTTCCCTGTTTATTGAAACACAAATTTTGTTTAATAAGTTTTCAAGTTTAAG